GGGGGGAGACTGACCAGATGAAAATAAAAATTACGCAAAGAACGTCTGGCGAATTCGATAATCATAAATTCGAATGATCCCACGAAAACGTATGTTACGTAACATTTGTAATCATAACAATATCAGACATTGGAATTGCGTTTCTGTCTTTTGGTGATCGAGAAGACACATTACGATGAGATTAAATCTTTGTTTTTTTTGTTTTTTTTTTTCGTAATTTCGAAAAAAGAAATATATCTTTAAGAAAGGGAGAATACAGTTAATGACAATTATGACTCGATTCGTCACGTTTTCGTAAACGCTACTGTACGCTGGACATATTATTATTTGCTATAGGTTAACGGACAATATTTATATATTATTATTATTATTATATGCGTATTTATACACGTTATCATGTATATAATACGCTTTCCGTGTACATTATATATATATACACGTATTATCATAGTCACCATTTTACTTCCGCTTTTAAACATCGATGCAAAATAAATTATAATATTACCTTTATATCATCCCTTATTTATCGACCCCTCTATCATCTCTTTCTCGTTTACTTTCGCTCTCTCCATTGCAAAAAATTGGCCACTATATCTTATCTCAATAACAATATTACATTTTTGTTGAATCCATTTTTTTTTCTCACTTCGTTAAGCATCATGCACTTATTCATTATCGTTATTATTATTATTATACCCTCCATTTTAATTCTATCAAACGCTAAAAAAACATCGTACCTCTCTTTCTCTCTCGCACGCACTATATATCCCCAACATCATTACTTAATTACATCATTCTCAATAAATCTTACATGTACAGAGTATTTTGGTTTAATCAATCGACTGTTTCGGTTTTCCATTAGAGGAATAATGATAAATAACACTCATGAATACTTGCGCACTTCTTGTATCTCTCTCTCTCTCTCTCTCTCTCTCTCTCTCTCTCTCTCTCTCTGTACTATCGTCCTTTGTCTTTGTTATCTCCGTACACCCATAGTAAAAATTCAGGAGTGACCAAAGAACAAAGGAGACGACGTGAAACGTTTTCCGTATGAAAAGCGTCAGAAAAATTACAACAGTCTCTTAGCAATTGAATGATGAGCATGTTAATTAATTAATTAATTAATTAATTGTGCCATCCATTAGATCGCATGTACACAAGCACACATTAATCAATTTGTCTGTACGCGGTACACAAAGTATTCGGCTTACTTGCAACGATACACATGTGATTGCATAATTATTGTACACAAGATGAATCCCAAGTACAGTAACAATAAGAATAAGAGTAAACGTTTAATTTTTTTTTAAAGCAAGATTCGTCGTTTATTCCCATATATATGTTTATATATACTAATCGTACTGCGGAATGTGCCTAAAAGTAAGGTTAATGTTCCTTTTTCTCTTGACGCGAAAGGAAATTCTCTTGAAAGACCGCACTCGATCAGGTAAAGAGAAGAAAGAGCAAACCAAGATTCTTGTCTTACTGTGCGCATTTACTATGCATGCATTCGTATATGCCTAGATGAAAAAACATTGGTACTGTCCATTTTTATCTCTTTTATTATCCGTAAGTCTTTATTTTCTATTTGGAAAAATCTCAAGAAAGAAATAGTTTTCAATGACAAAAATCCGTATGCAATTTTTTACATACACACACATACACATAAGCGACACCATGTCACGGTTGTCATCGATGTCATTTTCTCTCCGTCTTTTTTTTCCCCCCTTCATTACTATCTAAGGTAGTTCGCGCTTCTTCTTTTTGTTTTTCTCTTTATTCTTTTTTTGGCAAACGTCTCGCGGGCTTCTAGAGGGACGGCCGTGCGAAAGCTAGCCGAGTTAAACGCTGTTCAGCGCCAACAATTATCTTATCTTTACTCTTGTCGCATCATCTTGCCAGCCTGTACAGGCACTGTCAAACGAAGATCGGCGATTTGCTTTAATAGAATTTTCAAAATTTCATTACTATCTAGTATTTACGTAAGGTGTATCTGTTTCGTTGAAGTCTCGTCTCAACGTATTTTAATCATGTCGATTATAATCGTTGCCAAGTGTAGGCTGTTTGATTTTAATACAGTAGTTTGCGACATGACAAACAATTACCTAGTGTTTCGACTGGGTTTGGTTATTGCGTTTGGATTGAATCGAGGTTATCCTTTTATCTGGGTGTCTGGGAGGGAGGAGGATAACTTAAGAAATTACGACTGACGATTCTTAAAACCGACTGAAACGTCGATGTACATAAAGCAGTGCATTAATCCCATGCGGATATACTATATTAACAGATTCCCTGGTATAATTCTTAGTTCGGCTACGAAGGTAACAGTCGACAGACTGTAGCATCAGGTAAAGACGAAGGATCTCTTAGTTTAAGAGGAACAAGGTACTTGCGAGATATTAATTTAAACAGAGAATTACAATCTTGACGTACGGAGTATTAAAGACGACGTATTAAACAGTAGTGTCTTACGCGGATACCATGTTGAACCTAGTGTTACTTAGAATCGTTTGAAAATGTCGCCATTAGAGTTTGTTCCCCAGAGACAAGTCAGTGACGATTCAGCGACCTATCAGCACCGTGTTACCGTCTTCGTTGAGACAAAGAAATAAGAAACGAATGACTCGATTAAAGTACAAAAATTAAAGACTTAATTATCTCCCTCCCTCCTTCAAGGAAACGAAGTTCATTTCCGATCATTATTACACGAAGATAGAATAGCCCGTGCGGTGTGACGTGTTAAACGTGACACGACAAAGGAAAACCGGAAGTATCGTCAGCCGTGCTTTACTCTAAGTGGCAGTGACGGTAGACGGAAGTGTATTGGGTCACGCCAGGTTCGTTTCCTGTTCACCCCAGCCTTCGCTGTCGCATTCGCTCTCGGATGCTGAATCGCTGTCGCTGAATTCGACGGCGACTCGACGCGCCAATATGGACGCTACGTCGTTGAGGGTGTTGACACGCTCTACTTCCTTCTGTTCGATCTTCTCGACTTTGCGCAGCTTTATACCTGAGGATAAGACGTAATTTTTGTAGCTCAGAAACCTTGTAAAGCAACTAAATAAAAGCGAAGCTGATTCTTTGTGAATTCACTACTACTTACCATCTCGGATAGCCTTGAGCAGATCGTTCCTGGGATCAACCGGAGGATTTGGATTGACGGACTTCCTTATTTCACCGTCCACCATATTCTTTAGAGGTTTCAACTTCGGTGGATTATTTGCAATCATTTTGGCAATGTCTCCATTGGTAAGTGGCATCGGCATTGATGGTCCGTTTAATAATATTGGTGGCGGAGGTGGTGGTGGTGGCGGTGGTGGGATATTGGTTGGGGGTGAGGGTGGTCTTGGCGGTGTAGGATCAGGCGTTGGTGGTGGCGGAGGCAGATCCTGAGGCACAGGATCCGGTTCATCCATGCTGACCTGAGTTGAATGATTTGGCGGAGTAGGTGTCGAGTGATGACTTGGTAGAGGACTGCTGGACCGACTTCCGCTTCTATTAAGCAAGTGCGACGGTATAGAGCCTGGAAAATAATTGACACATTATTTACCAAGAGCTCTTATTGCTAAACCATCGTACGCAGATGTGAAAGAAAGGTAAAAAAATACCATTCATAGATGGGGGCGACATGGTTTCCCCAGGTGGTGGTGGTGGCGGTGGTAGAGTATCCCTCACGATACTTGTAGACCTTCCCCTGGTAGGAGTATTATTGGCGGAAGCGACGGTAGGAGTCGAGTTGCTGGAAGCGTTGCTAGGCGGTGCTGGTGGAGGTTGCGAAGGTCTCGACCTACCTCCTCTGCTGGGAGTACTCTGTCCCCCAGGACTCTGATACGTCTCGCTACCAGGTTGTCCTTGGCTAGGAGCATAATGAGATCCATAAAGATTCTCATCGTAACCCTGAGCCGCGTAATTTGCTGCCCTGAAAGCAAAAAAGTATAATCGATACCCATCGACGACTACTTCACTATACAGTAATCCTCTACAGCATCATCCCAAATAAACTGACCTATAATGATCCGATGCCGGAGGACTATAGAGATGCTGTTCCTCCGGTGGATAACTGCGTCGAAGTTCTATGCTGTTTGGCCTCGGTGGCCTATTATCAGTCATCACCATACCCAGTAACGCCTCGTCGGGTATATTATGAGGAACCCTGTATTGTACACCCTGGGTTGGCATAATATATTCTCCATGACCGACGGCCAATTGCCTCTGTCTCTCCTTGGTGTTATGAGGCTGCCTTATACGTTTCTTGTGGCGGCCACCTCCACCACTGCTTCCTTCATTGCGTGGCCTGTGAGGCTGCGTATCACATTTAACATCAATTAATCTCTCGTGGAGCAATAATAGAAAAAGGTGATAATAGTCATCGAATAAAAAGCAAGCTAAATCTTGCGATCAGCCAATCCACGATTGAACCAGCAAAGCGGCTACTTCGGAGGTATTTCTTACGTTTTTTCCTGTCTTTAATATACTGGGCAAACAAAATTTTAAATACAAAAGAGCGCCTATGATTGCCGGCACAATCGCGGGATGAGTACAGTATACGTGGGAGATAATATCATTTCCCACGTACAGTCTGCGACAACACGAAATGATCCTGAAACGATTGGTATGATCTAAGTTTCTGTGCCAGTCGCTATCAATGACTCGTGTGTGGTAACGATGACACCCGGTATATAGAAGAGTCATGAAGTTGCATGAAAGATACATGAAGAAGGTACAGAATTGTAAATGTAGTAAGACTTTTGAGAATAGTGCGACAGCTACTTTGTATTTAAAATGAAATTAATTTAATGTGTGAGGATGCGAAATTCTCCCATTCACATCGAATTCTTTAATCGAATGGATCTTGCTCTCAGGACAGTGTTCAAGATGCTTTACTGTGATTCGATATACATGGGAGTGTATAAATATTTCGTTTATGGGAGAAGGAAGAGAATTGAAAAATCAAAAGTAACATCAAAGAAGAATAAAATCATTGACTATTGTACCTAGCGTAACTACAGGACTCTGAAAGCGAGCACCTAGAGCATACTCTCTATCGGCGAACAGATTGGTTAAATGAAAAATCACACATACGTGAACTCGATTATGCGTATGAGTGAGTGATTGACCATTAATAATTTAGTGAAGTTTAATAGGGGTAGTATAAAACTACAAAGATCCAAACCATCGACTTGCCTCTCTGAACTGTTCGGCATATTCAGACTCGGTCTATAACCAAGGGGATAGAGTATTCAGTATTTCAAATGATTTCGTCCGTTTGCTTAGATATTAATTAAGAAACCAAATACGCCAATTAATTGCACAACACAGCGTAATCAACATAGATAAACAAATGTAATTGAATTAAACAAACAAAAAAATAATGTACTTATTAATTGTAATCGCGCGTAATTTAATTATTTTACTATACGTATTAAAAATTTGTATGATAATTTCTATAACTACCTTCTTGCCCCTATCGTGCAATTTCTTCTCAGTATCCTTGAGCACCTGCTGACTCCACAGATCAAAGAAGTAATTGGGATCAGTGTAAAACTTCAAACCGTCCTTTCCGTCCTCCCTGTAAACGAAAAGTTACAAAGTTAACAATTATTAAAATCTACCACGGCTTTTCAGTCAATCCGATTCCTACATACATGTGACATCCAGATAACAAAAAATACCTGTAATCATTAAGTTTATCCAAAGGCGGCGGTTTGTCGCACTGATGATAAGTCTCCAGCATGACAGTGGGCATGGTATCCCTGGAGACGACCTGCTGGTCGAATACCACGGAACTCTTGAAGGCCTTTCTCATGTGAATATCTTGCAAAGAAACTGCAAAGTAACAATGACGCAAGGATTACATATAGCCAAATTGATCAGTCCAATTGAATGTCATAAGAGATCATTAAAATTCACAACGAACCTTCTTCCACGTTGCTGTCCAATTGCGTCACCTTCACAGCCAGCCTGTCTATCCTAGCCTGCAAAGAATTTGCTCTGTCGCTCAGTCCATGAGCTTCTCTTGCGAGTTCCCCGAAGAGGTCCTCGGCGTGTCTGGATAGGCTTGACAATTGCCTAATCGTATTGGCCAGTGTACCATTGGTAGCAGCTTCCAATTCCGATGGCAATGGAAAATCGTCGGGTATGGTACCACGCGCAACGTGCACGGGTTCCACTAGCCTTTTCGGGAGCGGCATCCTCTTGGTAATTTAGGATCCGCACCGCCCTGGGTTCAGATTCGAAGTTGGCTCACCGCCCCTTCGAGATCTGCAAAATAAAAAGAAACGAACAAGAATTAATAAACAAAAATAAATGGCGTCCCAATATCAATACATATTCGTATAGTCTAATAATTGTTCAACCACTGATAAGTAATTTGCATACACCATCAGGAGATAAGAAACTTATGCAAGTCTCGTGTGTACAAAGGCAGCATAAAGAAGTTTTACATAACATTTTCACATTTTATCTCCATACGTTAAATTCGTATGTAACAAGGAAGAAGAAAAAAACCAGGACCGCGATAAAGCCACGGTCGCTTTATCATGCTGCTCATTGGAACGTGACCAAATCGTTCTGTGCGACTAACTCCAAGACCTCCGACATATCCACGAGGACAATAGAACGTTTCTCATTAAAGAACAACGCCACGAAACTTAGTAATGAGTTTGGCGACAGGCATTCTCTTTATTTTCGCGTTAACCTCGCCTGGAATTCCAAACGACTTCAACCTCAATTCAACAAATTCTATTCCACGACCAGTGACATGCTTCATAATCGCAAGAATCCGCTAAAATTAGTGCATCGCTAATTTTAGAACGAAACACAAACACACGGGCATTCAGACTTAAACGTCAGGATATTAGTAAAGCAACTACAATACTTGACACCGCTATTACTTATCCAGAAACAATGTCTACATCTACACTACGACTATCCCGTCCATTAATTGCACTCTCAATGATGAATTAATTGACAAGAATTCTTATCTGACTATGTATATACAGACAAGATACATTGGTGATCCATAAATACCCAATCCCATTATACATACGTACGTGCAACACGTTAAAGTCAAGTTCATCAATCAGACTAACGAAAAAGAGAAAATTCACATTGCGACGTTACATATAGCGGTAATCAAAATTTAATTAAATATCAATGCAATTAGCCTAATGGCAGTTACATCAACAAACTCTTACATCAACTAACTGTTTAGTCAGACTTTCGCAATCAGTGACTATCCCCACGATTTTCCTGCTCTTAGAATCGGGTAAAAACATCATCCTCATCGTCATCGTCATCCTGCACGGATGCGAAGCTGCACGGAGAGTGCGTTAGCTCCCATCGTTATAGCTATATGTATAAGCAAAGCATCCGCGTGCAGCTGTTGATGACGAATACACACCAAGCTATATATACGTACGTACAAGCAGCGTCTAACAAATGGGATAAAACGCAAGCGACACTACTTGAAATCGAGCCTGAATCTCTCTTGTCCCTGACCGACGATCATCGAGCGGCTCTATACAGTCATTGAGGCCAAGTCGTGCCACGCGCACAGACACACATACGTACGTACTCAGAGTCGCATATGTGCATTTCGCGACACTTGACAATCTCCTCTTACACCGAGGAATGAGTTACAGTTACAGTCCAGACCAGTTCCGCTCTTTCGATTGATTTTCACTACTTTGTCAAAAAATTAAAAAATCCACTCACTTACTCTAAATGCTTATCACATTAAGTAACTAGTACTGATACAATTGTCAAGTATAATAGCATACACCACTAACTTTGATTCTACACAATAATTTCACACGGGACACCCTGTACGTGGTATAAACTAAAACATGAGTCACGAAAAACAACCGACCTGCCCCTCTACACCGTGTTCACAATATACTTATCTGCATTCAACGTGGTCTCCCACGCGCTCGATACTGACAGACATTTATTCATTCACTAGAACTTTGTCAACAAGTAATATACGATTATAACAAAAAAATAGTAACGAGCTTTGACGGGTTCGACCGTCCTCACAGTCAGCTGACAAAGTTAAACAGTACAGAAAGTAACGTCAATGAATAATAATAAAATAACTAAACTCGATCACATATAAACAGCCGAGTATATACCAAGCCTGTACAAAGGATCGTATCGACATTTTGCTCTAGAAACAATACAAATATCGTTCACGTGGCAATTGCATTTACAACGAAACGTATTACATGCATTTTCACCGCTTATTCATTACTATCAGTGAAGTGTAACGATGGCGGATACACTATATCATCACGGCTTGTCTCAATACTGCGTTTCATACGTATACACATACATGTAGAAATATTGAGCCGTGTCAGCACATGCCAGCCATATGGTTACGTACAGTTCTTGCATATTAAAGTATATCCATACGCATATAGTGTTTTTGGCGTAAGCCACGCAACAAGGATGTGACGCTAATTTCCATAAAGGGAAGTACACGCGGTTAGATTAAATTCGTGAAATTTCCTGAAGGGACAGAAACAATCTTTGGAATGATAATATTTTACTGAACACTGTCAATACGTCCTTTTGAGCAGCTATTAACTGTCTGTCTGAAATGCATTTGAACGCCAAAGAATTACGTCGGCAAAACCACAATCGATCGCAGCAATCGATTCTGAGTTCACGCACAAAAGGAAAGACCGTACAATAACAGCGCCATATAGTAAAGCATCCATCGGCAGACTGTGCACATAGTACAAAAGCAGGTATTGCCTAATTGGTACACGCAGCTGAGAGATAATAGTAGGATGTGAGTCGTTGGGGTGACTAACGACATCGGTTGCATGAATTATGCTCGCGGTTATGTATTGAGCGTGCACGTGTTAAAAGGTTAGGGAGAGGAGCCGAACACATGTGACAGTCTGTATACTAGTTAAGTATACCGATATTCACAAATGACAGATCTGTCAACACCCATTGAAACATAAGAATAGCAAACGTCTGTACTAGGTCGTTTAAAAATGATAAAGAGAAAAATTTTATAAAGAAAACAGAAAGACATTGATGCAAGCCAGTTAAATATTTGGCCAGCAACCACGTGGATCTTTACAAATAGATACAATCAGCTGATATCGATGTCTAATTATAATCGCGTATGGCTAATTGTGACGCACTTGAACTAGACTCGAAACGCACCAGGCGCGTTGGCGTTCGCGTATCGGGTAACATTCGTCATGGTGCGTGCGGAGACGTCGACCCCGAGTTACTGGGCGAGTGTCTAGTTCCTCGAGCACTTCTCAAGGTGGTACGAGAGAGAGTACGTATCCTAGGAGACGACAGTACCTCCACGCGTAGTAAGTATAGTACGGTATAAAAGGAGCCTAGGGCAAATTTAATATGTAACGCTGGCACGGCCCGTTTCTCTTTCAGTTCTTGTTCTTGTTCCTGTTCCGGAGAGCGACTCTGTAGTGGCAGAGTTATCTTTGTCGGCTGAGTGTATATGCAGAAGCTCGATGAAGGTGTAGAGAGTAAAGGTAGTGATTCCCCAATGCGCACTGAAGTAGGGATGACGAGGAGGAAGAAGAATAAATCCTGGTCGAGGATACGCGTTAACCTTTGATTCTTGCACTTCTTGTTAAATACGTACTCTGCTCTCATTCTCGTCTTCCGAGTAATCCTGAGGATATAATCAACAGATTATTACGGATGAAAAATACCATGGCAACGTGCATACTCGTTGGATAATACAGTTCAGTGGTTTTAATTATGCAAACGGTGGATTAAAAAAGTGTGCCGGGCAAAGCACAATCTTGGAGAAACAAATGGAGTAGTTAATGCGACGGGGTCAAAGGGTGTGAAGATATAATTAAAAGGGAATAAAGTGGGCGTTTGCTTTACTACTGAAAAGTATCAGGCCACTAGGTCGCTCGAAGTAAATTAGATTAGGCAGAGATCCAGGGCGGATTACATCAATCTTTAGTAGTTGACTAACGTTGCGTAATAGCACACGGGTCAGTTACCGTTTAAACTGTCTACGATATCATCAATTTCATAGATAACACTATTATCCTCTTATATTTTCAAAACATTACGTTCAATTGTAATTCTGCACTCGATATAGAATACAGAAATGTCATGTGATATCTTGCAGTCTGAAGATACGTGCGAAATCGAGAAATCGCTTAGGAGAGCCTTGGATAAGATTGGAGTACCAGTGAAATGATGATTGGACTATAGCTGTATCGATTGCCATTGGGAATTCTAAATTATCGTTTTGTTTGCCGACATAAGGTTTTTCCATGGGATGCTACCATGCTACGGATGGCAATGTGACGATGATATGCTGTAATCTAGACAGTGAGTGAGCTTCGGCCGAATGTGAACGCCCACTGTCGTAACACTGGCTGATTTCTACAAGGGGAAACGGATCTGATAAGTAGCAATGTGTATACATATATGTGCATATATATATGTACACGTGTACTTATAAATAGTATATCAGGTTACGGTTTTAAACAAGTGGAATAATTGGTGGATACGTCATCGACACGCGGGAACTTGGCAGAAAATATTTGACAGAATCCTATTCTGCTTGTGACCCTAGAGAATTTATTTTATAAACTATGTTATAGTTCTGATCAAACGAAAGTAGTGATATTTACGTGAATTTCTAGTTCTCTTTTTCTGGGCAACGAGAAAAAAGAAAATCAGGATCTGAATGACTTTTGCCAAAGACATATTTCCCTCGTATTGTTCGTCAATCTCTGTAATATCCTCAGCCTCTATGAGATATACACAGAGCTGCGGCAGCAATCTGCAGATTACACGAGCATAGATTACCAGCAACCTCAAGTCAGCTACTGGTATTGCGATTGAGTAACGCAGAAGAAACCTTTAGAATCCAAGCAGAATCCATTTAGAGTGAAATTGTAGTGTCCATGAAATAATTTCAGTTTCTATCTGTCAGAAACAACTAGATGTCAGGATAATCTGAAATGTATTTAAAATATATATATATAAACGTCCCTCCCTCCCTAACGTTTTAAATCAAAATCTCTTATCTTGAACCGTACAAAAATCACGATGATCCTTCTGACTGATCAAGCACAGCTTCCAGCTGCGCGTGTAATCTCAGTTGCAATTTGACGTGAAAGCTTAAGCATGATCACTCGCTATATATGTGAGCACGAGGTTTTTTAATTATTCATACCAACGACACGGGTAGCTCCTCCTCTTCTAGCCAGAGCAGGTACGCGTTTACGTTTATCGAGATTCACGTAGTACTTTGAGACGTGAGCCAAAGGATTTTTGCTTGCATAGAGAATATACTGGTATCGTACGAGTTTGCTTTGGCAAAAGCCAGATGAACTCATCAAGAGTATGTAGCATAGGAGACACGTTGAAGAGCCTAGTGAATCCAAAGTGATGTTCCACATATCCCATTTCTTTGACAAGAGGAAAAGCTATGATCAAAAAAAAAAAATAAGTGTTTTATGAAGTGTGTTATTCTCTATACTTTCTATGGTAGTCACCCTTTCGAGCACAAGTGTTTGTTTTTTTTTTACGTTGCAATGCGTGGGAATAACTAAACGCTTGTAAGTGTTTAAAAAGTGACTGCCGTAGAAAAGATAGGTAACACGCTGTATATACGTAAATTTGCAGTGAAGAGCTCACTGAATTCTCAAACGACACAAACGTACCTCGAACGCTATTCAAGCGCACCTTATTCCTAAGGTGATATTCCAGATTCAATGATTTCCAAGGGACTATATAAATGCACTACAGTGTAACTTCAAGGTGTGTACACACAACAGGCGTTATGATGTTAGGTACCTTCATATTCTACGTGCTAGAATAACGAAGACTAAAGGTGAAAGTCTACCGGGTGATTCTAGAATTCACCGTTGTTTGAATTGACCGTTGTCTCGTAGCTTCCTTCTCTCTCTATCTTACTCGCTCACATCCTTCGATTTCCTGAACGAATGTTCGCTCGAGCATTTCGTGCTCGCCTTTTCCTTTCGGAGCGGCTTCTGTAATAAAGTGTTTCTTGCACGGAATTCCGCGCCGCTGAGGATTACGGATAGAGAAATTCTCTTGAGTTCTCCGCATTTACCTCTCGTTCTCCTTGATACTTATGGCGTCGACAAGGAGACGTCAATCCTCTTATACTGTGACAAGGTTTATCAGGATACAGAAAAGGATTCATCCCCAAGGACCAATCCTCGATACAGCATCCTTATTTCTACGTGAAAATAAATAAATAAATAAATAAGTTTCAGCTCTAAGTGAGGGGACGTACCTCCAGCTTCCGAGAAGGATCGGCGCAGTAGACGCGTAATATTTCTGAATGGCATTCACGTCCACAAGGGTAAGAAAGGTAACCGGAAAGAGTATAATCTATGATAAATTGATGGCTAAACCGGATATAATGAAGATCGATAGTCAGTGTACGGGGACCCGCGTTTTTTGAATGACAATTAGGTCCGAAGGGCGGACAAACAATTGGCTCGTAGAGGTCCTTTGTAATGATTAATTAATTCCTCTTGCGGGTTAGGTTTGTCCGGAAGTGCGACAATATTCAGCAGGGAATAAATTCTTGCCCTGATATTATTAATAAATAATATCGTTGCGTCCTTCAATTTATAGTGGTTGATACGTACACCCTTGTGTTATTACTATGTATAGAATGATTCATCGAAGCGTTCTTGAGTCTTGATAATCAATAGTCATTTAATTTCTAATAGCCATGTAAGATACTAAGATAACTTTGTGTATATGCGCCTGTTTGCTTGATATACAATAAATATATATATTTATATATTCATGCTATTTACATGCTATATAGAGTAAAGAAGAAGTGGCCTTTATATTTAAAATATCGACGATTAATCATTAGATTAATTGCTTATTAAATATCACAGTCACCAATCATTATTTATTGTAAAGCCCAAGCAGATAATCATTTTTATGTTTCTCCCATAGAAAATAATGATATATATAAGTGTAAAATTCACAAAAAATATAAATTGCTACTATCTAGTAACTAATTTTGAATTGTCAAACCTGACAAAAGAAGCAGCAATCGTTTTATGACGCATACTGCACCCACCCCAAGAAGCTCAAGGGAATAGTCACAATAAAAAGCATTTTTCCTGTCATTAGTCAAAAAGTTTATATCCAGCACTACTCGTTAGACAAATATTTAACTAACATTTATTAAGATCATTGAAATCCAATGAGAAATTCATCCAAGGCTAAGTGTCAAGGCTCTTTTTTAATAATGATCACGAATAGAAAACCACCCCCCACATAGCCGGCGCCCTAACAGCCATGTGCCGTTGTGAACCGCCGCCCTTTTACTACTTAGATTCGTCCTGACTCTCATAAACACTATGACAATCTTCAAGCACTCGCAACGGATGAGTTACTCACTCTTTGATCTTATCCGGTCGTCGTCAAACTGCCATTACGTTATAACAAGCGATAGACACTCGGTCGACCCATCCCAGCTCGAAACGGAGACGGACTAACTGACAAGATGTCACGTTTCCCGGGAGCGTTACTAATATTCAACTTCTTACCATATTCGTTGGCTGATCACTCGCGTATCCGGGCATAATACCGTGTCACAATGCACTTCCGTAAAATATTCTTCGATGAAGTTAAGACATCGCTTTATTTCGCGCAACTACACCCGCAAACATAGAAAATGGCGTTACTCGCTCGTAATGCCACGGCTGGCCACGGCTGGCCACGGCTGACTCGATTGAGCGAAATCAGCGCCGCCTCCCGACGTCTCAGCGGCAGTTCCGGAAACTAATTGGGAAACTGGCGTGCTCTACGTTTTTTATTTGTATAAAAATATTTATTTTGTTCTTTTATCATACCTTATCTTGTTTTTATCAGACGAATTTTATGACTGGCTTTTTGCATGTATTTATTGATCGAATATTATTTTCCTAATGTCCTTTAGATGGATTGATGCGTCTTTTTTTACAATTGAACCAATAATTTTATTGAATCTTTATGTGACAAGGATTTCATGAAGAAACAGTGTTTCATGCTGAAGATATTTTACTGAAATTTGAATATTACAATATTTTTTGCTTCGTTCTGACAAAATGATTGTTAGTTAAAAATCCGCATTGAAAATTTTCAATCGATATATTACTGTGGAGATGTAAGCATAAAAAGTTGAATGTTTTATGTACATCTGAAATTCAATGTTTTTTACACATTTATAATTTTTTCAAATAAAACAGTCTAGAAAATATTTTGCCCATTTTATCTATATAGGTATATACCTATGTGTTATCTTTGTAATGGAATTTATATTTTCACTGCACAGTGTGCAATAATTTTAAATCAATATTTACATGTCATAAATGAAAATTTTCAAAATACGTTTCTTAGGTATGAGAAAGATTCTAGTTCAATAAATAGCTGCTCATTATGTGGTAGGTGTTAGTTATATTGAAGTTCATTGCAAATTAGACTACCGGCAATGCATTCATGTCTAGACGGTTGCCATGCGTCATATACATGGTGTCTAAAATTATCTTCATCATTTTTGTCAGTTTCAGACATTCCCATGAAGATAAATTATTTCTTATGGATTCCTCACAATTTTTGTAGATAAAATAATTCCTCTAATTTTTAATACTTTGAATATTCTTTTTCAAACCACTGTACACACTGTACTATGTATGTTATTCGGTATACGCATAGTATTTAACATGCTACCACTTCCCGGGTTCTGTGATGAATCCATGATTAATGTGTTCTAAACCGCCGGTTGTATATCTTGACAGTAGATATTTTTAAATTAACATTATAGTGATTACAACTGTCAAATTTCAACGTCGTTAATCAGAGAAACATATTATAGTGACAATGGCTGACGAAACAGAGCAAGTAAATATCTAATCTCTTTCTGATAAAAATATATTCTGTATAAAACGCACAGTATAACCTGAAATTTATGTTTTAAACAAAGGTTCCTGCAATCAATGTCAAAGAGCCACTGGATCTGATTAGATTAAGTTTGGACGAACGTATTTATGTTAAGATGCGGAATGAAAGAGAACTTCGTGGGAGACTACATGTGAGAATTATTTTGTCATACGTGATACGATTATGGAAACTGTTATTAAGATATTACTTTCAAATTTTAGGCTTACGATCAGCACTTGAATATGGTGCTGGGAGAAGCAGAGGAAACCGTGACGACTGTTGAAATTGACGAAGAGACATATGAGGAAGTTTATCGTACTACTAAAAGAAATATTCCTATGTTATTTGTACGAGGTGATGGTGTCATACTAGTATCTCCACCTAGTATGAGGGCTCCGATGTAAAAGATTTTCAATAGAAATATTTTTGGAGTAAATATTTTTTCATTTTCTAAAAATTAATTTAATAATTTAACTAATTCTAATTGGCATTGTTTAAGGAATAGAATGTTATAAGCTTTTAAAAACTATTTCATGTTTGTGTGTGATTGTGCTCATATTTCAAGGTTTGCTTGTCTGATATTTGGATATGCTTTTAGCTGAAGCATGTACTTTAGGAACAGCAGTATTATCTTGAGGCTTTATAATTTGAGTAGTAAGATCTGCAATTCTCTGATCTTTTAGTTTCATTACACTTTCAAGGTGTGAAACTTTATAATTCAGATTTTCTATGGCTTTATTCTTCTCTTCAAGTTCCTCCTTCAAACGAACAAAAACACGTCGTGGTACAGTCTTGTTCGTTACCTCTTCAGAATTCAGCAAAGACCTTACCGTCTCTATCACATGACAATAACAGTTTTAATTATCATTACTTACAAAATATTGAATCAAACACTTACCACCCTTACCATTTTCTTCGTAGCCAAAGTATAAGGAATCTCTATCGGCATTACTATCTTTAAGTATCTTTGTACGTAAGTCCATTAATACCTTCTCTATAGCACCATGCTGCGAATTGGACAACTGATCAATCTCTTCTTTTCCAAGCTTCATATCCAGTTTAGATAAAACTTTTCGATTGAGCGTGCACCAGTTATCAACTTTCTTTGCAATACTACTACCAGAAACATAATTGTGCACATCTACGTTGCGAGGATAATATTTCTTCAGTAATTCCGCCATAAGCACTATCATATCAATTTTAAAATAATTCATTCAACTCTTAAACTAAATATCATAAAACATTTTTATTTGAAGTATTAATTTAAGTTATCCTGTTAACAAGATTTTTCTTACCAGCATCAGAAAAATCTCTAGCAATATTTTTCTTTGGTCTTGAAAATTGAATTTGATCTATCCATGCATATATTTCCTCAAGAGTATCAACAGCTTCCGTTTCTGTATTTCCGTTCATATTGCACATAAACTTGTTTCGTTCATTAAAAAAAAACCGAAATCTAATTTCAAACAAACATACTTCGCCTTTTTCTACATAGAAAATTTTTGCATGACCAAAGATACCCGTCACGATACTGTCAGATGAACTTTTGACATTTTCAAAAATTGTCATGTCAAAAAAAAATAGTCGAATACAGCAAAGACATGTTTCTACTCGATGTCAAAATTGTCACATATTCGGTTAATATTAATTATTCAATATGATCATACAATTAGAGTATCAATAAATGTCTGAAGAAATTCCACGGTTTAGATTTCCCACGCAAAAAACGGGATATAATAAAATAATTTTATTTTCAGAACCACATCGAATCTCCCACATTTATTTACAATGCCGCCAATATCGTAAATGATAAGGAAATCGCTATAAGAGCAAAAACGCTAACGATACTAACTGCTCCAGATCTTACTATCAATGCTGTTTTTTCAATTAACCACTCATAAGTTTCTTGATCCTCTTGTCGCAACAATTCATCACCAATGGTTGATCTCACCCTTTCGTGATAATTGTTCAGCCATTCAAGCTAAAAAAGTATTTCATAAGAAAACTGTCTGTCATTATATAAAGATACTTTTAAAAATTCTCCAGTCACCTGCGCATTAGTGAGTTTGCTGACATCAATTAAATTTCTTTCGTAAGGTACTAATGTTACAGTATCGAAAGCAAAATACTCTCCATCAGCCTCATACTATATAAACAATAAAATTAGTTTTGAAGAATTTTTAATAAAAAGTCTATGTACGACTCACCATAGTATTAGCCTTGACAACAGTAACAATATTTTCTAATCGCATGCCCCACTCATTATCACGATAATAACCAGGCTCCTGGGATCCAAAGAAATTCAGATCATAAGTAACATTAAAAGCTGTGAAAAAGAGAACAAAATTAAAAAGTATAACTCGCAGCTCGAGTTATCAATAACTTTGGATTTACGCATACCTTCATGAACTCCAAGGAAGGCACCGATACCATGTGTACTACCATGTCCATAATTTTTACCCAATTTATAAAGTGGTGCTCGAATAAGAATATCAGATGTTCTAAGAGACACTCCTGCTGGGAATACTAAACTGGCTAGGTCAATGCAGCCAACTAGCAATGCAGTATATGATGCAATTTGTTGTTCAGTTGGAATTCCATAATGTATTGTTCTCGTAACATCAGTAGTTCCATCTGAAAATTGTAGAAGACCCATATTAAAACAAGTAATATGAAAGGGTGACAAAAATATATTTAAACAGGAATAATTTTACCATAATATTGGCCACCAGAGTCCAACATAAAAGTGCTGTTTTTCAGTATTTGCAAATTTGTCTCAGAAGTTGGCATATAATGTGGCAATGCAGAATTTGGTCCAAATGCTGATATATAACTAAAACTGTCGCCACGATTATAAGCTTGCTTTGTCCGAAGTTTGCTCAGTGTCTCTACGGCTTTCAATTCGTCCCAATAAACATCCTCAGCCATCTGATAAAAAAAATTACCATTCAGTATCGTGGAAGCCATAATTAATACATAATCTCATGTTAATTACTTCTCTCTCAATAAGTCCCATAAATTGAATCAAAGCAACAGCATCCTTAACGTGAGCATGTTTCATGCCTGCAGCCTCCACATCATTTTTTCTGTCTTTACGTAAAAGTACAGGAGATGGTAATAATTGTATTTTGTTCGAAGGCATCTAAAAATAAATCTATAATTTACTCCTTTTTTTATACACCCATGGAATACTGACAACAGTTACATCAAAAGATGCACTTGGTATTGCGTATTCCACGTAAAAACATATAAACAAAAAAAAGTATTAAAATAAAAATTTGCAACAGTTTACCGTATTATAAATCTTATAGCTAACTCCAAGTGCATAACTATAAGCTGCTGGTACCAAAATTGCATTAGCAGCTGATGCAGCTGCTGGAAGATCCGTCCAAATGTCATCATAGTCATGGACGCTGCGAAAAGAAATGTAAATAAAATATTTAAAAAATTTATTTATTTAGTAAACAAATTTCTTGTATACTTACGAGATCGATGCTTCCGTTAAAACTGAAACTATACCCGATGTCTGCTTGTTACTCGGCAAATATAATCTTGAGGTCTCGTTAGTGATAAGCATGTACGACCGGAATAATGGTAAATAAGGTATATCAGAACCACGTAAATTGGTTAACCATGCAATTTCTTCCAACGCAGTCACAATATAAAGATCGGTATTTCGTGACAACATTTCACCACGCATTATTGCTATTTTCTCTTGGCGAGTTTGACCTATAAATAATATCGTACACAGAATTTAGAATCAAGATAACGTAGGTAGAATAAAATATCAAGGTACATAGATAAAGTTGTCTAGAAATAATACCGGCAAATGAATCAGGAAGAATGAAAACTGGATCTGTTGGAAAATCTGGTTGGTCAGTCCATATATTATCCACTAAATTCTCTTCAATAGCCACCAGATTGATTCCTCGAGCAGCTGTAATTAATACAATTATGATTTTTATATGAATTTTATAATGTATCAATTAAAATGCTTACCTAATGTCGTATTCCATAATGACCACTGTAAATAAGTTATTAAAGCTGGATCAGCACCGACTGAATCATTCGATGATAAAGTTTCGATTATCCAATTTTCGATTGTCGGTGTCTAAAAAATGCATATAATTGTTATGCAAATATTTATCAACTCCGCGGAAAGATAATGCAATTTGATATCAAGACTAATGTGTCACATTAGAAATATTTTTATTTACCGTTGATAAACCAGATTTCATCAGTGTCCAATCATCAGATAGTTCTTGTTCAGCTTGTAACCAATATCGACTGTCTGTCCAAAGTGCAGCTTGCGTCAGTGTTACTACTGCATCCCCGGTACTTCCGACGTAACCGGAAAGCCATTGTCTTCTTTGATCTCTTACACCCACGAAAGAGATACTCTAATTTATATGTAAGAAAAAAAAAAAGAAATTAGATCTTTCGTTAATATTATTTGTCTTTCAATATTTTGGGAATTTAATATGGATGTTATATTGTTCATAAATTTCATTGTAAATTTAGGATAGACTAATATTTTACAAATTTTTTTTTTAATTACTACTTCTATCCGTTCAAATCATTTGATTATCGATTAATCTATCATGTAAATTTTTCACTGCGTAATATTAGTTCACTCAGATAATTAGACGGCACGATAGAAAGTAAAGACGATAAACTTGTTGATATCATCCATCACGACCATATAATGGAGTACCTATTATCATTGAGGTAGATAAATACAAAATTGATCTTGTAAATTATATCCCAATTTCTAGTAATACAATAAGATTCTATATATTACATGAAAATTTTAAATAAAGAATAAATATTGGGTTGGCATGAAACTAATGGGACACTCTAGAAAACTCGACACATGTCCTTTTTTAAATTAATTATTTTTGACCATATTCTAGTATGTTGTAGAACATTCTAGGTACTTCCGCTCTGTGGGTATATACAATAGAAAATGGTCAAAAACAATTAATTTAAAAAAGGACATGTGTTTCTAGAATGTCTCATTATTTTCATGCCAACCCAATATACTTATTAAAAAAACTCTTATGGTAATTTGCAAAGTAATCACAATTAAAACTTTTTATCTTACCTGATGAGCATCACCGTCCGTGATGATGTACGCATCGATATTACGTAACTGCATCTGGTTTCTTAGAAGAGCCAATCTCTCAGGAGCATCCAAATTGATAGTTTCACGAGTGGGTGCACCAAAGACATCTAATATAGATCAAAACAAAAAGGGAAAATAAAAATGTTCATAGAAACAATTTTTTTTACATGAATATAATGATCCATAAATAATTGGAAAACTCACTTGATATGACCACGGTAGCAAATACTATAGTAAATTTGCAGACGACCGATAACCTCACAGTGCCCATCTTCGCTACAGACAGTCGTACGAGTATCTAATTGTTTTCGATAGGCTCCTTTAAGAAGCGTCTACACAATCTTATCTAATTTCATCAAAAATAATATCAATGAATGGTGATAGCTAGTAAGCATGCATCAACCAAACTGTAAAGATCGCGTAAGCCCTAAAGATTAATTGCAAACTCCAAATTACATATTTTAAAACGCGTAATCGTGCGATAGTGAATATCGTTACAATGTCAAATAAAAAGGCGCAAATAAAGTTCAAATGCCAAAACAGATATTTAAATATCACTAAATTGTCCGATTTTTGCGTAATTCCCAGACTAGTATAAACACAGATAATAAAAATTCTAAGTTCGTCCCAATGCATATTGCACGGTAAAATAAATATATATAATTGACAAGTTATTGTATTACATTATTATAATATATTATTATAATACATTTTCCCACCGAAAAATTATCCTACATAACGTCAAACCCAATCCTAATAACTACGTGACAACAGTCATTCTCGTACGCTGCTATACGAATTGCACAATATGACGCATTCTCTTACGAGATTTTCAACCTCAACGCAATGTCCACTAGTATTGTGTAATTTTCCAATAATCGATACCCAATCCATATCCCATAAAAGAACCACATAAGCCCCTCCCATCCTTTCTAATAGAAACCATACTCAAGTTTTTCTTTTTCAAAGGCATTACAAAAATCACATGCTGAACGTATAAATTATCAGTGACAATTAATTGTATTACCCACGTGAAAATAATCAGTGAAAAAATAAATAAAAGAATTTGATATTCCAATCGTCAGGTTATTATCGAAATTATAATCAATTTGACGAAAAATGTTGCAATTACACCCGAAATTTCGGAGCTTTGATACGGGATTGGCTGAAGGGTTTTTCGCGAGATCGATGCCCGCTACTCCCATGAACGTCTCTACGTTTGTGTGTACCCACCGACATGCCAACAGGTACATTTTACGCACGAATTTTCGAGAGTATTGGTGCCGACGAAGCATTTATAGGTTTCGCGCAAGCGGACAACGACTCGCAATGCCACGGACAGTTCCGCGCTCCACGCTACGTCCTCCGATCTCCAGTAGCACGCGAAACACTCGCGTAAAGAATTTACGTGCCGAATATACGAAACTTGTTATAATCGAATGTGTAATTAAAACGAATACAAAAACAGAAGCAGCTGTGAATGTAGAACTTAATATGAGCCGGATATTTTTGCGTCACTACTCAGACACGCAAAATAAAGAATTAAACACCGTAACTCTTGTTGGTTTCCTTGGATATTTTTAAATAGGTCGCATTTTCCCGCCACGGCGTATATAATATATATTTTTTGGAAACATCAGTTTTTATATCTTTACTCCTGATCTTCGAGAAGTGATCAATAAGGAAAAATGGCGATTGGAAGTTCTATACAGGGTGGTAAGTCCTTTTTGGTGTATTCTTCTCTTATTTTATACCCTGCGACTTTTATTTATTTATTATATAGATATTTGTTTAATTACATTGATTAAGGCTGAACGTGATTTTAATTTGCACATGGTAAATTTTCGTTAATTAACATTTAACATGTACGTGTACAAAAATGAAGACAGGTTTAAAAAATATTTCACTCTTATGATTCTTTTTGTCTCAGAAAATTGACACAGTCAATCTTCATGTATTTTGTTTGTGACAGAAAATGTTCAAGGTCACCATGACCCCCATGACCTTGTGTCATAGCGCCATCTTAAATGCGCAAGATTTAATGTATCCTCTTCACGATTTAGAAACTATTTTTAATCGAATTGTACAATTGTATGACATATTTTATTCTATCAACTGATTTCATTGTAAATGACTGATAATAAAAAATACCAGATTAATATGGAGCACGGTCGATAAAATATTTATCAAACGAAAATTCATAATTTTAGAGACATTCTTGTCAATTTATAGAAGACAACAGATATACAAAATTACCACTGTAATTTGTATTTTTGACAAATTTAATTACACTGCTATCACGCGACTTTTTCTTATTCTTAATCATTTAATCTGACACTTGTTGCACGACTATCACGTATACATATAGTACTTGATAAAAAGAATTTATATGTCTGCATTAAAGGCACTGACTATGATGACACTATAATTGACACAGATTTATATTCCGAATGAAAATTGCTTTTTACAGTGATCTATGACCTATTGAAGCTTTGAACTTGTTAACTTTTGATTTTAAATGTCATGAAGCAGCACATATGACTCTCACGACAATTTGTCAAGTATGTCAAGTACGTTTGTAAACTTATTACACAATATTGATAAATGAAAGATGCAATAGCACTTCCGACATTATTATTATGAATATTATTATGAATAACAACAAATTGCTGTTTCATTGAAAAATATCAATAACTAATTCACATACAGATAAAAACGGATTTTAAACAATACCTGACTCTCTTTTGTGAAAGTTCAGTAGCAAAGTATAATTAAAAAATATATTTCTTATTTTGTTCTGATGATCTGCTGCCATTATTAGAGTATAAAATTAGATCTCTTAAATGTCAATAGCAGTTTAGCCTCCTCAATGCAGTCATTATAGTCAATGTCTAAAGAATTTGACAATGTGTTATTGTTGTTTTGAACTTCACTAATTTTATTATGACCCATATATTGAGTAGAGAGCGATGATCTAATAACCATATGAAACTTTAAAACTAGGCGTATGGAACGCATCAGCTTGATGCATTTTAAATTTCACAAGAAAAACTAGAGAAACCCTTTACTTTTCTCTTCTACCATTTATGCTGACTTTAATAAATGTAATATTATATAATGTGTAAATATTGTAAGTTAATAGAGTATAATTATGTTGTTTTTGAACAAAAAAATAAGTTGCAGTTTCGTTCACGCGTCAATTTGACGTATGTAAATAGATATAGGTATATAAGAAATGTTCGTAAACCTAGTGTTCATTATGAGTTTCCTATGTAATATGCAATCGCTGTTATCTCTGTGCCTAATCACGAGTGCGTAAATGTACGAATTATCTAAAACTTAAATTGTGACCTTCTTCTATTAATCGATAGCTAACATCATTGATGACAACAGTCACTGAAATAATATAATAAAAAGAAATTAAAAACGGTGACTTCTTTCATAAAATATTTGTCAATGAGATGTGAGTATCTTGTATACATACATATAGTCATATGTATGACCTTCACCTACTAAACCATAGTCATATATGTGTTAGGAACAAAACACAATATTCTTCGTGTCAAACGTTGTCGGCATAATTAAATAAACGTGTTGCCATCGGTCTGAAATATCTTGAGGCATACAGCGGAGTCTGCAAAAAAAATGAAAAAAAATTAGGGAAAGTCAAAAAAGAGAAATTTATATTCCGAAAATATTCCCAGTGCACGCAGCTGCTGTTCTCATTCTGAAAATATATACTCTCAGTTTACTTCTGAGCCAGGCATGCTATATACCGTCTGTATATAGACATGCTATATACCGTCTGTATATAGCAAAGTTATTTTGATCTTCTGAAGCGACCAATGCTGATTACTTGTCAAACATTTGCCTATGCCTACGTAATCTTCCAATTTGCTTCGTTTCAAATTTTCGAAAAAGTAATTATTTGTGGTACAGAAATTACACAAAACTCTGAAGTAGGGTCTATAACACTGAGACGTCTGTTGAACGAGTTTAAGACATTTATAAAGTCTTTTCAAAGGTCTATGAAAATATCAGGAAGACAAATAACAAATTTCTCATTTCATCGCCCAATTCTCTCATTCCATAAAAATCTCTACAGGATGTTTAATAGACTCTAAATTTCTATGCTTAAAAAGCTCTGTAGACAGACGTCTGATAGAAATTTTCTAGACTCGTGTGCTATCTGGATGGTCATTGCGTCATATTTTTATTAACGTCTATGTGTGGTTAAATTAAGTAGGAAGAGCGTACAAAAACGGAATCAAGATACTACAGGAATATAAATACATTGGCAATGTAACCATGGCGAGTTGGTGCAACGTGCGAAAAGACACGTCGCTTCTTTCACAGAATTCATCAGTCTTCTTATAAGGATATGAACCTTATGGTGGTTTTACATATGAGAATCAGTTCCGATTGCTGATACTCAAATATATAATTGATATCATATTTCTAATTATCAGATATGAATAGATCAAATAGTGTAAAATTTGGCACAGTCAGGTGGTGTGAAAACTTTTGTTATACTCCCTACTGCTTACGTGTTATTTTCTTTATTACCTAATTGATATCATCGATGAACATATTTACTGTAATATTATTTTTTGATAGGACATGCAATTACGAAAGGACCCACATTTCCTATTCGTTACTTGATGGCTATTATGGGTTCTATTGGATTGGCTATTATCTATGGATTTAAAGTAAACGTGAGCGTCGCCATAGTGGCTATGGTGAACCATACGGCTGTTAAATTAGAAGCACTGAACTTACATGCAGGGGATAATGATACAAGCAGTTTGCCTAGTGCTGATGTCTGTCAGCATGAAAACAATGGAATTAATATCACAAAAACTGTCGTTGAGGTACATGAGTATTTTAATTTTAATTTAAAGAAAATTATAGGAATACTACTTGGAAATTTAATGCCATCTAACTTTATACAACCTGTTGTAATTCTATACTGAAAAGAAAAGCTCTATTAAAAGAATAATGTATGTACACTTCCAATTTTGAGTTACTGCTTCATTTGGTTTAGAATGAAGCCTGAAAGAGATGATATCATTATGATTTGTCCTTTTATGTTTTTGAAAAACAAAATTATTGTGGCACAATTTTTTTCAGGATGGTCCTTTTGTGTGGAACGAACCTCTTCAAGGTCTCATCTTATCATCCTATTTTTGGGGATACTTGATATCTCTTCTACCAGGAGGAAGAATGTCTGAATTACTTTCAGCAAAATGGGTCATGAATGGCTCAGTACTTTTGAACGTTGTTGCATCTATGTTATCACCTCTTATGGCAGAATTGCATTATTCACTCTTTATCATAATGCGATTCTTGCAAGGGATTGGTGGGGTAAGTTAAATATAATATCCTAAAAGAATATTAAAATATTATTATTTTTAATATATTATAGGGTGTTACCTTCCCTGCTATGCATGTTATGATTGCTAAATGGGCACCTCCAAATGAAAGAAGTGTTATAGCTTCTATTGTTTATGCAGGTCAGCAAAGACTATATGATATTTAAGATTTCTCAGAAAAAGAATTGAATATTAACTGATAATTCTCGTTACAGGCACTGCTCTGGGAACTGTTATTTCCATACTCTTATCAGGTTTACTCGCTGCTACTTTGGGATGGATTTGGATTTTTTACATCGAAGGTCTTCTGTGCCTAATCTGGTGTACCGCCTGGTGGCTTATGATTGCTGATTCGCCTGAAGAGCAAATAAGATTTATTACACAGCAGGAGAAAGATTACATTTGTAATTCATTAGGACAGACTAAGTCGAGTATTCATAAACCAGTATGTTTATTGATATATTCATTCTTTTTTAACTATTCAATATTCCTTGCAAACTTTTTTTTTTCTTAGAAACCACCAGTCCCATGGAGACAGCTTTTGACTTCTCCACCGTTTTTAGCAATATTAATTGCTCACTTTTGCAGCAATTTTGGCTGGTACATGTTGCTGATTGAACTGCCAACATTTATGAATCAAATTTTAAAATTCGACTTGAACTCAGTAAGACATTTTTTCTCAACTTATTGAATATTTTTCAAGTTACCTGAAACGTTTTAAATGACTCCACTTTATTCCAGAATGCTGGACTTTCCTCAACACCGTTCCTTTGCATGTGGATTTTTACAATGATTCTCAGTAAATCTCTGACCGTCTTGCAAGACAAAAATGTAGTAACAATAACCACCTCAAGGAAAATAGGAACGTTAATTGGTAAGTACACTGAATGAACATTTTCTGATTATTTTATTGAATATTATTATTCTTTTAGCCTCGGCCGTACCAGCAGTCTGCTTACTCGGTGTATCCTACGTTGGCTGTAATCGTGCACTTGCTGTCGTTTTAATGACTATCGGAGTCACCTGCATTGGCGGAATGTATTGCGGATTTTTGGCAAATCACATAGACATTGGGTCAAATTTTGCCGGGACTTTAGTAGCAATAACTAATACTTTTGGCACAATACCAGGATTCGTTGTACCAATTTTCGTTGGACAACTGACCCACGGAAACGTGAGTATTGAAAAACTGTTAGCATAGAACTTATACTATGCATTACAAAAATTCCAGTTTTTAAATTTAAAAAAAATTGCTCAATATTCTGATGTTTTACTCTTTACAGCAAACCATCGAAGCTTGGAGAATAATATTTTTTGTGACTATTGGTCTCTACGTTCTTGAAATAATTGTTTACACAATCTTTGGTTCCGGTGAAGAACAACCATGGAACAAAGCCAAACCGACAAGTGAAGGGTCGCCTGAACAGACGTTACCTTTAAAAGCAAATGGAACTAAATGATATTTATCTAATTGGCCCTGGTCCAGGTGCACCCGTTATACGCATTTCGTGATTCATCCTTAGCAAAAAATTCAATATTGAAATTATTTGGTTTCAAAATTATATATAGTTTGAATATAAAAATGATCTCTAATATTTCATTGACACAATTATGCTTAAAAGTATTGCACAATATATTGTATCACAGTATTTCATGTCTGTTAATGGCGATATGCGGGTTGCTTCATTTAAAAATCATTTACATTGAAAACACGTTTGTAGTGTTATCATTCGGCCTTAATTATTTGAAATGAATATTGTTCATGCTAAGCAAATAAACTTTCTTTGACGTCTAATCGATACTTCATGCATACATTTATATTAAACATGACTGTGCTTTACGCATTAAGGAATCGATACGTATTTAAGAGAATTATTATCAATGTTGACGTAGAAGTAGGCATTTGAATGTCGCGACTAAAAGTATTTGATGTTTTTAATTATCAAAATACAGAAAAGTTGACTGTTATATATCATTAAATGTTAAGCGTTGTTAAGATATCTGTCATTAGCTGTTACGGCATAAAAATCATAAATCTAACAAATTTCTTCAACCTAAAACTTATGTCTTGCTTTTCTAAATTTTTCGACATGTACCCCTTAATCCGAGGAACCAGTGAAAGTGCTATTATACTAATCTTTGCCGACATTAATATTTAATGTTATTTATTCTATTTGTAACAAAACTTGTCTTTCGTTAATATCATTAAATAGAAATCATGACAAATATAGTGAGTTTATAATATGATTTTTTTAAATAATAATTTATTTACATGACTTCTGAATAAAGTGCCATGTCTTAAAAAATATGAACCTAAAATTTTTTTACAAGTTGTAAATTTATCTCTAACGTTACCGAATTACAGGAAACTGGATATCTTCAGCGTATTCTTTGAATTTTGCAAAAATAAATCGGACCCCAATTATTCTTTACTGTTGGTATTACGATATGGCCATATCTAAGTCCAAAATTACCAAATTTATACAGACATCTAAGTGGATTCAGTGCTTCCGACATATCTCTGTAACAGTTCAATAAAAATAAATATGATCCATATTGAAAATCTATGGTCAAAATGTTCTATAAACTCCTTCTTACTTGACGATCATCACGGACTCTGTTTCCTCCCATGATTTTTTCAATGCCATTTGTACAACACCGTCATTTTGAATTGGACTCAAGGAACAGGTAGAATATACGACAATACCGCCGGGTGCCACCAATTTCAAGGCATTGCTATAATAATGATTTAAACAAATTGATCGTATTAATGGTAAATTAAAAATTAAATATAAATAAAACGTACGTAAGAATATCTGTCTGCACTTGTGGCAAATTTAATCTTTCTTTCAGTCTCGTTGACTTAAACATACTATTGTCGTCCTCGTGTAAGGCGAGCCTATCTGTTGTACATGGTACATCGACTAAAATCTAAACAACATTCAATTAATTTACATAATTGATTAGATTGAATATTACATGTTATAGAAAAATGTTAATACCTTATTAAATACGTCTTTGTCCTGTATCAGCCTGGCGTCGTTTTCCGTAACGAATAATCTACCTTCCCACTGTCCCATATCAGATATATATTGATCAAGTACATTGTTTATTCTGTTTACTCTGGATAACTGTATATCATTGAGAACCACTACACCAGGCATAAGACTTTGTATTGCTGCTAAGGATTTGCCTCCTGGTGCAGCACACATATCCAATACATTATCACCCGGTTGCAAATCTAGCGCTAGTACTGGTAACACAGAACCACCATCCAGTAGATAATAATCTGTAAAAAGTAATAAATTATGATACACGCTGATGAATGAGATAAATGACAAGTGAGAAATAGTGTACTGTAAACTCCAGTGCTGCCTCTTTTAGGATGTGGAAACCTCGTGTCATTATTTTCTTCATATGTGTAGATTTGAAGATGTTTTGGAAAATTTAAAGTCGACTCTTTTTCACTTTTCACAGTAAAATCCGCACCCTTCTGGTAATACTTATAATGATCGGATTCCAGTACCCAATCCTCCAAACCTAAAAATGTGATTTGTTATGTATATTATATTAATATTTTCAGAATTATATAAATTCAGTGATTATAAAATTATTGAGTAAATTGTATGCAAAATATTATAGAATTAATTCAACGCCAAATCGATCACATTACGATACAAGTTATTAAACATAGACTATTATTACACATTGTTTTTATTATTGAATTTGTTTTAATTTGACAGTATATTTTTTATTTTCTATTGCGTATTTAATAATTTTAAATAGGTTTGGTATAGTACTGTATGTCCTGTATCTACCCACCTGTGCAGTAAACATGCTTTTAGATGGACTATGACGTGGCTCATAGGAAAGATTTTCTTATTTTGATTCAGTTTCTATAAAATATATGATGTCAATAAAGTTCTTAATTATTCTAGCAGTATTCGATTTGGCGCAAAAATAGTGTCGTTGCAAGATTCAGAACGGGATTTCTGTTAAGAGGTACTTACCCTTTATTTTGGTAGCTGGGATATATTCGTACAATGAAGAACTAGACAAGCCCATAGATGGATTAATTATACGATTTGTGTCAAAGTCAGCATTTTCCATGCCACTTTCAATGGACTGCAATGGCATTGGTCGAATTGGTTGATCTATTTTAGATGCTTCATCTTCATCTTTAATGATTGTAGGCTCTGCAGATAATGTGTAATCTTCTGGATACATTGACTGAACTTCTGCACGGTTTTTATTCATCAGCAAAGATGCTACATTTATATTAGATTGTTCATGAGATGTAGAAACTTTCTTTTTCGGACGTTCCGTATGCTGGTTACGGAACATAATATTCTCCTGATGAACATCATAAACTGTTTTTAAGTTAAAAGCTCCAGATGCCTAAAATCAATATACAGCAATGATCATGATAGAAAACGAAATGTGCTAAAAAATCCATATTCAATTTACCTCAAGGTCACTTATTATTTTCTCAGTATCACTGAAGTTATTAATTATTGCCATGTATTTGCTGCCTTTTCGAAGAAGAGCAGTTCTAATATATGGCCATGCATTTCCATATACAGACTTATAAAAATCATCAAAATGTTCCAATGCTATATCCTTAGCTGTCTTTTTCTTTTTGAGCACAGACTTGAAACATCACATGAAAACAAACATTGCAAATACAAAACCATAATCTCAATGTACTTATCAACTATTGATTTTTTGGCTGAAACCATAGTAACCTATGAAATTAAACAGCTTACCCAGTGATCCCGCGGAGCCTTGTATCTCACTATTATTTTTATCACGTTCTTTACTTTAACTTTATTAAACAACTGTGTCATCATTTTACAAAATTATAACCTGAAATAAATTCGGAGATTAATATCCAGCCACTGAATACTGACTTACCTGGACTTCTTTTAAATCAGTGTTCAAAGTATAATAAGAATGATTATAATATTATATATATTCAAAAGCTTATTATGTAAAAATTACTATAAAAAATTTCATACAATTTAAACAACCGCAAAACCACCCCAAGTACCGGCACGTTTTATATCTTTAAATTTTCTCATCTGCATCACTCTTAAGCAATACGCAAGATAGATAAACTCTCATCTCTGAATACTGAACTAGAAAATAAACAATGAGCAATTAAAGGTATCCTAACAAAAGCTATACAAGATATTACTATTTAGTCTAATCGTTGAAAATTATCTAAATATTTGAAAAATGATCACTGCCCCAAATCACATTCCGATCTTCCTAAAATTATAACCAATTATAACAGTGAATTCTCATACCATTCAACTTAATCAGACAAAACAAACAAAATTTACACTGCTATAGATACAAGAACAAACTCCAATGATTAATATTCAGTATATCAATAAACTGTCAATCTAGGTAATAATACAAAAATATATGGAGTTAATACGAGAGCTTACAATTTATCAATACAAGTGTATTTCATTCAATAAATTGCTGAATCTAAATTCAAATCTAACACTAAGTATAGATGTAAATATGCAAACACATCTAGGAATACAAGCAGTCGATTTTAGAACACGTATCCAGAAACAACTTCAATTATTTAACGTTGTCGAGCCTGAGCAAATCCAATCCCGTCGTCTGCAATAATTGCCAAAATGACAGCTCGAGTTATATTGTTAATACCAAGTACAAGTAACACAAGTCGTGAAATGTGATTAAGAGAAATGACAGCGCATTTAATATATCACAATAGCCAGGAATGAAAAATCGTCATGGATCACGCGAGTGAGCATAGTACAAATGAAGTTTAATAATAACCAGAGAACCGTGTGGCTTTAGAACAGTTCTGACAAGTGCGAAGTTTGAGCATTTATATAGTTGATTTAGGCCAATTTTTTCCTGGCACGACAGTCGTTGAAATATCATTTGTTTGTGAGCGCTGTGCAAAGGTGCGTGCTGGAGCCCAAGTGCTCCATATTGATCAATATCGTTCGCCAGTTGTAGCAATGATTGGTCAGTGTAAAACTTCGTTCAAACATCGTCGTAAATGCTCAATACTCAAGCAAACTCGGCCGTGAAGTGAGTGGGTGCGGGTGTGTTTGTAAAAGTGAGTCAATCTAATGTTATTGCGTATTCCGCATCGGTCTACGCTTTCTAGTAGACGGCGCATCTGTTTCTGCAGTAGATTGTTATTTGCGGCCAGTAGGACTTTCCTGAATTACGCCAAAAGGTTTTGAGGAAAATGACGTTTTTCTGTGAATCATATTTCTTGTTGTTATTTGTTATTTCCTTATGTTTCCTCGTCATTACGCATTTGACACTCGTAGAAAATTGTTGAGATTCGTATCTATTTTTAATTTGTATTCTTTATATTTTTAATGTTTGTTGCTTTTCTTACTGTTGTATTTTTGTTAACCATATGGTTTATTGTTGTTTTAAATATTTGTTACACGAACTCTAGTAGCTTCATGAAATGTTATGTGGTCTGTTACTCAACATATTTTTTGGAGAATAATTTATTTAATTTTGTGTTGTCTGATAATTTTTATTATATCAGAATTATTTATTCCAGGTACAAACTAATGAAGAGAATTTGTGGCGTCTTGTATCTCTTATAGATATACATGTTTTCGTTGATGATGATGAATGATTGTTCATTGAAATTGCTAAATATCAAGGCTTTGCCAGTACTTAATGAATCATGGATCATGATAGTATTTTCAATGAATATGGAAAATAATAGTGTTTCATGCTATAAGATTTTGGAGCTTAGCGATGCTCTGTTACATACAACAAACTCGATCTGTTGAGTATTAAGCAGCGAGTAGCAGTTATTATAAGGATAAACGGGTTCGGCATGATCTGTGGTAAAGATAAAAGATCTTTGGAAACACTGGGTGGGGAGGCATGGAAGCTGAAGGTGGTCAGCTGGTTCACCAGAGTCTACGGCTCAGGCTGCCATCACCAGAAATTCCTGATCTCAATGTTGTCAGAGCCTTGCATCAGGTTTGACTTAGTTCTGATAGCAATTTCTATCAATATTTTCAATACAAAACAGTAGACAGTAATGATATTTCTATTTTTAGTGTACTAATAGTGTTCTACTCAATCGGTTAAGCTAGTATACTACTAAACAGTTTTCATTTTTATATAATCATTCCTATACCTTGACATCATATTAAGAAGAAACTATTTTATTAATTTCCCAAAGGTTATTATATTATGTTTGTTTTTATTTTCAACAAAACAGACAGTAATATCATTACGTTCAGCACTGGACACATCACGCGAAGAACTTCGCCGTTTAAAAGAAACTGTGGGTGACTTTTCTGGGAAAACCTATGCTGATCTTGTAGAGCAACTTGCATTGGAGAATCACATATTGAGACGCCGTATCCTGAACAAGGATAACGAATTTTCCAGTGATGTTGCTACGAGCCCTCCACCTTCCAATGTATCTCCTCCACAAGCAACATCTACTCCAATAACAAGTAGACAGTAAGTTTTGGAAAATTGCAATATTACAATATCTCCTAATCCTCACAGGACAATGCGTTGTTAGACTGAAGTAATTCTATTAAAAAATTCCTGGAGAAAATCAAAATAGACATAGTAAGACAAAGTTCATTCATGGTAGAAATAATTCGTACGAGAACCAATGTTACACATGGAAAAAAGGGAGACTGATAAAATTATTTAAATGCGCAATAATAATCATCTGATTCGTCGAGCCAGTTGTCCTAGAACGGTAGGATAATTAAAACGATGCAGCATTTCGCGTGATCTATTAATAACTACTCGCATCTCCGGGACAGACTGACTCATTCTACGTGCGTACGTTTGTCAGTTCATCGCAGAGAGTCGTAATAGACAACGTCATGGACGCGGCCACGGATAAACCCGTCGCAAAATCACCAGCTGATCCGGCGAGCACAAAACCATCACACGAGGAAGCACAGCACGGGTCTAATACAGATGAACGGCGAGACTCACTATCTAGGATGTCAAAGACTCAGGACGGAGATAATGTTCGCGATGAAGGAAGCTCTGGACAGTCTCATCCAAGAGCCATCGGCGAGGTCGAGAGGGACGGACAAACGATTAATTCTCATAACTCTGGTGTGGAACACCTGAATGTTCCTGATAAGGACCTAGAGGATTCTAGCTTGAAGTCTGTCTCAGATGGTGACAATTCAGTATTCAGTGATAACCAAGATAATCCTCTAGAGATGAAGCCAACAGAATCTGAAAATGAGTCTGAGGAACTCGACGATATTGAATTAATCTTTACCACCGATGAGACACGAGACGTAGGGCTTCAGGAAGATCTCGTCTCAATCACAGAGACAGAATCTTGGAGGCAGACAGGTCAGAATGTCTTATCAAAATACATGAAGTCTCACAATAACGAAAATTTAGTGTGCAATGGTGATAAAACCAATTCCGTGGAGGAGGCTGTCTCGTCGCAAAGTTCCAGCATCGACCGGGAGGAGAGTGTGGACAGATTCGACGAAGGTTCTAATGCAAGATTAAATAAAATGTGGTCCCAGTGCTCTGTCCTGGTTGAGACAGACATCAGCAAGTGTGGCGTCGTAGAGGAATCAGATCATACTACCAGGCATTCTACTGCCAGAAGAAATACATTAGCAGCTCCACCAACGGCATACCGGTAAATTATACTTTTTAAGGATAGTTGTTTAACGGATATGCTGTAATTGCAGAGTGTTATGCATTTTAGACCTATAATTCACCGAGAAGCTTTAGCAGTGGGTCGTAGGAAAAGTGCAGCACCCTTACGTCCAGTAATGGATAGGAATTGCGGCGCTAGAAGGGAATCTGGCGCACAGACTGATATATCAGCGCTTCCTGCACAATGGAGATCAGAAAGTTATCTCGCGCACAAAGTAGCTCATACGTTCACTACGTTACCAAGTAAATTTGCACTTCCTTCCGGTGTTGCCGGGAGACTGAGGCTCTCTGATAAGACCCGGGAGGCCAGGCGAGTTATGTTATCAGACATCAGCTTCACGAGTATGGTACCAGAATTATCCAGGAGTGCTGATCATCTATGTCACGATCCTCATGCTCAGGTAGAAGTTGGAGTAAATATACTCTATAATAAATTGAAATCATCTCGATTCTCCAACTGATTCGATTCAATTTAATCAGGCCTGCTTCGGCACGCGTGGCTGCGGTCTACGCACTCCTGAGGTACATCGCCGCGAGTCTCTGGGTTCACCAGCTGGTTACTGGCCTCGCTGCAATCCCAGTGTAGGACTGCCAAGTCCTTGCGACTGCCGTTTATCAACCGATTTGTATTCCTCCCGATACCGCGGCTCTTTGACATCTATACCCTCACCTGGTCTAGAGGTCGTCGGAGGACCACCGCGTAGACATTCTTGGAGAGCAACAGCAGCATCCTTCGACACGTGGAGAGTGCCTGTAGCGACACCTACGGCAAGACCTACCTGGTCATCGATGCCGTCTTCACCAACTCATTTGAATCCTCCGTCGACTTCTGCGAGGGCTCCTAAGGGCCCTCCGAAAAGGACACGCTCCAAGGTCACCTTTCAAGGTAAGCGTAGCCAATTTCGCATATGGAGATTCGTGTGCATATTTCACTTACTTGATCTACGATTCAGAGTGTCCGATGACCCGAGGAAGTCTACCTAATTTGCGCACCGATTCCACTACTGGTGACAATAGCGGAGACTCGACGGAGTCTTTGATCGACGAAGCCGAGGATTACTTAAGGCGAAGTATAGACTCCATCCTAACTGTTTCCTGCTCCGATTACTGGGGTAGACAGTCAACGAGGCGAAGAAGAACTCGTCGGCATTCCGAACCTGATCTATTTCGTGAATGGAATCCAACCCAAGATGCTAGACCTTATCTACCCAAAGTATATTTTTTATTTTACTTAATTAAACAAGTTTAATTTATTCGTATATTAAAGGTCTATCTATTCCACTCATAGGTACCACGAGATCTGAAGGTGGACAATTTAGTAAAGGTAATATCACCTGAAGGAAGAGTTCTTCAAGGTAAGGTCAGATACGTTGGACCGGTTCCTGGGAGAGACGAGGCTCATGTAGGTGTTGAATTACCCAATGATAATGGCTCCTCCGACGGCACGTTTCATGGTAGACGATTCTTTGATTGGTGAGTCATTTTATTGGTCCATTAAATATATAAATCAGGGTCGATTGTATACAGAAAACAGTGTCAGTTTACCGTGGACATTGATCCTTTATCTAAAAACATTCTTTGTTTCATGAGTTTCATGAGAAATAATTCGGATTAAAGTGTACCCATGTTTCAAATAATTTATTTCGAAATTACAGTGAACCCGATCGAGCTGTCTTTGTACCGTTTAAGAAAGTTGTACTTGCTTGGTGTACTACCTGATCCAGACCAGTACCTGGTGCAAATTTATCCAATGTCACTGCTACTACCGTCAGTGCTACGGTAGGTGATGATACGTCAGAATCTTCCACTTCGTTTACAACAACGCCACGAATTTTACTGTCACAGTATACAATGTAAAGAGAAGATGAGTAAGCGCGAAAAAAGCCATGCATATGTAAAATATTATGCAAACTTTCGTGACAATCCACGTGGCATTTACGCATATAAGGATAAAAAAGACGTCGCGCAAAGCAGCTGCATTTGCCAAGAAAATATTTCCAAAGAACGATCGCCAATAGTCGCACATTACGACATTTACTTAAAACATCATTGAGGGGCAAAAAAGAAAAATATCATTTTTAGTATGATTCGAAAGGTTTAACTGTAAATATTTTTTCAATGATAATACAATTTCTATTGTCGGTTTTAATCGACAATCGATTATGATGAATGAACGTCGAATAAATCGTCTATTTCAGTATTCTGAACTCCAATTTTTTTTTTAATTTATGAAAAAAAATTGCATGACTGACGATGAAAGTCCAAGTACCGCTTGCTTGTATTTCCGATATATACGTATTTAATTATTTATTCCTCAGCTCGCCTGATCTATTTCCATGCGTCAATTTATCTTTCCCGCAGAAACGAACAAGTATTCTAGATATAATTAAAATAGTTTGGTTAATTTTCAAATTCTATAGAAGATAACCATCTTAGGTCCATACGAGTATTATGCGTATCCTTGACACAACTATGTTCCATTGTACAAAATATTACCAAAGTATCGACTTCTAGACATTCGTGACTTTGATGAAAAAAAAGGAATAATCGCATTTGACAAAAACAATTCTGTTCGCATATAACACACAATTTTAAAAAGACACAATTGTAATTGAAAATTGGATTTACGTCAAACTGTCAGATTGTCAAAATGACAAGAAAAATTATTGGTCTGAAAAATAGATGCTGCATAATGCATAATAAAAAATAATTAATTAAACAGCAAAAAAAAATGCGCATACAAAACCACAACGCATATTCCTTAAAATTCGTAATTATAATTTCAAAGTGCAAATATCTCCAAAAAAAGAAATAGAGAAAGTGAAACAAAAACCGGGGTCTCGTCTTCGATTGAGCGCAATCTTATAATATCGACAGTACTAATAATAATATATGATAGAAATAATAATAACAATAATAATAATAATAATAATAATGCCTAACCCCATAGAATGGATGTTTCTTATGTCCTGTACCAGCTGAGCTAAGAATGACAAGTGACAAGAGATATGAGTATTTATGTATATTTTTTATGTTTATCTTATTCTTAATTTCCTACTCTCATACAACACAACAAAGTCTAGGAATGTATTAATTAATACAAATTCGACGTACAATCTTAATGGCTGGACCAATGTTTTAAGCGACTAATTTCTGTCCGAAAATTGTTCTACTTGTGTATCTAAAAATGTACTTAAAAAATATATACACCTGGCGTACATTGTTAGCATGTGATTTCTCGACTGAGTATAAACTTAAATTGAGATTTAATTAAAAACTATCGTGAAAGATAGGCGAGTTGATTTTATCGTCAAGAGACAGGCTTGTTTCCAATTGATTAAGGATAATTGATTTTTCCACTATTATTGTTACGCGAGCGGATAATCATTATCGAGATGATTGTCACGATAGTGATTGCCTAATGTAATGGTAAATAGAAATAGAGGAGTAATAGAATTTCTGAGAAACATAAGGTGCTGGTGAAAACGAAAGAAAAGTAGTATCTGCTGTAATTATTTTTGTCGTAAATTTTCTGCTCGGTATAGATTCGCTGAATATTGTATTGTTTCGATATAAAGTAAAACATTTAGAGTACAACGTGGAACAAAGACAGTGTACTATTGTACTGAATTGTAAAAGTCGATTATCAGAACGTGCGTGTATCTGCGAAAATATATATTGTATTATATTATGTTATATTATATGCAAGTACGTTACAAAGATAAAAGCGCAAGACCATAGACATGGAAAATACCGTTGATCGATGTTAATAGCTATAGTTATTACGTAATAAGTGTTTTGATGTGCAGTAGCTAGCCAATTACCGAGGGTGTACGGTGAATTAGGATTCGGATGAAAGAAAGGCACAGGAAAAAGATAATCTTTCGCTCTCGCCGTGTAAAATTGCGTGCAAAAGAAAACGACGAGGAGTTTCGTAATTGTGAATTAAAACAATGGGTCAAATATAACGGACGATTGGGTCTAATTGAAATTGGTCGATCGCTGAGATGCGAATGAAGTAATGTTTAAACAATTAAAATTGATGATTTCAGTTCTTGTGACGTATTGCTGATCTAGCTTTTGATCTCTGGGCATATCGGGGTGCGATGATATGATTCGGTTGATGCATTAAAGATCTTCATGGATACTGAAAGCTTTGAGGATTAAATGAAACTATCGATAGCGATTGATGATCTTTACCTGCGATAGCGGATACCGATAAAATGAATATAAAAATATTTCCTTGTCATTGTTTGTCGTCGTACGACAGAGGCACTTCCGGTACTTCTCTAATTGCTCTCGAATACTTGTAATCTAACAGTTGTCTACCATGTAATTTATAAGCTTAACTGTGAACGTGGTGTTTCATTACAGCCGTGAACGAACGCAGCCGTAAACTCTCTTAACTGAATACCGTCGAAATATAGAAATAATATATTCAGAATTAAAATGAAAAATATTGTCTATTGTCGAAGTCTGTTGCCGTTGTACCTAAATTACACGTTAAAGTCTAAGGAGAAAAATGCACTGTCGTTGCGCCGCTATTTATTCTATTGTAACGATGGTTATTGATGATATTACAGAAATAAACTATTATTATCGTACCTCACCGACATTAGTTAACTTGGACGACCCCATGTACTTTTCCTTATTTTATAATCATTCAACAAAGTGTGATGGACTGTAATAAAGAATCATTCAAAGTATTACAAGAGTAAAAGACCAAGAAGATGGAACAAGGGGAGGTTTGGATTTAAAAAAATTAAATAGTGTCCCAGCGACCAGTCGCTTAAAGGAGAATAAACAATAAGCAATCTTCACCTTAGATCTTTTCTCTTTATTTATATATTACAATATCGCGTACGATTGTATTGAGCAATTATTTCAAGAATTATTTCATTTCCGCAGAATGATTTCTCCTATATCTACTTGATAGAAGGCATGACACATCCCAACGAGTGTTTATCCCATGGGATCTCTGTGAATTTATTAGACAAAATTGTACCACGAACTCACAAAGAACTATAGGTATAAAAATAATATAAAAAATAAAGATAGGATTCAAGAGACGTTAATTGTGCGCTGGGTAATCCGCGTACCATCCAAATGCTCCATTGACACCAGTGTGTCCACCAAAATCAATGTAATCCAAAATGCGTGTTGTTGATCTTTCAGGGCGTGGTACAAGATTCTCGTTCTCCTCGTGATTCGATTTTGATACGGTAACGGGTACTATGTATTCATCTGCCTGTCGTGCAATCCTTGGGGATGCTGGTAGGATTGGACTCAGTTCGATGATATTAACTTCATCAATAGGAATCGCCAGGTACCGTGGATAAGCAGTCACTGTGTATGCCATGAATATTACAAAGGCTACTGCGTACCTCTGAAAATAAAAATTTAATGGTTATAGTCTTTTATTTAATAAATTAAATTATAGTTAACTCTTTGAGCTCAACTGGCGCTGCTACAGCAATATTTTGCTTGTATAAAATAATTCTTGAAGTGCAAAGAGTTAACTAATTTAAACAAATGAATTCCAGCAATTAATATCTATTTTATTAAAGTATTTATTAATATTGCTAACTATATGCCTTTACCGGATTACTCATTGCGATGTTGATCAGTGAAGTCGATCAGTTTGAACTGAAGAGAGTGGTTAGAAGACGATGGTTTTATACGGTTTCGCTTGGTTGCAGCTTTCTCATCCTGACTACTATCAAACACAAACCACAGTGGTAATACCGCCCACCACCAGATCAGCCATAAGTTTCTTGCACCGGGATTAGTCTATACTCGCGAATACGCAACAAGTATATACAAAAGGTAAAATCAATCCAAACAACGAAAACTTGGAGAATAAATGTTTTACTATAATTAAGATTTTATATTCGAAACTTAGCACTAATCATGTGTCCAATTAAATTACTTTAACCGGCACGTCCATGTTCCACATTTCTTGAACTTGAACGATCATTTGTAACAATTTTTTTCTTTTACAATGCAGTGTGTGTATACATATATATATACATGTCGATTCATGAGATCTAAAAACACGCGTAAGCATTTCTTACTCTTCTGGTGATGGACTTTCACTCGTGAGGGTGAGAAAAAAGATTCTAACGGTTAATCCATCGAAAGTCTAAGAAAAAGGGGACTTCTTCATTTCATGAGAAGAATCATCGCTCTATTTAATTTGGTTTTACATTATTTTGACTTCGCAATATACCTCATGCCTGCGTAGGATAAAAGAAAAGTCAGGTACGAAATGATTTGTTGATGCACTATATTTTTTCAAGCAATCAGTATTGTGTCTTATGTCTATTATACTTTAACACAGCATCCTTATGTTATTTCACACTGGATTCATATATTCCTTTTTATTCGATATATACTTTCAAGATGTAACGCTTTTACCTTATGGCAGTAAAAGTCTATTTTACATAACGATTTATTCGCTACGACGATATTCATCCTTAGAACTCGATCGCTTCGGGTTTTCTGATATTCTCTAGAGATTGTCTTAAAGACAAACCAGTGTAAGGCACATATTTTATCAATTACAGAGGACGAGATCGCATCGCGAATTAAAGACAATTACTTGTAAGTTGAATAATAAAATATAGCAAAAATATTAACGATATATATATATATATGTATATGTATAAACTTATCGGAACAGTAGAATAAATTGGGTGCATTATGTTATAGTAGAATCAGACAAGGTATGTTCTGACGCATCTACGTCGCAAAGGACCAATAAGGTGCTGCCCGAAGATTCAGCCATTGTTGCCGCGTAATTTGTCTAGCCAATGAGACTCTCAGTCTTGCCGTCTCGTTTCCATAGACACCGTGACATAGTCTTCAGTATAGTTCAGTGTTATAAAAAATGGCTGAATCTTCGAGCTGCGTAGTAGTAGTCGAAAATGTGTCCATGAACTGAACATACCTTGTATGATTCTACCATGCATTATGTAACTGTTACCTTTGTTGATCGTGAAATTCTTATATGAAAAATTATACTGGAAACATAAGGCAGTATGATTTTTGATATTCGAAATGATAAGCGGTTTTGTCAGGTCACTTCCGAAAATTGCACGTAAATACTTAAGATAACCGAAATAATCTGTCTGATACGAACGTGAAATTAATAACTTAGGTTTCATGGCGATGAGATTCATCAAAATAACAATGTTCATTCAGGAAGCGTAAAGAGGTATAATAAAATTAAAAAAATATAACGTTTACCAGATCGTCTTAAAGGCTATTATGAATGCAGAAATTTTTCGCAATTCTATAATAAATCTAAATGAAATGAAACGTCATCGTTCTATGCGCATCTTGTGCTAAGAAAATTATTTTGATTGATGTAGAGTAACGAATACAATGCTCCTCAAACGAAATTTTGTATCTGTTCTTTCTCCTCCCTCCTAAAAAAGCTATATATAATTTAAAAAATCTTAATCTACTAGTGATTGTCGTGAATAAACGTTTTTTTTTTTTTTTTTTTTTACGAGAAACAGCCTGGAGAAAAAAGAGGAAAATTATCAGTAACGAGAGTCAGAAACGAAAAATAACTATGCGTGTAACCGCATTTCTAAGTCCTGTAATTAAACAATACAATTTGATCTCGCTATTTTCATCGTACCGCATTTCACTGAGATCGTTATTATCTAAATACACAAATGACGATAATTGCCGCGTGAACTTAGACATATCCGCGTCTATTTATAAACATAATCTTGTAAAAAAAATAGATTAGAATTATAAACGAAAACGGCATATATAATCGTACATAATAAATATTGATAAGTAACGATACACGAAAGTGTAGTATTAACGTGCGCGTTTCGCTCGATGAAAACGTAATCAACAAAAAAACATACGATCTCATGAAGATCGATTTGTAAATACGTCACGACATTAGGCGAGATTCAAACAATCTTACAACTTCCATTCTAAATAAAGTTACGCTAATAAGAAAAATATATTTAACATCTTAGAAAACCACATAATGCCGTGACGTATGCAATAGATATTCTTTAGTTAGCATCAGATTTGTTAATTAAATCGACATGAAAATGTCGATTCGAATCAAAGGCTAAAATTTTCTTTATAAAAGATCTAACTTTACCAGCCAACGATACCACTCATTAGCCATCACTTTGGGAAAAGAGTTAGTTAATATTTTTCCTAATTTTAAATTGGTATTGTGCCAGATTTTAAGTCCTCGTTTAATACAAAATTTTACTTATCCCATTTCCAATTCATCGGATTCGGAATAATCGCTCTCGTAACCACCAGCGACAACGCGTGGTATTTCTGATGGAAAATCATCATTAGTATCGTTTAGTGTTACGTTGTTTCGTGAATAATGGTCATTAGTTCCATTAACGTGAATAGCTGTTTTCTCGTGTCCATTGACTTGAGTAGTCTTCAAATCATCACTGGGTTCATTGAGTTTCTGCAAATAAAAATACAAAAAGTTGTTCAACAATTGTAAAAAATTTTTAATTTATAAGATGAATCCGTGCGCGTCTTAAACTGATAATTAAATAACATATACACTTACTGATTCTATTGCATTATTAGTATTCAATGAAATTGGTCCAGCGGAACCATTCGACGTCACGTCAAAATGTATCGGAGAAGCGACTGATGAAAGTTCTGATCCACGTTTTGTAAGAGATAAAGTAGAGCTGGCTGCCGACCAGGGTCCTTGATCAAATTCAGCCATACCCTCGTTAATGAGTTCCTTTCCCACATTAATATCCTGGATGATTAAAGTATGATTAGTCAAAGGATTTCCAGGAGATTATTAATGTCTGTAATTATTTCTATGTTAATACCTTATTATCCTGCTTATCATAAAGTTCGATACAAGGAATGGGTGAACCTTCTCTACGTGACCTGCCTAATGCCATTGCTCTTTCCTTGTATCCTCTGACCTTCGCAACAAGGACCTTCCACTGAGCCAATTGGCACATATCTGCAAACTTCTCAGAGGCATCCTGACTCCATTCGCCATCCCTGAAACGATGGTTTTAATGATGTATTAGTATGACGTTTTATATGGATAGAATGTATTTATGTCAGGGCTAACAATCCTGGTATGTGAGAAAGAGTCTTCGATGGCACAAGAAGTGACAGCAAAGAAAAATCTAAATACAAAATGTTATACACAGATTGTATAATTGATTTATATGGAACATGCTGGATAAAATTATTTATCATAATAAAAATTGAACATAATCCAAGTACTTAGTTCTGGCAAACATACACTTAAAAAAATTACACTGCAAATGACAGTAACTAATTAGTTAATTATCATTCACAATGTCAATAATTTTCCTTATTATATAATAATACGTACAACAATGTCTATATAAATTTTGAATACAGCTTTTTGCAAGAGACTGGAATCTATATTGAGTTGTGGAAATAGTTATTAAACATTCTCAACACTAAACAGATTTCATGAAAAATCTGAATACAATAAACATTCAATGAGTCGAAAATGCTCTCAATCGTTCATAATGTGCAATCCATAATTATTCTCCAATAAATCTTTGACAGAAAAGGTGCGCAAATAATATCTCAAATTTATATACAGTACAACGATCTGCCACTATGCAAAAATATGTTTCAAATTTTCCATTGTGTATTAAAACCGGTCGCAGGGAGCTGTCTAGCACGGAATCCAAGTAAACACATTCATTATGGTTTTAAATGTTACATTATTATTGTAGAAATTCTGCATTTCTATGCCAAGTATGAAAATAACGTGATTCTAGTTATATGCATTGATACGCACGTTTTATTGGCATACAACGCTTCTGCATTTTAGATTTACACCTGAGTATAACAAAAAATTATAAGCATCATAATGTAATTGGCCAATCAATCAAATAATTTTTTTTAAATCCAAAATAAGACCGTGAAATACTGAGATTAGAATATGCAGACAATTCCAAGAATACCATATTGCAAAATACAAAGTATGTCAATAGCAAAGGTACAGTGGTAACCGTAGTCGTTTAGTTTTAATCTTCTTATTGACAGTCTCCCTCAGCTTGTATTTTAGTGAGTCATAAATATTGAACTGTTTGTTGAAATTTATCTTGTTGACCTTAATAAGCAATTTGGGCTGTGTGTTTGTTGAAGGGTTTACACGAAGAAATTTACTGTTTGGCTTAAAGCTCGACATATTTTGTGCGCAATTCCTCTCTCTAGTCCCTCTCGAGTGCGTTGAGTAGCTTTTCAGACGACGTTCCGTTTATAGATTACACTCGGAGCATTTGAATCTGTGATATTCTAGTGGACGGTTCACAGTAGACAGTGAACGGTGAACAGTGACCGTGAACATAGAAGATAATAGTTGAGTCTAGGAATTTCTTTGAGATTTCGCATTCATATCTGAAAGTTAGTATATTTTCAAATATTAGCCATCAGGTATGCATAGTATATAAATTTCTTGACGCCAATCCCACATTAAATTCAAATGACAAACAATTGTATTGCATTTAATAATATTTAGCAAATTTCATAAATAAATAACGAAGGTCAAAAATGCATTTTGAATGCAAAAATGATCAAAGTGAGTTTTGGCATAGAAAGATAAGCAGAAATCAAATTATTAAAAAATAAATGCAATAAGGATGTGACAACATATATTAAAAGCTTTATGATATAGAGAATAGATCAACGTAGCGTGACAGTGAAAAATATCGTAATTAAAGCAACAATATAGAAACAGGAATCAATTCAAAGGGAAAAACTTCTATAAATCTTTCTTCCCCATCTAATTCCGTACGTAATGTACAAGTAAAATCTGGCAAATAAATTTACACTCTAGTTAATATAAACGTATTTGGATGAACCGTGGCACGGAAACTTACATACGCCAAGTACAAGTGAAAATATGTACTTTACACCCAAGCAAGTTCCTCAATAAACATTTACTTAACAACAGATGACGGTCCATTTGAGTATCACCATAAAGTGAACCTCTGAATACATTGCGTAATTATCTGTCCTCGACAAACTACTTAAGCTAGCTTATAATCAGAGAAAAATATTAACAATACTCTGCCAGGTATCTGTTAATTCATTTTAACTTTAAGATACCTGACCATCTTTGCTGTTAAAAACATTGCACGGCTCTCTCACAGCATGGATGGACTGAAATGGTAAAACTGTTCTGTACTTTATCGCTGAGGGAAAATTTAAAGTAGAACTTAAAGTTAATTTGGTACTACTCGAGAAACAGAACCTCACGTAAAATTACATCAGATAAATGGAGATGTATGAAATCCGATCTACTCCTTCAACAGTTGTATCAAGACTTTAATCAACAGTAATAGGCAGCTAGAGGAATGCCAAATTAAATGATACAGTAGACGATATGGGGTCTGTGATTAATATTAGGAATAATAAATATAGCATAACAGAATACACATTCTTACTATGTAGCCTCGATCACTATGGATTCCATTATTGTTTCATGGTCGTTCTGCAGTTATTGATAAATCTTTTAGCACAGTGAAGAATCATTGACAGATGACAAATAGTTATTTATACGTATTGAAGAAATTTTATAAGCTGTAAATAACAGTCGTGGAATAATTAAGTTAACGAAGATGATCTCTCGTAATTGAGTTAAATTGTTTGATGCATCAAATAGATAGAATAAAGGGACTAATTGTGTGGAAGTTCCGGAATCAATTATTCCAATGAACGTTCAATTTTGAAATACTCTTCACTGGACTTCTACTATCTCTGGATCTAAGGAAGAAGTTATCCAAGTGATAACATGAAGATAATGTTTACCAAAACAGGATACTCCATACGAAGATCCATTTTAATCCATAAACATATATATTTGAAATAGTACGTTGGTTCAAAAGATATTAATATATGTACGTTGAAGATGGTCGAAAGGGACGTTAGAATTTTATGGAAAGAATTAAATAAGTGGAGGCATCACAAAGATTTTAAAGACGCCTCTACTTCTTAAACTGGGACTTATATATTCTGTTTTAACGTAAACTGATAGAGCATAATGAGAAAAGTTTAAACTTATCAGATGTTGGATGCTTTTATGTATATCTATGACGTTACCATCATACTTTTATATCTCATCTAATTGTAAGAAAGAAATTATATTATCACGAATGATAATGTGTCTAGAGCACATCTGCAGATCTCAGATTACATTTACACATCTCTCAAAGTTATAAAAGATCCACACGACACAGCTGTCTCGATTAATTTCATTAGCTAAGCAAATAAATACTATAATTATTCTGTGGTGAACAGGTTTTATAGTGAAGTCATCACAATGGAATTACTCGTACCAACAGTATCAGATATAGTCTTCAAGTACACATGGCCGATACCAAATTACAAGAAAACCATTGCAAAGAAAAGTATAATTGATAGTTCTCCCTTTGAATTAAATGTAAATGGTATACAAAGCACGTGGAATATGTCGATAAGATTTTGGAAAGGACCTGAAGGTAACGAAAAAAGAAATTAATGAAAGTAAGCCATTTGACATCTAATAGAAATAAAATGCCAATTATCTAATTACAGGAAACAGAATAACAAATCCAGTAGTACTTTGCCTGAACATGCTTAACTGTACGGTCCACGAAGTAGAACAGGCAAGGATCCGTTTTCAATTTGCAGTTTTCAACGCAGAAGTAAAGCACTGGGAATATTGCCATGTTAGCAGAACAGTCCTAGAGTTAAAGTCAACGTCGGACATCATCTCCTTGGGTTACAGAGATTTATCCATCGTAGATCGTCACTTGAAGAAGACTGGCGACGTGGAAGTTATGGTGAAGATCCAAATAATTCAGTGCGAGAGCGAGAAACATAATCTCTCCCAAGTAAGTCTAGTACAGCAATAAGAAATATTTTGTACAACAGTCGCATGTGAATAATCCATCGATACATGAGTATTCACCATTTCTATTATCTCTGTAGGATATGACAAGACTACTGAGACATTCAAGAGGGGCAGACACGAAGGTGACTTGTGCAGGTGATGATGGAACCGAGATTCCAGTGCACAGTAGTATAGTAGCTGCGCGCAGTTCAGTCTTGGCGGACATGATAAAGCCAGTTCTAGATAAAGTGGAACAGTCAGAATTTTATGAAGACAATGACAATGTCTTACCAGGGGTGAATGAAAATGTCGAAAGTCACGATAAGGAGAGTGTAACGAAGAATAAGGAAAAGGTTGAAATCCATCCAGTTTTGAAGAGTGCTTTTCCTACCACCATAGTTTGATTGTCATAAATTCTATAGAATAATAACAATAATAATGATAATATAGAAGCATGAAGTATTATAATACTCTAACCACCTGATGTCATTCCAATTAATTATAGTGTGTACAAGTTTGTAAAGTTTTAAACATTTACTACTACGCATTCTCACAGTGTATTGTGAACAGTGTGGCGTGTGAATCATATGTTTTACTGTATTTTTATTATATTAAAAATATATCATATATTTTTCTATGCTTAATATAATTACGTGTGCATGTTGTATATTTTATTAAGAATAGTTTACTCTAACGTGGATTGTTTATGATAATTATGAATAAATATTACTATTTTTTCACAAGAAAATAATAGTATTATTGTTATCAGACGTGCATGGCATGTATTCAATTGATTGAAAAATAATCTTTAATGCTGCAGTTTTTATATTCTTATATATCTAGACCAGGCATCATTTCAAATTGGATCTACTGGATTTCTCAAAAGAATTGACATATGAACTTTTACGTTACATTTATACTGATCATGTTGATAATTTGGACAGTTTGGCTGCTCAACTGTTACCCCTAGCTGAACGTTTTCAATTGCAAGGTACATAAAAATAATTGAGTAATATAATCAATCACTGTCATCTGATAAAAAATGTCGTATTTTTTATACAGGATTAAAGGAACTTTGTGAACGAAATCTAATAGAAACAATAACACCAGAGAATGTAGCAACATTATTGTTGATAGCCGATGAGTATGGATGTGATCCTTTGAAGCGAGCTTGTTTGGCATGTTGCGAAGATAACATTTTGAACATAAATAAGAGTTTGGCATGGAAAGTCATGGAGCAAGTGAACCCTGAACTGTTCAATGAAGTTTGTGAAGCAGGTATTGGAAGTTCACGTTCCAGTAATATAGATGACAGTGATTAATATGTGTATATTATATATATATATTATAAAAATGAGGTTTTTGTATATTTTCAAATAAGAGGACTGATGAGTAATTGTTTTAACAAAAATAGCTGATAATTTCTTTTCGGTCTGTATGTATAATAGTAATAGTTCCATAGACAAAAATAAAATTAAAGAATATAAGAAAATTTACTTACCTTGGCTTGACGTTCGCCAGGCAGCATTCAATTGCTTGTAATCGTAAACTCAGGAAGTCTGTTCGAAGTTCCAACATGTCGGCTGCTTTCATTATTTCACGATCCCCATAATCGACGAAATAAGCCTCGTAACTGTCTGCTTCGATGATGGAAGTGACCTCAGCGCGATACCAGAGTTTGTCGAAACTGAATTTAGCTGCCACCATTTGACCAACATTAATCTGACCAAATAAAAAAAATAAAAAGGTTATAATTAAAGCATCGTAGATTTATAAAAATAAAATAATTTAAGATGTTTACGTTTTTTAAGGTATGAAGTTCTTGGTTATCTGGATTGTCATAATAGGTTGTCATTTCCGAAACTAATTTGTCAAGGGCTATGGAACCCTTGCCAACCACCTGAACCCAAAATTGACTTGGACTTTCCATAGCGCTAACATACACTTCCATCAATCCGCTGAATCCTGTAAAATATTATCTTATGATTCGTTAATTTTATTGTATTTTACTTTAATAAAAGATATCTACCTGGCATTATTGTAGGTTCTGGAGGTAGAGCAGCATTTTCTGATACGTTTACGACTGTGTTACGTGGAGATATTTTGCCTCGTGGTAATCGGCACGCTAAGCTAGCTTCTAATTCTTCACGAGCTTCGTTGTCCTCGCGTACTTTTTCTTCAATTAACGATAAGGCTGTTGCTATTTGCTCGGAACTTCCTTTTATGATGACTCTTCTTTTAGCATCTAAAGAAACAGGTTATCATTTTGATTCACTTGTAATGAAACAGGTAAAGTGATAAATCCCAGTTTTCTTTGGTAGTTTATCGTATCAGTCTAGTGATGTCATACATCAAAACTTGTAAATACCTGGATTATTCGACAGAGTCTTTTCTAAAATAATCTTAGCACTGGAGTACGTTTGAATCTGTTGTATAGTTTCACCACCCCTTCCAATTACACGACTACAGGCACGTTGTGGTATGAATGTCTCATATGTTTCAATGATTGGTTGACTTTGAATTATTGTATTTATCATATGTTCAGCTAACTGAATGCTCTCAGGTTTTCCACGTATAATACAGACACGATCTTTACTTTCAATATCTGGAGGTGCAAACTTTATCGAACTCTCTGTATTTGCTTCTATATTTTTTATAATCTGGCCTTGTCGTCCAATTACAGCTGGAACTACCTGAGATGGTACTTTAAGAAAAGACACACTCTGATGTGCTTTTCCTACTTGATTATTCTTTGTAATATTATTGTCCTTGTCCTAGAATAAGATAAAGATATATCATTACAAGCGATAAATTTTATACATTTAGAAAACACTGTTCCCTTTCAATAATAAATATTTAATTTTCTTACCTTTTTAAGTAGCAAATATAGTAAACCTACACCGATACTTGTAAGTGACAATCCAAGAACGACTGGTAATACAATTTGCTGTGATATCGACTTCATTATTCCAGCTAAATAAAAAAGTAAAACATGCATTAATTACCAGAAAATGAGTTTCTATGAATAATCTCAATTTATGTTACATGATCTCTACAATATCAGAACCATAAAAATGACATAATAAAGCCACACCAAGTGTAACCTTAAAGTCATACAAAAAGTACTCCTTCCTTCTAGAATACAATTTTCACTTAAACAACAAAATAGCATCCTTTAATTATCAACCTTATAATCTTACATTTCGAACTTTTCTCTCGAATTAATATTTCACCATTAAACTACACGCAATTCTTAAAACTACATAGATCTGCGTCACGTTGTACTTTCAAACGTGCAGAGCTACCAACACACAACAAAATGCATTTACAGCTAAATTGTTACTCTTGATCTGTGAAATTACATCATGATCCCTGCATTAATAACGTAAACCGAAATTTTGACTACGTCTCTTAGAAAATATTTAGACAGATATAAAGCGAATCTCTGAAAGCGCGATTTTGGCTTGTGTCCATAGACAATTATTCGTCAATACACATCTTTTCATTGACAAAATTATTTTTAATTGTTACTTATCTACCTGTAGCGAGGTTGGATACGATTCAAATGTTTGTGACGTCCAGTGACGTCCTACCCAAGTTTAGAGTGTGACGAAAGGTGTTCAAATTTATTGTTGACATAATCGTCTGAAATGGAACTATGAATATTTAATAATTTTTTTGTCTATCTTTGCACATAATTCTTCTAGAAAATCATTTTTTGAATTTTTAATGGTAATTATAGTTACATAATAGTTGATTTGGACGTAACGTACATCAGTTTAAATATTTCTCAGAAAATCATAATCAATCATAATCAAATCCAGTTACAACAAGGCGACGAATATAATTTTTATAATAATTATATTTAATATTTCGCAAAACTCATTTTTACATGGGCTGATGTTACACAAGTTTTATAGGAGTAAATATAGAATTGTTACTCAAAGTTAATAATTCTTATCAATAATACTCACTGCTTCGGTAAACAATTTATTTTGAAATGCATCCACTTTGACGCTCACTATATATTTCGTGGGTCACCCCTGTTTATAGTAATATTTTATCCCTAGATGCTAGGGGGAAAAAAAATTGTGAAAATATATCGAACCAGGATTTACTTTGAGGAAGAAAATTTGATACACAAAAATGTAGTTGATTGTTGTTTATTGTAACAATGTAATTTTTAAATGTATGATTGAAAAAGTCAACGTATATCAAACGTAATGATAATGGATAACATCTAGTCTACGTATTTATTTCAATAGGCATGAAATTATATTACAGGACTTGCATTGGACATTCATTACATAAGACGAAACTGCGTACGATTTACATTTGCAGATTTTAAGCATTCTCTTGCTTTTTGCTTTTAGGCTTCAGCCAGACGTAACCAGCAATCAAAGCCATGGCAACGTACGTTGCTTTTGCCACCTAAAATAATAAAATCATACGCAATTACATTAATATTGATATATAGATGCACCACTAGAGGTTATAAAGAATCGTTCAACTTACGTTCGCTCGACCGTACATTGTCGAACTATTGAAATATTTGGACAGTCCAGTCAATTTTGCTCCATCTCCTGAGTCTCCTGCCATTTTTAATTATTTTCTTATTTGAAGATACTTCAACAGAAGATTGTATGTTTTCTCGACTTTTACAGATACAAGAGCCGACACGGTAATCACGTTCTTCTGCTAGTGGCGCCCTGACTCGCTTAATATCGATTAGTTGAATCGGAAACCGCAATATCTCGAAATTCGATTATTCAATAATTGCGCTATATTTTTGAATACTGACTGTGATTCTGCATGCATATTGCTTGTTACGTATGAATATTTTTTTTTGATATTAAGATCTTGCATTTTTTACTTTTCTGTATAGATACCAGATTAGAATTCCAGCATATGTTGCTTTTGCTACCTAGATAGAAAAATTAGGATTTAATTGACTTGATTTACTTTTACGTATATCAAAATGTATGTGGAAATTTTACGTACGTTAGCTCTGCCGTATACGGTTTCAGAATTAAAATGCTTGGTCAAATTTAGATGTGGAAATTTATTTTTTAAAACTATTGGTATCAATGGTTTCTTGGGTGACGTTTCTGTGGCTTTCGATAAATCAGGAGGAGCGTTGCCTTTTTTGAATAATTTAAAATCACTCATTTTCGGAAACGCAATTCGGGGAATCTTTATTATCTTTGGTAATTTCGATATGACGGTCTTTTGAACAGGGATAGTTTTCATTATGTCTTCAACTTTTGAAACTCCTTCCTATAATGAAACACTCATCATATTTTATAATTAAAAATGGTAAAGATATTCTTTCAAAACCTTGACATTCCTAAGCAGAGCGTCCACTGCAGATTTCATTTTCTCTCCGTTATCTTTCACTATGATTTGCAACTCTTTTGCAAATGGTGTGCTATCGGCTTTACTTATTTTTAAAATCATCTCTTCTGTCAATTTCTTTACTTCCGTCATTTTTTCCTCAAAAAACTTAACAAAAATCTTCGCCTCTTCTAACGTCATAAGTTTTGTCTGATATTTATGCTTTAACTCTGCTATATGTTGCAGTTTCTCTTCAGAAATCTTTTGTAGTGCCGTCGAATACTCGCTTAATGCAATTTTAGTTTTCGCTATTTCCTCTTTGGAATGATTCTTTAATTTTGCAATATCATTATCCAAAAAGTTTGTAATCTTCTTTGTAACTACAGCATAAAATTCCTTGATTCTATCCTCTATCACTGATATCAAATTCATTACGTCGTTTGGTGTTGATTTTCTTGGTAGGTCGCTGGATTTTTCTAAAATTAAAAGGGAATTGTACTTTTCAATCATATTAATAGAATTTGTGATACGTACTCTTTCTGCTTGGAAACATTTTTTTAAAATATTCCATAGCTGATGAAAAAGATAAAGAATAATAAATGTTTTTCAAAGAAAATCGTTCGGATGTGGACTTTCTTTTTCCTAATTTTGTATTATCTTGTTTTTTGTTGCATGACTCTTTATCGGAAGGTTTTTTAGAGCACGGATCACACATCCTTTTCTTATCGCAAATTACAACACAATAATCTTTAAACAATATCGAGTACGTTTAATTTTCGTTAAACGGTTTGAATTTTACGAGAAATTTCTGCAATTATTTTTATGTAATTGAGGTTGGAGAACATTGCCATGTTGTGTTTTATCATGAAACTTTTGTTTTCATTGGTTTTTGTTCCAAATAGAAATATAAACCGCCTACCCGTTTTGCAAATCTATTTTTCTCGTATCTTGTAAAAAGTTTATTATTTACAGCTTAGAGATAATTAACCATATTAAATGATATTTTAATAATCAAACTCCGCCCAACTGTTTATATGACTGTGTTAAAGTAAAATAAACTGATAATCATAAGTCACATCTGTTATATAGCAAATATATAATCTCTTTGTTATTTTCACTTACATAGCAGTAGTACAAAAGATAGTTAACTTTGGTATATAAACAATTTATAATTTTAATATAGAATCTTATTTTTATCGCGAAAGATTCTTCACGATTAAGTATATACTTTGAAGTGTAATCAACAAAACACAATACGATGATTCAACATTTAATACTAGAAGTTTAACTAAATACTTATCTCATGTCAAAGGAAATAAAAAAGATTGTACAAAGGTCTGATTTAATAGTAGATTTCTATATCCACCTTACTCTAATTATTTCTCGCAATTTTTGGAATGTTTCAGTTGTATGTCTCCATATGTATTGATAACAGTCTGAAAGAGAAAAAAGAAATAATCAAGGATTAGAATACGATCAATAATTTGTGCGAATTTTTCAAAGACACATAATGCATCAATTCTTTTAAACAGACCATCACATTATAGAGAACTGAGCCAACATTAAATTCCTGTTTCTTAACAGCTCGTCGAACTTCCTCACAGCGAATGACTTTTATTTTAACGAGAAGCTTTATCATACATTTAAGAGGTGTCAGATGAAGACCTTTCTTAATTCGATTTTTCAGACTCCCCGTCAACGTTTGCATTGTCCTGAAATGAGTCGTCATATTTATTATACGACTATAGTTATCAACTGATAAAACATGCAGTAAGGATACTATTATACTTACTTATCTAATTGGTAAAACAGTAGCGGCTCGTCTAATCTGTATATTGTTTTGAATGGTATATCTATATTCAACATATCTACTAATTTGAGCATGACGTTTGTGTTATTCAATTGGGTGAATAATTCCACGAACTGGTCACTACTAAGCCAGCCTTCTCCATCGATCACAAATATAAATACAGTTTTGTCATCCAATTCTGCAAGAAAAAAGGAATGCTGCGAAAAACAATTATAATGAAATATTCTATTCGATTAAATTATATATTAACAATTCTTACTCATTGTATAGAATACAGGAAGGTCATATGACACATCACCTGCAGTTTCAAAGCCTTCGTTATCAATATTGACAAAGTAGTCCAAATTGGCATGATTCTGCTCTGTGGAAACTGTACCTACATTATCATCAAATGCTTCACTGAAGGGATTTCCAGTTTGTGTCGGCCAAGTAGTTTCAGGCAACAATGGCATAGGAGTAGCATCGACTGCTTTTGGTGCAGTTGAAGTAAAATATGGCACATTGGACTCTTTTTCAGAATTTAATTCTGGTGCATAAAACGCATTGACACCTTGCGATTGTTCCCATTCATTAGAAGTTGATGGTCTTGTAAGATATCCTTCATCAACTTGATTAACGTAATCAAATGTGACTGCAGTGTGTTTTGGAGCGGACTTTGATTTGGTAAAGACACATTTATCAGTTTCCATTTCACTCTGTTGTGTGTCCACAAGAACTGAGGACACTTGCACTGGTTTATTTAATTCTTCAAGCTTAATGTCATCCTCATGTACATTTGTATCATTAGCAACAAATGTATCTGGATTGGAGAATGGATTTTTATTCGAAACAAACGTAGGAGGTGTCTCATCTTCAAGGGTATAAGTGCAACTAGTTGTTGTTGGTACATTAATATCTTCATTAATACCGCTGAGCTCTTTAGTATTATTTATATTCTCCGTATTGATATGATCAGCATCGCCAAAGAATTTCTCTTGCTTCAACTCAAAAACTTTACTTATAAAATCAGGATTTCTCTTTGGTATCGGAGGAGGTATGTTAGAATTTGTTTTAATTATATTTTTAACATTTTCCTTCGACGTCATATTTTCCATAAGCATTTGCTTAAAAGGATTAGTGTCACAGAGATCCTTAAAGAAATTTCCATTTGTGGTATATGAATACTTATTAGAATTTTTTATCGGTCCATTCGCAGAAGAATACGATGAGTTTCCATTATCTTGTATAGTATCTGTTTCATTTTGTTCAACCGCAGTATGTGAATTATTAATATAAAGTTCTTCCATCGATTTCTGTATCAAATTTATATTATTATCGCATTGTGTATCAGCACCAGTAAAATTTTCATATGTGCCTGAAATAATTGGATCATTTGTTGCATAATTACAAGATGCACTAGATATAGAATTTGCATTTGCATCGCTCGCCTGGTAGTTTGCATTTGTCGTATCGAATAATTGATCAGGAATTATGTTTGATGATAGCTGCTGCCTTCCATTATTCAAGACATTATCATGCTTCGGCGCTCTATTAATATTCTGTTCCTGAGTCACCGTTGCATTCATAGCAGCGGAAAGTACATCTTTCATCAACGAATCGGTTATTATGGAATTGCATGCTGTTCTCAATTGCATTTGCAGTAGCATATTTTGCTTAAACATTTGCATACACGCTTGCAGAGTTTGATCCGCATCGCTGTTATTGTTTGTCAGATTATTCATGAGCCAACAATTTTCTGTCCAGTTGTTGTTCAATAACGTGAGAAAGGCATCCATTGATAGAGCAGCTGATGCAGGTGGTCCAGTTGTGGATGGTGTGTTATTAATATTGTTGTTTGGTACTGAAAATCCTGGCGGTGCTCCAGAAGATTCCTCGTGCAAAATACTCTGCGGTGAAATTAATGGCACATTTTCTGTACGGCTTGCTTGCTTGGATTGCACAGTTTGTTTTAGGGCTTCATCCTCTTCACACTCGTCGATGGGCTGAAAGATTCGTGTGCTCGTTGCCAGAGGTCTATCTACGAATCTATCAAACTGGTTAACGGTGTCACCCTGGATAAGGAGAAAGAAAAAACAGAAATAAAAGAAACAAGGTTTGGATGAATAAATTCTTTTTTTCTTTCGTCCTTTTTTCACATCTATGTAAATTCCGGTAAAATAAGGAGAAGCGGACTTTTACTTTGCGATAAACTCTTTATTATGTTTAAAACAAAAATTATAATACACTGTTCTCACGAACTTTATAATACTGTGATAACTTAACGAATTTTAAATCTGATTGCCTTCGATTAAATTTACTTATGTGTGGTAATTAAGATATATAAAAGAAAATGCGTTACATAAATGCATAAAAAACATTGATTAATTTCATTATTGCTAGAGACATGAAAGTCTATTAAAAAACAAAAAAAAACAAAGCTATAGAGAGAAACAAAACATCATGCCACTCCCTATTTTTTTGGAGTGTACAAAGATTTGAATACATTAAAAAACGGAGATTTGTTTTTATATGGGATACTGTCGTTGCTCGAGGCGTTGGAATTTAAACTATTCGGAGCAAGTTGTAATGTCTCAAATTGACGACGTAAATTACATTTACCAATTTCGCTCAAAAGGGACAAATCTTTTTGCATTTTAGCTGGATTTTCAAAATTCTTGACGTTATTCTCTATATCCAAATCATTTGACTTGTTCATGTTAAGTGAGTCCTTACTGATCTCAGACTCTTGAAATTTCTCGCCTACTAAAAGATTCGTTACTTTCTCAGAGTCTTCATTGTCATATATTTCATAACATTGTTCCTCGTTCTCTTGATTTTTGGTTGTATCGAAAACTTGGTTCAAATTTACAGTTTGTACACGTGATTGACTTTCATTATATTTTTCTTGCATTTTATCTAATTTCATAGTATTATTTCCTATATCGCTGTCAGATTCTAGATTCTCCGAAATACTTGCATCTCCGCTGTATTCAGCATCGTTAAACGATAAATCAATTGTACTATCGCATTTGTTGTTATTATACTCGATATTATAGTCGTTGATAATTTTTGCTGTTTCTTTGGTATAAAATTCTACAGTCTTTTCTATAGGTTCATTCACTTTTGGAATTGCTTCAACATCGCTTCCTTGACCGTATGAATCATCTATTTCTGATTCTATTCCACTTTTAATACTTTTTGTACTGGAAGTGGTATCGCTTATTTCTTTTATTTGAACGTCCGCTGGTACATTCAAATATTTCTTTAAGTCATTCATATTCAGGCAAATCTCCCACTCTGATCCGTCACTATCATATTCCATATCAATATCATTGAAAATTAAAGTAGTAGCATTTTTTAAATTCGCATTCCGTGCATTGATAACACGACCCTCATTCGTACTTTTTGTTATCTCTTTATTATTTTGAAGTGGCTCAATTATTTTTTTGGCACAAGGCTCATCATGATTTTCTATCGCAGTCGGTTCTTTCAAAACAGTAACGTTTTGTTCATTATCTGAAAAAAAATCAATGGTTTGCTCTACATTTACATTTACTGATGCTGTTTTTATATTTTTTTTCAAATCATTGAACGAATCATTCTTTTCCGTCAAAATATTCTTATCGATTATTTCTTTTATAGGCCCTCGAGAGCTTTCTTGATTATATGTCTTATTATAAAATTGTCTTTTTAACATATTTCTATCTAAATCGTCATGACATGTGCTGAAGTCATCAGAATCAATGTCAGAACCGTGAACCTTATTCGAGCCTTCCATGACTTTCAAAAATGAATCCCGAAGTGAATCTTTTGATTTATTATTTATTACTAACTTTTCCTCACTTACTGAATTCTCAATTTTACTTTCGGAGTGTGATACCACGTCATTGTCCTTTCCATTTTCCGTCATACAATTCTCATTTTTCATACTGACCAAATGACTGTCGTTCAATTTCTTCGTTTGACTCTTTAAAATCTCTTTATTATCCTTATGTGTTTCAACGATTTTCGAAAAATTCTCAACATTCTGTAGCGACTTCCGTTTTTTAATACTTCTCAAATCTTTCAAACTTTCTACTCGTTCAGAACAATCATCACTGCTCTCTTGTAACAATAGTTTTTTTTGAGCTGTACTTTGCGCAAAAGCTATAAGCTGCGCGTACCGATTCTTTCTCGTACGATGAACTTTACTTTTGCCTTGTTGACATTCAATTTCTTTCCGATCATTGTTCTCTTTATCAAAATTATCAACAGTTTCTATTGTGCTTTGAATAACTGTAGTCACTTCGGATATTCCTGTCGTTTCCTTTTTTGAAACAATATTATTAGTGGTATGCTGCACGTCAATATCGCAGACAGATTTATCGCGGCGATCAAATGACGATTCACTAATATTATCATTAGGTTTGTGTCGTAAAAGTGTCATCACGTCGGAAGGTATTCTTAATTTTGAGCATTGAAATTTTTCAGCTTCAAACGCCCTTTTTCGTAATCTTGTCAGTGATGTGACGTTGCACGTATGTTTATCAATGTTGCTGTCACATGTCCAAAGGGTCTCGTCCTTCAATTGATTATTGTAAATATTCAGGATTGATTGGTTAATTGGAATTAATTGTTTGATGCAGTCTCTTTTCGTCCCTGAAACTACTTTCTCTTGTAATTTTTCAAGTGAAGAATGTAATGGCGATGATTCGGTCTTATTATTTACACATGAGCGAAGCTTTATCCAATCTATAAACTCCATACGACCGTGTCCACCGTACATACTTCGAAAATGACCAAAATCATTCTCCTCGTCATTGTATTTATTATGCAAATCTTGCGCAGGATTTAATAGAAGTAACGAGTCATGGTCGTTGGGGGACTCATTGCTGCTTGAGTGACTGCTAGTATAATTTTGACTATCTATGCGATTGGATGACATTTCGTACTTGAATCGTACTTTCTTTTCATGAAACGGCAACACGTCTTGTGTCGATGCGTTTGTATTATTTGTATCGCTGTAATTTAAAGTTCCCCTTGAGGGTTTTGATTTTGAAAATTCCTCGAGCAACTCCAGCGATGTTTTACCAGGTTGCTTTTTAGCAGTGAACGCGTTTGATTTTTTATTCCCTAATAAATCATTTTCCGACATATTCGAAGTGTCGGGTGTGCTCTTTGTGCTTATTAACTTTTGACACTCTAAATATTGTCGATACGGTAAATTTCGAGGCCTAATACGAACCATGCTTCCGTATATTGCGAGATTCTGCTGGACCATCCAATCATTAATGTGTACATCTTCTTCTTTTGAAGTATCAACCAGGACCACTAGCATCGAGTTGTTCTGAAAGTATTGAAGAAATGAATAAAATACAATTAAAACATTACGGGTACAATTATAAATTTTTTATTTAATCAACAGACAATTTAGATTATATTTGTTAAGAATTTGTAGTGTTTTAATAATTAATTCATAACACCTACTTCTGTATCGATACTTGTAAGGGATGCGACTAATGGACCGCTATCTACTCTCTCTGCAAAAAGTTGTGTAACGCCGCGAGTCCAGTGAGATCCGCTTCGTGGTTTTACGTTGTATAATCCGCAGGGTATGGCTTGAGCTGGTAACCACGAGAAGGTGCGATGCAAGAAGTGAAGCTCTTCAGGTAAACAGGTTTTGAGAGTGCCGTAATCATAGAATTCGACCTGAACAAACCAGGATATTATTCATAAACATATCAATTTCGTAGGAATTAGATTTCTCTGATTAGCTTCTAACAGACTTTGATACTTACACTAACTCTTCCATCCAGCTTGACCTGTTTTACAATTGATCTGTGCCATTCATTGTGGTACTTGCAAGCACAATGTAATCCCCTTGTTATGACAACTGGTGGGATCAAATATTGAGGAGCTTTGGCATAGTAAAACTCACTATAAGAAGGATCAACAAAATATTTATTCAACCTAGATCAGTCAAACAAAATTGATTTTTAATTAAAAGCCAAATACTCACTTAAGATCTTTCATAAGTGTCGTGAGTTTTGATGATTTTCGTAACAATCGAATCCAAAAGAAAGACGGTGTGAAGATTTCCTCAACTAGCACCGCTTCATAGCCTTTTTGTCCACCCAATTCAGTAACACTTACTTGGCCGACGCACTCTCCGTACGTGAGTACATCGGCAGGTATCAATTGTGCAGAGATGTCTGGTGACTAATAATATACTATTTATTTATGTTTATGTTATTTTTGTTTAACTCATTCAGTGTTATTTGTTACTTACGATTTGAGTAGGGAAAGGATCGACGTCATCACGGTCCAAATAGTAATAAGAAGCAAGATTTAGTTTCTGAGATGGTCTCTTCTTTGTGTCGGATTCTGGCAAAGGTATTTTGGCATTATACAGAATAAAGTCGCCTCCTTCGATTGGCTGGACTATGTGGAAAATCTGAGGGAGGTGAGCTGCAAAGTCACTGACACTTGAAAAACCTAGGTCCACATAATCCAAAGGGATTTTATATTCGATCCTATATCTTTCAGGTAATTCCGAACACCATATACCATCGGGAAACTTTTGGATGAGCATCTCCAATCGAAACTTTGTTCTGGTATTTATCAGATCCTGTAAACTTTCGAAATCAGTTTTATATCGATTTTCATCATTTTCTTTATTGTCTTCAACTATCTGATAGTTAGGTTCATTTTGTTTTGGCTCTTCAACAGGCAATAAATTGTTGTAGACTCGTTCCTGAGGACTATTCATGCCAAGAGCTGCCTGATATATTGATTTATTAGACTTTTCTTGCATGTGAATTTCATCATTTTTTATGGTACAGGTATGTTGCCATATATCATTCATTTGGAAATTGGCTGCACTCCCAGAACTATTATTTTGTTGTGGTTGTACATTCTGATTAGAAATTCTGCTATCTTCTGATACTTGAGATCTCGCTACACTCTCTTCAATAAAATTGGATATAGGTTTTTTGTAGTTGGTGTTACAGTTTCGGCGAACATCTGGAATATATCCAGCTGGTACAAAGCAGAATGACTCATCCTCAATACCACCTTCAGAACCAGCAGGCATATATTTATTTGATTCTTGTGATTTTATTGCAGAACATGCTGGTTTAGATTGAGAAGGACGATGCTCTGAATTTGAATTTGCCAAGCTTTGACTTCTCTTTTCAGCAGGATAAACCATGTTGCCTTTTATTACTATTTGATGTGATAATAGTGCCAGTTGCCTTGTTAGCTCATCAGTGGTGACATTTAGATATGGTGACTTTACACGTATCTGAGATAAAATATAATCTTTGTTTAAACCACTTGGAACCTTTTTTACAATATGAACAATATCTCTCAGTATATCAGCTGGAATGTGTGCTGCCACAGAGTGGCTACCAGGAAAATTATAAGCTGGACGAAAAGATTTTCCTCTTACAGAATATTTCTTAGTCTCAGATTTTTGTTTTCCCACCAACTCATCAACATGCTTTACTTTGTCACTAACAACTGGGATAACAACGTAAGAATTATTTTGTGATTCAACTCGGACTCTGTTTGGTATACTCAGTAAGAAATCTAACAAAGAACCATATCCCAGTCTTCGCCAGGGTATATGCTCTCCAACATTGTCATAATACAAAGAATCTAGTTCTTCTATTCTTTTATATCCTTTCACTGCCACCAAGGATGACAATATACAGGCCTCAACCTCCTCCTGATTATTTTTAACAGGCATTTTGGACAATAATCATTGGCTTACAGTCACCTACAGAAAAAAAATATAAACTACAATCGCAAAAGAACACAACAAATCTATATCTACTGTATACCAAACATTTCTAAATACATTTATAACGTAAAATATTTAAAATATTTTAGCATCATTATTTTTTATATTATACTTATACTAAAAACAAGATCGGATCAGTTACTACTGATATCATCAAAGAACAGTTTGCGCTGAGCTCAGCAATATAATCTAAAAAGCAGCATCCACGATAGCCGAAACAAAGAAATTTCTAACGAGAATAGAAATCCCAGTATTTTAACGTACCATTATTCGCTCAATTCATTATAATATTAAACCTACACTATATATTGTTTTAACCAATTTATTAATGAAATACAATTTCATACCTTCCTTAACTCAGTAGTTGAAATTCGCTGATATTCTTGCAATTCAATACGATATCTTTGCACGCAGCTACCACATTGTACAATAGAATTACGCGGGGCTTCGCACAGGCTTGCACGTTTATATTTAACCATAGACTAACATAAAGACCTGAGTACGTACTGCTACTCAATGTCAAAAACTGGCCCCACCGAAGTTAGTTTGCTGTAAATTAGTATGCGCCCTTATTTAGATAAGTTCTGACCAATGGCGAAACAAGTTTCACTTATGGCGGAGACAGCCGGAAAGAAAATTGTTCACAAGGACAAAAATATCCGTTATTTTACCATAGCCATTTTCTTTGAATATAATAAAAAATCCGCTAATGATAATTCACTTGCAATGCAACCATAACCTTTATGGTTTCGATAAAATGTTGTTCAAGCTTTTTTATTAAGTTATATTCTTGTTCGTGATGTCAATATAAATTTAAAATTTAAATTGCTTAGAAAGAACTGAAAAAATGTATTATATCTTGCAGTTTATGATAATTTACAACTACAAAATAAGGCTATACGAAAAACTAGATAATAAAAAAAATAAAAAAGATAAGAGACTATTACTATTAATTAGATCTAAAAAATGTCAATAGTAAAGGAAAAATTATACTCATCACACGCCATTAATAAATTATCAACATCATTAATGGTCAATTTCTCCACTTTCGGATAAAATTTATCCTGCAGACAAACTTCTAAAACTTGAAAATGATTGGTTAGCTGGGGATTTATCCGGAGGATACATTTAGGAAGAAATTGGCCATAAATAAGAAACATCTATACTGCTAATTTCAATAATAATCAGGTAAATAGAAAAAAAACTATACTATCCTTATCCTCATTAACCCACCAAGGTAAAATAAGAAATCTATTATTAAACTCAGGATCTAACATTCTTGAGAGACACGCCTATAATACGCAGAGCCTGAAATACATCGGACCGAGCAGGCGCTAGAAGTAAAATCACAGAAAACACCAAAGTATTAACAAAGACACTAATTAATTTAGGTAATTCGGTGATAATCGGTATCGTTAATCGGTAATCGGTATCTCATTTCGAGATACAATTCAGAACTGTTTTATATATCAAACAATAACGAAATCCTTTGAAATATAGAAAATGCGAAAGTGCCACTATATGTATATAGATATACTCAATCTATAAAAATGATTAACTTCAAAATTCACCATCTTCATTCTCGTACGATAGAACGTAATGATTTCTGACTCAAATTTTGAGATTGATATATATATAATTAATTTATTTAATTTATTTAATTATTAATTTACTTATTTTTGAGCCTAAAGTCTTGAAATTTTTGTACTGTCTGTTTAACTTGTGAATCCCTGTTATGATTATGATTATTATCACTGGCCAACCTTAACTTAAAAGTGAAGGTTTCTTATCGCACGTATCACTGTACCTACTATTTGCACTAACAACATTTAGTAAATTATGACGTTTTGGGTAACCTTACTATATCACAATTATGTGAAATAACAATAAGTAATCTTAAGATGTAATTGCAAAACTTATTATACATATGTAGAACATTTTGAAAACGAATTATGACATGTTGACGAAGAGCATTATATCCCCTTTTGTTGTCTCATTAATTTTAGACAGTAATAAATGCCAATTAGGATAAAAAGCAGCCTGACTTTTCTTTTGTATCTATTATTACTGCGATAAAGAAAAAGGCCTGTCTGCCTGCCTGGTGGTGGTTCTTGTGCGGCACGCCGGTTACGCTACCTGCGTGAAGTTGTCCGGCCAACTTTTATTTTTTAAACTTTTTTTTATTCCAATCGTTTGATAGTAGTTTGATAGTGTTTGATAGCTTGTAAAAACGTTTGGTAGTCAATAGTTTTTACAGAAGAGCCAAATCGATGTACGATGTGAAGTGGACTGTCGTTTCCTTGCTTCTTGTCCATAATCAGCTTTTTCAAGACACGTAATAAGCCAGGTTTTAGGCATTTCTAAAATTACATAATAGTCGTAAGTCAGCAATTGTTGTCATGAATTATTTTTGCGAACAACCAGAACTATACTTTCCGATGATTCTTTAGTAGGTAAACAGGAACACAGTCATAATAATGTAAGTTTATATCGGAACATAGGCATGGACGCCTATATGACGTCAGCTTTCATGGCTTTTCAAAATGATTCAATAGAAGTCTATAAACAATGCATTGTTGTCACCCTATGGCAAACTCGTGCATATAACATTACTTGTATAGCAGTGGGGTGATTGGTTGAAACGGTATTCAGAAACGTTATAACCAATCAGCGTCTGCTGACAGTTGTACAACGGTGTATGCGTGGGTTTACACCAGTAGTACATCATGATTGTGACTAGAATGGAGTAGAGTCTCTCTAGTAAGAGTCCGGCCAACGGTAGGGCTTGTTAGTGATTGGCTCCGCCATATTATGGGCTCTTTCCGGAATAGAATGGTGTGTGTGAATACGTATATGGGGGAGATTCGCATTGTGTAGTTGGGTAGTGTTAAGCCCTGTACGGCGGGTTGCCTGTACTTGGCGCAAGACTTGACCGAGTCTCGCGCAATGTCATGGTGGCGCCAAACAAGCCCTTAATATGGCGTCCCTTCCGGGTGTTGGCCGGACTCTTACTAGAGGAACTCTAGAATGGAGGATACGCATTCATACGCATACGCATGAACGCTCTGCAAAAGGAGTAATAGGTGAAATAATATGAAAATCGCGGTCTCATTATAATATCGATATATACATATATATACTTATATTTATTTTTCACTCGATACTTTGTAGCCACTGACGCTCGAAGGTTTGAAAGGAACCCCGTTAGGTTTGAGTACCTGGGTAACCTTGTCGGCTATAGCCGGGTCTGGCCAGTTGCGAGCCCCGTTATGTTACCTGGAGTGGTTAAACTGGGCGGAGCATTGGGCGGAATCTGACCGAACTGGACGCGTTTCGCTTCGGAAGCGTGTCGGTCCCTCGTGGAAGAGAGTATAAGTAGGTACTTGTTGAATGCACTGCGAAAAGGGGAAATGTACTTCTGAGGAGACGCTAGGACACGCTGGTATCTCGTACTTTGCTAGTGGTAGTTACAGCATTGACTAAAATTTGTGAAAGTGGAGAAAATTTAAGAATTCAGTTTCAATTAAGGAAATTAGTTTTTATCCAAATTAAACATGGATGGTGAGCTGAAAAAACTAGCTGAAGCGCTTTTTGATATTGAAGCTCTAAAATTTGGAAATTTTGTTACAAAAGTCGGCTTACCGACGCCAGTTTATTTCGATTTGCGAGTGATTATTTCACACCCAAAAATAATGGTAAGAAGTTTCAAATTATTATGCTAGCGAACATAAGTAGACTGAATAATATAAAAATATAACTTTGCTCGTGTCAGTGCAAATCAGAATCAACTATTTGAAATAAAATTATTTTTATACTGTTTTGTTTCAGCAAAAGTTATCCAAGATTTTGTGGTCTCTCTCTAACGAATCTTCAGAGTTTAATCAAATCTGTGGTGTTCCCTATACAGCATTGCCAATTGCAACGATTATATCTATGGAATCAAATATTCCAATGCTAATAAGGAGAAAAGAAGCAAAGTCGTATGGAACAAAAAAGTTAATAGAAGGAAAATTTAAATCTGGAGAGAACTGTGTGATTATTGAAGATGTTGTCACTAGTGGAAGCAGTATTTTAGAGACAGCAAATGATTTAAGGACTGAAGGATTAAAAGTTACCCAAGCATTTGTAATAATAGACAGAGAGCAAGGTGGAAGATCCCTATTAAAGAGCAATGGAATAAAAATGAAAAGTTTATTTACTCTTATGCAACTCATGCAGCTTCTTTTTGAACTTGGGAAGGTTTCCTCTGAAGCTGTTCAAAATGTTTCGGAATATATTAAAAATTGCCATTCGCCCATAAAAGAATTACAAGGTTGATAGGCATATATATATATATATAATTAGATGGTTACTTATATCTTCATCAATTGACATTCTAAGCTACAATTACTTATTATTTCAGAGAACTGTCAAGATCGATTGAAGATGAATTTCAGTTCCAGAGCTAAAGCAACAAACAATCCAGTGGCTTCAAGACTTTTTCAGCTTATGGATGCCAAAAAGAGTACATTATGTTTAGCAGTTGATTTGACCAAAACCGACTGTATTATAGAATTAGCAGAGCTTTTAGGACCTCACATTGTTATTTTAAAGATCCATATTGACATCGTGCAAGATTTCAGTGAAGAATTCATAAAGCGCCTACGTGACAGTGCTGAAAAGCATAATTTCTTAATCATGGAAGACAGAAAGTTCGGAGATATTGGTCATACAGTGTCTTTACAATATAGGAAGGGTGTCTATAAAATAGCTGAATGGGCTGATATTGTAACAGCTCATCCGGTGGCTGGTCCTGGAACAGTTAGTGGTTTAGTTGAAGGTTTGGATGGCATTTCAGAACCTCGTGGAATCTTTCTAGTTACAGAAATGTCGTCAAGAGGTGCTTTAACCACTAGCAACTATGTTAAGAGTTCAATTTCCATTGCCAAATCCTCAAATTTGATCATAGGTCTGGTATGCCAATCGAATGCTTTCAATGATCCAGCTCTTATTCAGTTAACTCCTGGAGTGAAATTAGTGGAAAAATCAGATGATCTAGGGCAGCAGTATAATAGTCCGGAATTCGTAGTTCAAACTGGAGCAGACATAGCAGTGGTCGGTAGAGGAATAACAGAATCATCGAACAAACTTCTAACTGCTCTTCAGTATAAAGAAAAGCTTTGGATGGCATATCAGAAACGAATATCTGACTGAATATTCTGTTTTATAGTTTAATCAAAGGCGAGAATAAAATTAAGCCAACTTTGTACATACAACTCGGGGACCATTGTAAATAAGATGCATTGTGGAATTTGTAATTATATAATTCCTTAATAAAAAGATATAAATATGTTATCGCTCAAACTGTTAAAAACGATTGTTTTAATTGAAATTTCGCCTATCTAATATAGCTTCAAGCTGTCTAAAGGGGTTTGTGAAAGGTTTGGACAAAGCGAAGAGTGAATTTGAACCAATAGTAAAATCAGTCATTTTAATACATTTATCATATATATATTTTTTATATTTTTATCGCTTGCTATTGCATTAATGTAAATTCTTACCATCTCTCTATCTCTGTTTCGGCTGCAAAAATGTTCGTGACTGTCATTTTACGTAATTATTTACGGTCTAATATACTATTTGATCATGTGCAACTCTGAAAAATGATTCAGTAAATATAATAAATGATACATGTGGCTAATACTTTTTGCTTTTTACAATAATGATATTTTATATTGTGCAGCGTTCCATAGTCAGCTATAATTAAAAAAAAAAGCAACTGGATATGTTACATTTGAAAAGTTTTATTCAGGCTCCGAGAATTTTAATTAAAAGTATTCGTTGATGGAGCCACGTGTGTGTTGAATATGTACCCGAAGGTATATTATATATTGTATAACATATTTATCCTCTTGATGTCTTTGCAAATAACAATGGGTACGTTTCCTTATTTATCTAAACGTGTCTGATAGAGACGCAACTGAATTTGCAATACTATCAGTACGTTTCGGAATACATACACTAGAATACTATACAATGTTAATTACGGGGAATAATTACAACGCCATCTGCGCAATATGATTTCTGACATATGTTCACCAGTGTTCACACTCGCGGTGAAACTGCTAATGCAAAACTACAAAATCGAGTGATAATAAGTTAAATAAATGGATCTCTATAATTGCGATACGTTCTCCTCATATGAAACTTTAATAAATTATATACTATGTAATTTTGCCACAATGGTTAAACCGTTCTGATAAAATGTTGGACGTTAATTCTTGTCTTTTAGCAGAAGGTTTTGTTCGGTATTGTTTTGTTATCTGTTTCATAATATAATATTAGAATACGAGTACTATGAATTTAATAACTGACGCCAAAGTTATTGAACTCTCAGGAATCAAATTGAAAAAGATTGACAAAGATATGTTAAAAATATATTGAAAATGATTTGGTAACATGAAAAAGTTTCATTGATATTCCTCCTTGCTGAAAATATGACGGAGGCATATACAACTGCATGCGAGACTTGTAATGATACAAATTCTGCCAAATATTATTTACGTGAATTTATAGAAACACTGAGTATTGAGTGCTGAAATGAAGTATTAAAAAGCTCTATCAATAAAACGAAACATGTTAGGTTTTTTCTCGTTACCTATACTTTCTGCACTTTTCAAGAAGAGTAAGTTTTCATTGGTTACTTAAAAGTATCATCGAATAAGAATTTGCACTTTTTGAAAAGTGCACAAAGTGTAAGTAACGAGACAAACCTATTATTGAAAAACTCGGACAGTCTATGTCGTACAGAGATGAGTAGGGAGATTGCCAATGAGACGATTTTCATACCTCTGTGATGTTAGCGGAGCTACTTTGAGTTCATACTTAAAAAAAAAAATTTTATCTTTTGTTGGTCGTTTGTAGGTGATTGTTAGATTAATTATAACGTTTGTTAGACATTATTTTGCTTGTTATTGAGAAATAAAAATTTCGGTGTGAAGATAGCGGAAAGAAGTTATTTCCTTTTGGATTTAATTGGATACTAATGCATGCGCTATCGTTTGTTGCACACGAATAAGCTAACTAGAACGTTTGTCGGTTGTCTATTTAGCTGCAAAAACTCAAAAATCAATATCTCAGCGTGTTACAGCAGAGACAGAGATTCAGAGTCTCTTAAAATATATGATAAGAAATTTCTGTCGGTTATATCGATATTTCATGTACCAACGCAGCACGGTAAACGCTCATCTGTTTATTGGGCAGGTGGATTCGATTACGGTTTTGAGATTACATAGTGAATTTTTTAAACAAAAATAATTGATGATCATAGAATTTTCTTTAATAGCGTTTATTCGCGAAGAAGATTTCGAAGCGGTAAAAGGCTCTTACAAAAATATCAAAATGTCGGGAAATTAAATATTTTTATCTTCAAGCGAAGTTTTCGAAAGTATATCCATCGATGATCCGTGTAAGTAGTTTTAATCATAATATAATTTATAATACGCCTCTTATGCTATTAAAATATATTTATCAATATGCAAATGAAATTCTGAAAATGTATCATGCTTTGTTCTTACTTTTAGAGAAGTTATTGGCTACGTGGACATTGTCGAACGCCCAAAAATTGTTTGAAAAATAAAAAAGTACACACTAATGAAATTCGCCATCAACAATGGATCGTGAATACGCGTTCAATGCATTGCTTGGGAGGGGCAAGTTGAACGCACCGCTAAAGCTGTACAGCTCAACAAGGTTTTCAAGTTTTTATTATATTATTTTCCATCGTTGCTGTTAATATCTGTAAAATAATAAATATATAATTTCAGTTTATTCATTTATATATAAAACAAAATAAAATATATATTTATTTTACATTTTATACGCACATTTTCTATTTCAGATTATATGTACATCTGGATGGAGCACAGACCAATCAGCTCGCCAATGTAAAGTCAATATTGGCACCATGCCATATGAATTGGCAGATGTGGCTGGAACAAGTGGGAAAATTAGTGAATTGTTAGATACAAATTACGATCGAGACTTGAAAACTACAGATGACAAACGTGTCACTAGAGCACCGTACGTTAAGTATAGAATGGCCTTGCGTAACAATGAAAATGAGTGCAATTCCATTTTGCTAGGTCGTCGCTTATTGCGAGGCGCGTTGGTATGGTACAGGGTGAAAGAACAGCGTATGCACGAATCGCTGCTATGCTTTTGGCTGAAGGATGGAATCTGTCACAATTCCCGACCATGGCACAGACGTCGGAGATTGTTGAATCGGATGATATCATTCTACCCGATCAATCGTTGCAAATCGGTACACGACAGTATGAAAAACTTAATGATAGATGATGAAAGATTGTAGTTCTCGGCGGATACTTCAAGTAACTCCTTCCAATCAAATTGCACGGCACTCGCAGTGAAATTCTTAATCTGTCTATCAAAAATAGTACACTGTGGCATCATTTCTCTCAATTTACTCTGACACAAAACATGAGAGCTTCACCAGAACAAGTAGACTTTGCCAAATTCTTACTGGACGTAGGAAGCGGTGCGTTGAACGATTCGGAAGATAATCTTCTGCTGCCAGAACGTTGCGTAGCATCTGCAGATTCGAATATAGTCAACGATGTATATGGAGAGTACATGAAAGAGAAGCAATACAAAGAAGCAGCCAAATGCGCGATACTGTCCGAGAAACGCGAAAGAATATACACGAGCGTAGACAGCGCTGAACACTGTAACACCAACGACGAAATCAACGAAGCGCTTTTACCGAAATATTTGAACTCTTTGTCACCGTCGAGCTCACCTCCTCACGAGTTGCGTCTCAGATAATACACTATCATAATGCTAATCAGAAACTTGAGCATCAACGAAGGTCTGTGCAATGGTACGAGGTTGTTTGTTTTAGATTTAGCTAATAACATGCTGCGATGTGAAATTTCAACAGGTGATAAGGCCGGTGAGATAGCGTATTTGAATCGCATTACCTTGCACTGCGAGAACGTCTACCCGTTCAGTTTCAAAAGACGACAATTTCCAAGTAGTACTCGATGTGATAATGACAATGGCAAGTACTACTTGGTGTACTTGATTGTACACATTACGTCTGGACATCGGTATCTCTTCTGAGAAAAAAAGGAGCAGAATTCAAGGTGCTTAGGGAGAAATCTAATATCACGCAACATAAGAGTTTGGAGAAGATGTTTTTCCATGTTGTACAACTTATTTTATTAATAAATACTATTAATAAATATTATAAATACTAGAATATATTAAATATGTATTTACAATTGTGATGGAGGTAACAGTATTTATGTAGAGATAAAGGCAACGTTCCATTCACGTTAAGCATCCAAAACAGAGTCTATTTTTCAAGAACAATTGATGATGCATGTTTATCCGTTGTTGAGCATCCATTTCTGTAAAAAAATACAAATTATGCATGACGCTGTACGCTATGTGCATCAAGTTCAATAAATTGATAAGAAAAATTACCTTTTGAATAAGAAAACCGAGAACAGATTACACAGTATTTGCTTCTCCGTAGATAATAACTGCTTCAAACTCTACCTCAATATCACCAGCATTCAGAAGAGATTCAAAAGTTCTGCTCACACAATTATCACCATCGTCATTCGTTTGCTGCATTTATCATATAACCTTAAGAGTACTGCTCGACCTTTTTTTATAATCATCCACCTTATTATACAATTTAGTGAATATGAAATAGCAAATGCTAGACTGTACAATTGTAAATATTTCAGAACTAAGAAAAGAGCACTAATAAATATCTGATATTTCGGACTGCAATATTTAATAATAATAATAAAAAGGGCAGCCCTCGCCTGTTATGAACAAGAGGTTTTGTTGAATATGCTGCGAATTTACCACTTTGAAAAAAAAATTGTAGTATACTCTTAAAATCATGTACAGTGTCTAACGCATTGTGAATAGGTGCGACTCAGGGACCTATTGCCGTCTCGCTCATACTCGTGCTGTGCGAGAAGAACGCACCGTAGGACGCTTCAATGCGTCAGACGCTGGGACACTTGTTCCTAGTCACCACGTCGCATAATATATATTTCTTTCTCTTACTAACGCTGTTTGACGAGGACGGATAACCGAAAAATCTATCTCATTCCCACTATCGAAAGTCGCGTTAGCTCCTCGTTTCTTGACGGGGTACTAGCTGTTCTCGTCATAGAGCGTTAGTCTGAGAGAGAGGGGGAAAGTGTGCGCCCGGACACGAGCGGTATTTTTTAATAATAATTGACCACAATTTCCTATTTTTTTGAGCCGCTAGAGTGGCATTACCTCTTTAAAAAAATTAAACAAAAAAGAAATGGAGAAAAAAAAAGTTTTCGTCTCTTGACGCGAACTCGGCAGCTTACGATTACGAAGCTGAATTGTTGCCAACGCGCCCAATGCATATTCTTCGTAAATGATAATCCATAGCTAGTAGAAGTGAGCAGCCTCACTTGTTGCGATACGGACTCTTATGATGTAAGAGAAAAATTAACAGCAATGGAACAAATATCCGCTTAACGCTTTTGCATTTCTAACATAGATACATTTCTCCATTTCATTTTTTGTTTTAATGTGCCGCGGTCGCAGCGTGGTCTGATTAAAAAAAAAATTTGATAACACTCGCTGTTTCACTTTTTGATAGTTTAAATATTATTCAGCCGAATAGAAAAGTAATAAAAAATGTCTCAAAAAATTGCACTTATTAATGTCGGGTAAAAAAAATGAAAAGTGTAAAAAACCCACACAATTATTTTATACATATGCATGGTGAGATGAGACAAATAGTATATCTGTTTAGAAATTTTTAGTTTCATACATTTTTGAGTAGCCTGATTCAATTTAGTCAATTTCTTTTGTTCATGTCTACGGAAAGATAATTTTATTTTTAATATTTCGAACTATCAGTATGTTCTACCTCGACATAATTTTCTGATAATTCGATGTATTAAAAATGTTGTGTTTCCGTAGCCATGAATGATAAAAATTAAATGACAAAAAATCCCTTACCAGATAGATTATTTGTTTCATTTCACCATAGAAAATAATTAATTCATTGTTATATGCTCATTATTTTATGCCCGAGATTTATAAGTGCAATTTTGTTTTTGGTAATTTTTCGTAATGCCTTCTTTATCCGTCTGAATATTATTTATGCTATTAAAAAATGAAACAGCGTACCATAGGTGTTTGTCACAGGTAGGCTCTCGGGAAGAAGAAACGTTCGCTGATTTATGTACCAATTTATTGGATGTATACGATGTAATATAATACAATCTGTGTAGATTAATATTATCATGTATTTAATGAATCTTCAGTTAATTAGGTGAACCAATAAGCATAGTTGAAAATGAAAAAAAAAAAGAGGTAAGACGTGAGTTTTGAACCTGAGACTCTCGGACGTTAATTAACTCAGCACCAAGCACGTGTGCCATCGAGTTATTGTGATATATTATTTAGGAAACTTATATTTCTCTAGTTACCCACGTTCGAGGGTTTCTTTAAAGTTTTATTTGTTTACTCATTATTTCCAGAGCTTGATATGGATATTAAGGGTATTGACTACGTTATTACTACGGTTCATGTAATATCCTGTAAAAAAATGTGGGTACAGTCTCCCTATTTTGAGTGTTCATCCGGTTTGATATTGTGGATCTCGAGGAACACACGAATTCATTTGACCAATCAAAAGCGTGGAACTAGTTCAAGAGTCTCGTTCAGGTGGCGCGTCGACGCGCCAAAACATAGAGTCCCTCTAGTAGGAGTCCGGCCAACACCCGGAAGGGACGCCATACTAAGGGCTTGTTTGGCGCCACCATGACATTGCGCGCGGATTTTTAAACTATCAATCTTTACCATCAAGACACTCGGTCGAGTCTCGCGCCAAGTACAGGCAACCCGCCGTACAGGGCTTAACACTACCCAACTACACAATGCGAATCTCCCCCATATACGTATTCACACACACCATTCTATTCCGGAAATAGCCCATAATATGGCGGAGCCAATCACTAACAAGCCCAACCGTTGGCCGGACTCTTACTAGAGGGACTCTACCAAAACACAGCTCCAGATTCTCACGCGTAGTACTATATGTATATACTCGATCAATCAAAAACGTGGAACTGCTTCGAGGGCCCTCCGCTAAGGTGACGCGCCAAAACCAAAGTAAAATTCAGGCCACCAAAAACAAGCCCATTGGCAACCTGTGTGAAGTTAGCCGGTTAACTTTTATTTTTTAAACTTTTTTTTATTACAATCGTTTGATAGCCGTTTGATTGTGTTTGGATAGTCTTGTAAAAACATTTGATAGTCATTAGTCTTTTCAGAAAATCAAAATCTGGTGTGAAGTTGGCCGGCACTTTTTTGTTTCTAACCGGATTTTGTTTTTCTGGAGCTCAATCGATGCAAAATCGTTTGATAGTTGCGAATTAATTAATAAAAACGATTGATAGTCCATCGTTTGCAAGAAAAATGAGAAAACCCACATGCGAATCAAGGATCCCAATCGATTCCTCGATCGGTGTGTCCGTTGAATTAGACTATATTGCAAACTTGTTCTATTTCCAATCGTTTGATAGTCGTTCGATAGTGTTTGATAGTCTTGTAAAAACGTTTGGTAGTCAATAGTTTTTTCAGAAGATCCAAATTGATGTACGATGTGAAGTTGACTGTCGTTTCCTTGCTTCTTGTCCATAATCAGCTTTTTCAAGACACGTAATAAGCCAGGTTTTAGGCATTTCTATAATTACATAATAATCGAAAGTCAGCAATTGTTGTCATAAGTTATTTTTACGATTTTGCTCCAAAAAAGAACACGACTTCGGAACGTGCTACTTATATCTATGCGTATCCTCCATTCTAGTTACAATTATGATGTACTGCTGGTGTAAACCATCGACATATAGTACTGGATTGCTCCCTGTAGCTGCAGAAAGTGTAATCGAGAATAGAAAGAGAGAGCAAATCGTAAGGACCGTGCTGTCCTTCTCTTGGGCAGGAGCGGAATCAGGAATAAGGGAACCCCGCGCAGTAAAATGTATGTTTCATGATGAACTTTATTTAAATATTTTATAAGTTTAACAATTGATTTAATCTTATGTTAATCATAAAATTTAAGGTTATTTTACCATTTTACTTCGTTGTGAAAGCTTATCGTATTGGGCTCAAAATATAGGTCTCGCGGTAGCTCTCACTTAACACAGCGAATCACTATTTTTTAGTAATATTGAATTTTGATAAACTCAACTACAACAAAGTAATCACGACAATTGAGATTTGACTCACGGAGGCTTTTGTCTCCATGATTCGACTGTAACAACATACATACATTCTAGATGTGCGGAGCGATCTTTCACATGGTTCTTATTTTGCATATTACAGTCCTGAACCCCTTCCATCCAGAAACCTTTCGATTAATAGAAAAATTATAGAAAAGGACAGAACGGTCCTTACGATTTGCTCTTTCTTTCTATTCCCGATTACACTTTCTGCAGCTACAGTGAACAGTCCAGTACTATATGTCGATGGTGTAAACCCACGCATATGTATACCGTTGTACAACTGTCAGCAGACGCTGATTGGTTAAAACGTGTCTGAATACCGTTACAACCAATCACCGCACTGCTATACAAGTAATGTTGCATGCACGAGTTTGCCATAGAGTGACAACAATGGATTGTTTATAGACTTCTATTGAGTCATTTTGAAAAGCCATGAAAGCTGACGTCATATAGGCGTCCATGCCTATGTTCCCATATAAACTTACAGTATTATGACTGTGTTCCTGTTTACCTACTGAAGAATCATCGGAAAGTATAGTTCTGGTTGCTCGTAAAAATAATTTATGACAACAATTGCTGACTTACGACTATTATGTAATTATAGAAATGCCTAAAACCTGGCCTCTTACGTGTCTTGAAAAAGCTGATTATGGACAAGAAGCAAGGAAACGACAGTCAACTTCACATCGTACATCAATTTGGATCTTCTGAAAAAACTATTGACTACCAAACGTTTTTACAAGACTATCAAACACTATCGAACGACTATCAAACGATTGGAAATAGAACAAGTTTGCAATATAGTCTAATTCAACGGACACACCGATCGAGGAATCGATTGTATCGTATCGATTGGGATCCTTGATTCGCATGTGGGTTTTCTCATTTTTCTTGCAAACGATGGACTATCAATCGTTTTTATTAATTAATTCGCAACTATCAAACGATTTTGCATCTATTGAGCTCCGGAAAAACAAAATCCGGTTAGAAACAAAAAAGTGCCGGCCAACTTCGCACCAGATTTTGATTTTGATTTTCTGAAAAGACTAATGACTATCAAAAGTTTTTACAAGACTATCAAACACTATCAAACGTCTATCAAACGATTGGAATATAAAAAGTTTAAAAAATAAAAGTTGGACGGCCAACTTCACGCAGGTGGTTGCGCTGGGCACACTGATCGTAGCTGTTTATTAAGATACTAAGCAGTAAGCAGGCATCAGTAGCCCTTCGGTAGCATTGGGCTTCGGATGAGAGCGTCACGGTGATAGAGTGAATTTAAAAAATGGCCCCGTCGTGCTTCGAAGTTATTCTGGTTGCCTTCATTCTGGTGCTACCGTTTCTTTACGAGACAAGCCGCACCTTTCGATACTACTTCAAGTTTCTTATGTATTACGGTATCGTTATGGCCAACGCGATGCTCATCATTCCCATTATGATATTCCGGCCCGGGAACGTCAAAAATCTTGTGTGAGTATGAAAGACAATACGATAGCTTTGTTTTTATTCTATCTTCTTTTCAATTACTGACTGACAACTGTGGATCGTGTATATTTCTTCGTTCTTACGTATCTATGAGGGATACAGTAATTTTTATTGATTTAAATGTGTTGAGAAAGAGATAATTTTGAGAATGAGGTAGTTTTAAGAATGTCAAAATATAAAACTTTAGGTTGGTGGTCATTTGTAGTTCTATTAGTTTTCAGTTTATAGTTCCTTGTTGACATAGAACTGAAGTATGTTATCATTGATTACAATTGCACACAGACCTTTGTCACAGGCTGATGTAATGTTAAGAGAATAACATAGATTTTACTATTACTAATATATTTTATTAACATTTTCAGATTGGCTTCCTCAATCTGTCATCATGTCAGTACATTACTTGGATTGCGTTGGGAAATCAGAGGTCGAGAGCATTTGGAGAAAGAACGAGCATGCATTATTGTGGCAAATCACCAGAGTTCATTAGACGTATTGGGGATGTTTGATCTATGGCCAGTAATGGACAAATGTACAGTAGTAGCCAAAAAGGAAATATTTTATGCTTGGCCATTTGGTCTTGCTGCTTGGCTCTGTGGATTAATATTTATTGATAGAATGAATTCAGAGAAGGCACGATCAGTTCTTAACACAGCTACAAAACATATTAAAGATAAGAAGGTAATGTGCATGCAGTATTAAATAATATTCCACATTCCTCCTCAGCAATAGGAGATAGAAATTTTTACTTATAATTACCTTTAGATTAAACTGTGGGTGTTTCCGGAGGGCACTAGGCACAACACTGGAGAAATACATCCATTTAAAAAAGGAGCTTTTCATGTTGCTATTAGTTCCCAGCTACCCATCTTACCTGTAGTCTTCTCTTCCTACTACTTCTTATCAACTGAAGAAAAACGACTAGACGCTGGTACACCATATTTTAATATAAATTATACTGATTCCATAATGTCCATTTAACAATAGTATAATATTATTACTTCTTTAACTTCAGGACGTATTGTCATAACGACGTTACCGCCTATACCGACAGAAGGGTTAGGTAAGGATGACATAGAAGCCCTCATGGACAAGACCAGGAAGGCAATGTCTGATGTATTTCATGCGACGAGTCGCGAGGTCCAGCTATCATTGGCAACATCCAAGCAACACGTACAATAAAGGATTCTTGTTGGATTTTCTACCAGCAGCTCATTCCTCGGAAAACAGACTTAATCATTCGATAAGACGCCGTATGAAGTCTTCGCCAAGGAACCAAAGACTTGTGTGTATATTTTTATTTTTTAACATTTATTTAAGCATATAGCTCTCAGGATTTTCATTTGCAATTTATGGACAAAGATTTCTTCTTTATTGTGTGGCCCGTCAGTCCTTTTTAATATCCCAAGCAGGAATCAACACATCACGACTATGGAATGTACAATCGTAATACATTTCTACTATAAAATTCCTTACTTGCATTCATATGGAAACGCGATGGATTTTGAGTAAGTTTTCAGGTTCCTCCTTAAAGTAACCCTATATTATGACATCATACAAAGGAATCCAATGAATAATGTGAAGAATTATTTTTTTTCTTCTGACGCAAGTAAAACCTGCGACTGTTCTATTATTATCAGTAGTAGGTATCCAAAGGCTCTATTATATTTGGAATGAATAAATTTTATATTGGGATCCATTCCTTGGATAAGATAGTTTAGCAAGGTCATATGAGCTTTATTAGATAAGTATAAAAGAGAAATAATAGAAGGGAGATATAATATTTTACTCGCTCGCATTATGCGCACAAGCGTGCGATTTACGCCTCGCGTTTCATTTACGTATATCTGACGTTTATGTTACATTTACCATAAGAAATACTAACGATTAGCTAATTTTTCTAATACAAGTTTAACGTGCGCTTAGATTATTTACGGTTACTCCATTTATAATGAATAAGGCCTCCGTGTACTATTGAGTAACAATACATCACAGCGATGAATAAGTCTTAAATAAGGGTATTTGAAACAAAAATATGGAAAGAAAAAGTATTGTAAAATTAGATACCAATATACATATATAGTCTATTTCTATTTGTTTAGTTACCATAGAAGACAAGTCAATATTTATTGGGACGTTTCAAGGAAGCAGATACTCTTATTGAGTAAGAAATTTATTACACGACACGAATATTAAAATTTTATTTGAAAAAGAACCAAAGATTGATTTTACAATCAAAATGCTGCTATGTGCATGTGTCCATACTAAAGCGAGTTAGAATTAACTTTGAAAAACAACTGTAGCAAGCAAAATTTATTAGGCATAGCTTGCTATGACAAAACGACACAACTTGAAGTGTTCCAAAGAGAGAAAAAAGGTTGCCACAATATTTAGAACAATCTCTCTAAAATTCTGATATTTTAAATTCAGATTTTTTATTGAACTTACTTTGTTTTTATTCTAATCGATAACAAGACTTATAGTACTTCCTGTTCTTGCCTTTATGCTACTAATATTACACTCTCTGTTTAGATTTTCCAGTCTTTTTACAAGTATTAACTCATAATGGATTGTGGAGGTTTCTGTAATACATATAGATACAATATTGACATTCCACATATTTTCTTGAATTTCATTCTTATGTTACAGAATACATACTACAATTATATTAATAGTTGTTACTTTCTTTTCAATTGTTTGTGTAGAGTTTGAAGTGAAGACGCGCCAGTGCCAAGGCTAGTTTATACGAAATATTTGCTTTACGTATTTTATCCGTGAATTAAATTTTCAATTCGATTTTGGAATTTTTAATTGGGATAAACGTATCATTTTCCTACACTTGCCATAAACTGCACATCTACCCACTATTATGTTCACTATTATTAATTCACGGATCTCAAGACGTATCTGTTTATTAAACACGACTGCATGAAGCATGTGGGAGTATTTTATGCAATTGCCATCCCAACAAGGCATATAGATATGTGCGTTATTAATATTTTGGGGGGAACCGTCTAATTGATTGAAAATTCCGGGAAAAAAAATAAGAAAATGAAATACCGAATCCGTGAAATTAAATTTTTTATGAAGGCAAATGCATAATTATGCGGCGATAATGCCTCAATGGAAATCTGTTTGTGTCTACATTTAATTTAGAAATAAGTTTACTGTGCTTCTACAATCGATAAGATTACTAAGAGGAAATTAGATATTCAATATGCGAACTTTGAAGTAATCGACAAATTAATAATCGATCCAAAGAATTGTCTGATCAGGCTGTGTGCGGCGCATGAATTAAGTGGAACACATTGTTAGAACAAAGTCCGATTGGTATATACGAACTATGTGGCCATGCGGAAACATCTGTTTTATCGTGAAAATGTGGAAAATTGTAAAATGTGGAACAGGATTGAGAAAAAAGCTCTCTGGTTTACGATATGAAAATATTTTTCATTTTTATCGTTCGCGGCGAGACTGTATCTACGTTCGTTGTTTCGCATCGCTTGGAAGTGTTTTATAAACTGCAAAACTTATTATGTATTATTAGTTATTAAACATTGTACATCAAACTGAATTGTGAGAAATTATAAGGAAAAAAAAAAAAAGAAAAACAACTTACGTTTCCATCAAAAACATGTTTTATTATTGAACTTAATTTAATTGAAGTACAATTTTGGTAATACAGTCATTCCTTTAACAGTACTAGGGAAATTAGTCTCACTTTTTTAAATTGCTATTATTACATACATCAATTCCTTCATAAAATTAAGCGTTCTGTGTGATTGACCAAATGTCTTTTCTATCTTATCTTTCTAACATACACTTCAATTGTGTGCCTTTGCGATATAAAGATGTTAATAGTAATGCTACAAAAATATTAATGATTCTGATGTTTCACAAATATTAAGAATAAAAACAAATACTTAAATGTTTTTCGGAAACTGGGCACTTTTGAATAAAAAAAAGATATTTTAATGAACTAAAGTTCTATCTCTTAAAGTGGAAATCATTTACATTCTAAATAGTTCATGATGTACTTACAACAATAGCATGTTTTATCTATGAATATCAATTTATACATTTGAGTTTACTTTAAAAGCAAAATTTGCTTTCACTATTAGATATTAGAGATTAAATATAGACATTTTTTATAATGAAGGAAAATCACCAAGACCTGATGCCTTTTTGTCTTGACTTTCCGTCCATGCTTTAGCGATCGTTTTCTTTATCTCATCATCTCCATCCTGATACATTTTCTTCATAAGATTCATTAGACTTGCTCCTGGATCACTATCCTCTTCCATACTAGGTACAGAAGGTGCTTTGGCTTCAGTAATTTTCTTTTCTACCCCAGTAACATGAGACCAATTCTTACTAGTTGTCTTTGCCAAGAAAATAGCAATCATATCTGACTTAACTTTAATATAACTCTTCTCTGGATCAATCTCTTCACAAAGATTGTTTATAGGAAGTTGATAGTTCCTGTTATCTAATCCAAGGACATGCAGATCTATTGATTTATCAGTAAAATTGCAAAACACAGCTTCTTTAGGAAGGGACTGTACATTCTTCAAAGTAACATACAATTTTATGTACTTGTCAGACTGATCCCAGGCATAATTCTTTAGCTTGACTTCATAACATTTAGGTCCTGCATTAGGCACAACATTTCCAGGCTTACTCTCAATCTTATTCTGCTCCACTATCTTTGCCAATTCGGTTTCAAGTCGTCTGACTTCAAGACTAAGAATGTCTTTCGATCTTTGTCTACATGCTTGTTTTAACAAAGCATTTAGCTCGTCAATATCCAATTTCATCTAAAAAGAAGACGAGTGTCTGATAACTTTCTGGTCAATTTCAATATCCGATCTTAATTCCTTGTAAGAATCGGTTATATATTATAGAAAGGAATATAATACTTTTTCGAATCGATTAATCAAATTATAATATTCTTACCTCGTCAGCCCTTGATGTCATTTTCTCTATCTTTTCGTAAAAAAAAACCACAATATTTTAGAGACAAGTTGATTCTCTTCAATAATACACTACCTATACAAGTTCAACGTTGCTCAACGTGATTATCACTTGACAATGACCACAATGACTACGACTGGACCAGCATGGGCCAGCAGCGTAGAACAAGAATGTTCTAGATTCACTACGAAATTGTGAAGGAAATTGTTTCCAAATTTCATGTAAAAAGATTTAAAAAATCTAACATAAATATATTTATGAGACTGCCATTATACACTAACGTCTCATGTATAGTTGCTCTCAAGTTTTGTATAATTACAGCAGATATTATTATTAAAATAAGTAGACTTTACAGAAGATAATCGAAGTATATTGGAACGTATGTAGTCAACGTCCAAATATTACAATGTAAAGCTGTTGAGCACGTAGAATATAATTTTCTTTGATTTAAATATAATTAAATTATACTTTCCATATTTGTTATTGTTTATTTATGTTTCGTTAATTCATAAATTACAAAAATTGTTCGATCTAAAATATTTTACCGCCATTGTTCATATGTTACCAGTGCTCATAAAAAGGCAGCACTATAATTATTTGACGAAGAATGATTGGTTTATTTGAAATCCAATAGCCGGGACTCAATAGAAAACTGCGCTAAGACAGCAATCACATTCAATTGGTTAATTGATAGCAAATTTGGCAAAAGGTGGCAAATTTAACCAATCAGATGTATTTGCTCCGCAGCGTTGTACTCCTGAGCACAGCTAATGTTTCTCCTTCTTCTTCTTCTTCTTGTTCCTTATGGCTTTATACCCCCATAGAGGGCTAAGCACTGAACTCTAACCATACTGGAACCCGTACGCCTGTATTCGAAGCACGGTCGTACGTACAGGTCTTGCAACTCCCTTGGAGGGGGTAGTCTTCTTTTAGAAGCATTTTTCATTTCGCTTCATGACCTCAAGAGGCGTTGCGATCAAGCGATCCGTTCCTATTTCTCTCTTCCACAGCCGATTGTAGAGTGAGATAGATAAGGGGCCCGTTCCTATTTCTCTGTCCCACAGCTGACTGTAGAGTGAGATAGATAAGGGGGTCACTCGATCGCAGCGACGCTTGTGACTAAAATTTAAAATGTGCCATGCTTCAAAACCACGTCTACCCCCACCGCTGAAAATTGGGCGAGTTGCAAGACCTGTATGTAAGCCGTTCAGTGCACACATCGATTAACTCCATACAACAAAAAGTTGAGAAATGCGATGAAGTAATGTATATTGTAAATTACTTATTATTCAATGGCCAAAAAAATTGTGCCGTTTAATGGTGCTAATCTTCATTATTCAGGAAAGTTATTATAAATATAAAAAGTTATGACTATACCAAGTGCTTTGACACTTAAATTTAAGATTTTTCAAAAAGTGGAGTTAATCGATGTGTGCACTGAGAGGCTCATGTAAGACCGTGATTCGAAAGTGACCCGGCCAGCGCGGAGCTGTCTCACTCACCACGAGTAGGAGTTTGTCCTTTTCGAAATGAACTGCGCATGTGGTGTACAAGACCTGCAAAAATGTTGTAATGCCGCATTCAGGGCCAGCCAAGCCAGCACTGAAATACAAAACGTCGACCGAAAGGTTGGAGGTTCGCGCCCAGCTTCCAGCGGCATTCACCAATGGGTTTTCATATGAAAACTTAAGTGAGTATTTATACGGATTTCGCCCAACACTGTTCGGGTTCGCTGTATAAACTTTGTAGGTCCCCTCACGCTGAGTTGAATAAGGCCCGTCTCGCAAGGTACATCGCCATCTAGTGTCGAACTTCCAACCTTGATTATTAGGACCAGTTACTGGCACATGTCCCCCATTGGGGATACAGCCATAATGAAAGGAAGGAAGGAAATACAAAACGTACAAGTAATAGTGTGCCAGCTAAATATTTGGTAATAGTTAGCATTACTAATTATTTATGATAATTAAATTGTAAATATTATATACCAATTATAACATTTTTACTATTGAACTAAGTAATAAAACACAACAAATATATTTAAAAAGTTCAGCATATAAAACTATATTTTTGTGTTTTGTTCATATTGAAATTATCCTAAAAGCAAAACTATTTCTTTCATGGTTTCGCTATTCTTTTATCACACAAAAGTAGGAATAGCTATACCTATCAATTACATAATAGCCTCGATTTTTAAATTCATCATTTAAGGAGTCTGAAGCAATTCACAATAGTTAAATCAGTACGATCTGTACTAAACTTTTGCAATCATTTCTGGATTTCTATAAAGTTTTATACATTAAATAACACTTGTGATAAGTGATTTAAAATCACTTTTTACTGCGGTCAAGTCCGCCAATTTATTTAGCAGTCTTCGAAATAAGATATATGTGCCACTATTTCAGATTATGTTAAATTGGCTGTCTTTCCCGTGTGCACTGCTTTATCTCAGCTTAAACTTTTCCAGACATTGTACAGTGTGTGAACAGCAGCCTTTTACACTCGCCTGTGTCTTGATATTTCTCTTTATGCGGCCTCCACCACTGCAGTACGGATTCCAGTATGGTTAGAGCGTTGAGTGTTAGAATTCAGTGGCGCCAAGTGCCAGACAGCTAATGTTTATATGTATATTCAATATGGGTGTGTTCTAAAATTCACTGTCAGTTGTACGTGGTTGTACGCGTATCCGCCGTCTTTTGTCTAGCTGCGTGCGCAATAGGTTTTGAATATACCTTATATGAAAATATTTAAAAAATGGATGAATGTAATGGATTTATTGTACAAAATACGAGTGAAAAAAGTCCTCAATCGCAGAAAATAATTCAAAAACGAAAATCTGCTATATTTCAAAGGCGATCGCTTGCACCTCCTATAATAGGTGAGATAAATTTATCGACGTGGAGGTTATGTTTATCTTAGCTTGGTAGTCAAGAGTCTATTTGGATCTTTAATGCCCTTTCAAAATAATCTATTTTTAATTATTTTTTTTAGATTCTAATTGTACTACAAATTTTAATGATGGAATGAAACAATTATGTGACGTTGAATGTACAAAAGATAATGAGATTGAAGAAGCATTTAATTTGCAAGAATATATACAGAGTCTCAAGCAAGAAAGAAAATTATGGCAGGAGAAGTTGAGCTCCAGAAAAAGACAACGGAAAGATCTCACTAAACAGAAAGATAATATATTGCGTTCTGGGCAAGATCTTGACTTGAATGTTCTTTCAGAAAGTGAAAGATCATTTTTATTAGCACGACCAAATTATGAACATATTTGTAGCAATGGTATAAAGTTAAGTGACGTTACAGACAAAGTAGTGATGTTGAATAAATGTGTGCACAGACTGAACAACATATTTATCCAGATGATGGAAGACAAAGTTAAGGATGTTACCATAACAATTATAAGGGAAACTGATTAAATTGTATATTATCCATAAATTTATTTATCATATGGTGCAATTACTTTGTATACAATACTACAGAAGCTAAGCTATATTTGAAGCAACGGTTGTAACCTTAATAACTATTTCTGCACCACTTACAACTGTGAATATGCTCCACTGTCTTGAATTCTTTTCACATTATGTGATTCTAATCAGGATTATAACTTCTTGATAACTGTCTCAAACTATTGGTACATGCATCTAGTTATTGTTAAACACCAAATACATAATTGTATATTGTATCAAATACTTATATATAAATATTTTATTATCGAGATTCAGCATCCTGCATTATTAAAATATCTTGCGTACTACTAATGTAATTAAAAAAAAGGACCAATAACAATGTGAATTTACAATAATACTGTCTTCAATGGCGTAAGTGGCGCTATCGCTTTACTTATCAACATTCGCTCCACATTCCAAAATAACATTAGCTTCTGCTCATTCCCATTTTGAAAAATGGGTTGCCTCATCAAGTCTTTAGGTACTCTAAAATTGAGTACAGCAGCTGATAGAGTTGTCATCTGTGCAAGTGGAAGCTCTTTCGTCTTGCTGCTTTCCTTTCCCTTTGTGCCAGATATTCCTTTCTTGATGTACTACTCCGTAATTCCAGGATATGATTTATTTTACGCACAATTTCCTCCGCCGTTGCTGAATCTGCCTCAAAATCATGATTTTTGAAAGATGCTGACTGATGAAGTGAGTGATGTCCTCCTGAACCTATCACAGATCAATAAATGACATTGCCCTAATTAACGATTTAAAATTCAACGACATTGGAATTGGATTTGTTTTTTAAGTAAATTACCTATAATGGCATCCAATGTATTGGAATGCGGTGTGTATACTAATGTGAATGTTGTCTTTGGTCCTTTGTTCTCAATCAATTCACACCAAGCAATATTATCTATGTGATAGCTGACGGCACGTTGTCTATTCCAAAATCGTCCTGCACCTTTTCCAGTCAGAACTGGATCAATTTCAATTTTTTCACCAGAAATTCCCAGATGAATTTCAGTCTTTGCTCTCACTTTATTAATTATATATACCCTGTAATGATAATTTAATGTTACATGTTTCCTTTAAAGTTTGACAAGTGAAACCTACCTATATAATTGATATAGAGGTGCTTCCATTGCAGTGGTATGGCCTTCCATTTTAGCTAAGTCCTCTGCAACTTCTTCTTGTTCTTTTTCCTTTACTGCTTGATCATCCTCATTTTGTATTTCTATAGGTATAATAGTATTGTGTCTGGCTCTGTCACTGGGCTTCATTTCTACAAGACCCAATGTAGTAAATTCAAACTTCGATATAGTTTCTCTAGGATCTAAGCAGGGAAAATCCCAATCCACTTCACCATCATCTTCAGTAATGTAAAGACCATACTTTGTAATGTCTTCTCTGAATGAAAAATCTTTTATAAGGTTTGTAGAACTTTTAAAGTATTTCTATACAATTAAGTTAGAACTTACTTCAAAGGATGATCTGGATGTTCACTTGCATATTTGAAACAGATTAAACCTATGAACTCTTGAACTTTGGCAGTAGCTATTACTACAACCTGCTGAGGATATGCTCGTTGCTCCTTGGGCAGCATGCACATGAATATTCTGTATTTTCGTGCTAGAATTCCAACTTGTGCCTAGACAATAATCATAGATAAAACATTAGTTATAAATTGAATTCAATGTGATATACTGAATATACATAATAACATTTGCATACATTTCCGTCGAATCGTGCATAATCTGTGAAAGCATTTTGTGGAAGATTTGGACATTTCTCTAATTGTTCTGATAGTAAGGAGTGTCGTTTATTTGTTTTCTCTTCTTTCTTACGAAAATCCTTTCGCTGAAAGAGTTCTGACTGCTCAGCTGAAGATATATTCCCTGGATTTGGTTCCCATTTTACATGTTTTACTTTAGCAGCTTGTTTCCGCTCTAGATCCATTTTTTCCAGACGTTGCGCTGTATTTGAACGCTGTCTATGGCCAAAATCCATCTCTAAGCATATAGAAATACACATGTAATAACAGGATCTAAAGGAAAACTGGTATCAACAGATACTTAATATTGTAATGTAGTACAAAATTTAATATACCCATCGGTATGTCGTACGACTCTGCCAAAGTATCTAAATCTTCATCATCGCTATCCTGCATTCCTGGATAGCAATTCAAATATCCATTAGTCTTAAATTGTTTTGGTAAATCCTCTCCCAGCATAACCACCTCACACATTCCTTTGAAATAAAACATTGCACACTTAAATCTATAAAATATTAGTGATCTATTTTTATATAGCAAACGATTTAATTAAACGCTCAATTAAAATTGGCGCCATTCACAAATTACAAGATAGTACATTAAAAATAAATGTCACATTTTTTTTGAATGACAGTTCCTTGATCACAAACATAACCTAGATCAATTACATTTCGCACCTGTATCGTCTGTGGATATAAAGCTATCCCTGATGTGCGACAAAAGCCAATGTTGATTATCGTACAGAGCCATATTTGCATATGATGCACTACTGACTATACAGTGATTTTATTAAGAAATACCACAATTCTTTCATTCCTGCAAGGAACACCGCATTGATTTCTAAGCCCCGCATTGCTTAATAAGTTCGCATAACATAATCGAGATGGTGCAACATCACAATTTCATAATAAAAATGATGTTCACAGAAAACAAGACAAGCGACAGTAGGTTGTCCGGGATGTCATAGGGTTCTGGAACCCTAACATGGACAAGAACCGTATGATAACATTAAGAATGACTTTACCTACATCCCCTCCATATAAACTTGTTAGTAAAAGATGAGTATTCAAAATCAATAAGATAATTGGTCATTATGTACGTTCCTAATTACGATTAAAATTTTCACTCGTGAAATGTTTTCTTTATAATTTAAAGTATCACAAGGTAACAAAAGTATTTACAAGTTTTTTTTCTTATTCAAAAAAATTATTCTCTACAATATACTTTATACACTGGCATACCAAATTCCGTTCGTGCTGAATCGAACGCGACAGTAGTCTATTCAATAATTGGGTACGATAAGGCTGACGTTTTTTATTATTTTGCGGAATTTCTGTGGTTTTACGTTTATTGGATTGATAGGTTTTTTTAGTTTCTTCAGGTTTTTTATATATTTGTGTTTCCACTGAAGGAGTCGCTTCAGGTTCTGGAGATTCTTGTTTCAATTTCTTAATAGGAACTTCGTCAGGGGGCTCGTCTAAAAATATCCATGCATCAATTGACACAGTTTGGTAAATCGTTGGTTATAAAGTTAACTACCTTCATTAGAGTCACTGCCATAATCAGCAACCAAGCCAATACATCGTTCTGTCTTAATTATAGGAACAACCGTTTCTTCGTCGTCAGAAATTTTGCTATTTTCTTCTTCTTCTGTTTCTACTACTTTTGTCTCCTCCGGGATCATCTCATCACCAAGGAGCTGCGGGTCTCTGAGAACTTCTAAAAAGAAAAGAAATAATAATTTTTCAAATGCGGAAATGAAGAAAAAAACAAGTCAAAGTAAAAAAAAATTTACCTGTTCCAGGGAAACACACGAGACCCCTGTAAAGCTGTACTTGTGAACAGTCTGCGACTTCCTTAACACGTTCAACTCTCTTTCGACATTTCCGTTTTCGTTCTTTTGATACCTTTCCTGGTTTCTCTTGCCTCAATGCACGTTCCCGTCGAATAATCTCACCTCGACATACCTTCTCAGCTTCCTCAGCCTTTCTCAATTCGACATTGGCCCTCGTGGGGTATCTCCTACAAAAACAAATAGGCCCCCAAAAAAATTAATTATAACAAATCCATTATTTCTTATTGCACAAGAATTTAAAACAGAAAGATGAAAGAAATCTGCAAGTAAACCTACTTACTTTTTTCTCTCAGCAATCCACTTCTGCACGTCCTCAGGAGTTGAGAGATTTTTTATCTTTTCATAGAGTCCAGTGTAGTGTTGCATTGATATATGTTTCTCTATCAGTTTAGGATGAGCTGCAAAAATGCATCCATCAATGCCACAAACGCGATGCTCCGCTTTGTGCCTGGCTAGCATGTCCTTCGTTGTGAATTCCCTGTCGCAGACCTCGCAGTAATGTTCCTCAACCTCTATTTCTTCCTCCTCGTTACTTGTATAATTCTCATCTCGTATGTCGTATAGTTCATCCTCTTCGTTATACAGATGTGCCTGTAAAATATTTTCAAGGAATACTCTGTTCGTAGGCCTGATTGACATACATTCTAACCACCCCAATAAATGAACAAGAATCCAATAACAGAGAGATACAATAATTATTCATTTTTCTCTTCTCCCTTATCATTACTGAAAGAGCCACCACGTGCCCTCAGGATGTGCTCTTACGTACAGCCCCATGCTTGCAACCACTGTTAAATAAGAATAATGTTAAGTATTTCAATACCTCTTCTATTCCTTAAATTATGTATCTGTAAGTGCAATAATATAATTAAATAAAGCCAGTGGTATTTACAGGGGCGGACCGTAAGTGCCTATTAAAACAGAGAAAGAGTATTTTTTTTAATTTTCAAATTATTAGACTGAAATGCTTACCAGGCAATTCATCCACTTCCCGTGTTTTAGCAATTATAATTTAAGCTGTTCGGCCTGTTTCTTGAAAATTATGAATAATCGCCTCCGGGTGACAATCTCAGAAGAGAAAGACTGATAATTACGCTCTTAGCTCAATCAACAATACTAATTAGTAACAATGCTTCACGTGAAAGATTCCATTATTACTGTTAAGTGCACAATGCCAATGAGTAATGTATTTTAAATATTGTTCAACATATTCAATTAATTGTTAATGTATCCAATGACCAATCTTATCCAATGTATACATAACTTAGTGATTTTTTAAGCATTAGGGTATGCCAATTAATTACCTAATTAATTTCTACGAGAGAGACAAAACAATGATAATAATAAGAATAAAAAGAAGAACAAGAAGAAAAAGACATCCGTCAATTAGAACTTGTAGAAATATGATTTATTCTTACAATAGGAATCTTAAATACAAATTTGTCGCACTCGCGTCCGTTATATCTATATATATTTATTTTTTCGTAAACTGCTTTTCTTTTTCTCAGTTTAAATCTTTCAATATTGATTAGTCTTCAATTAATGTATAGTGGCGTGTGTGTCTGTTTCTGGAATTATTATAAACATACAGAGTGCGTGCTCCATCCGTTTCTAATCGTCAATTACATTCTGTAATTTTTATCTTTTTTTTGCACTCTTTACCGTCAAATTACACAACGATTTACAAACAACGAATAGACGCCTAATAAAAGGAAAAGAAAAAAAAAACGGTGAAAATTTGAGAGCAGAATCTCGTGATTTGAAGGGGAGGGGGGGGGGCTATAAAAAAGAACTCTTACAGTTTACGGTTTTACTTTAACGTTATCTTTACTTTACTTCGTAAGTTTAATTAGTCGAATCACTTCGACTAACGGCAAGTGGAATGCGTACCCCGAAGCACTGCGCTGGCTGAAGAGCAATTTAGGAGCCTTCGAAGATTGAAAATCCACGGATAATTAGTGACACTCTTCGATAATATTACAGAAGGGAGAAACAAAGTAGGGGAAAAAAAGAGAAAATAGAGTTAGAAATAAGAAATGTCTATTAAAAATACTAACGTTAACGATAATACTAATAATAATGATAATCACGATATTGACGTGTCGTTCGAAGGCCAACTTTGCTTTCCGGTTGTTATTAATATACGTTTAAATTGATCAACTAAATTCCCTGACAATGAAATACTTATACTTTTTCCACGTGTTCAATGTTACTTTTCTATTTTATATTTGTGTCAATTCTTTGAATTCTCTTTAATCCTGTTATTGTAACACGTTGACTTGCTCGTTTATTTGATTGTTATTTGGTGTTTGTAACAAGAAAAGAAAATGCGGCTAAGCCCCTTCGCTTATTCTGTTCTTTACCTCGTGCTCCAGTTTTTTTTATAAGCACTGATTATTGTTCTTGATAAATTTTCCGAAAACTCTAGTGGATAAGAATTTTGTGGTAGTAGATTTGTTGTGTATAGCAACTATTTGTAACGGAGAACATTTTTTATGACTCAGTAGAATCATAAAATATGAAAAAACATGCCGAGGTTATATTAGGGGTTTTCTGGGTTTGAACGTATTGGAAAATATAGTCAACGCAACCAAAATTAATAATAAAGTACTGATATATTGGCCCATTACGACGTGTCCTTCATATTGTGCATAGCGATTATATTAAATTTTAATAGTCTATGTACATATATTTCAATTGATTGATTAGATAAATAAGCGGCTAAGTTTCATGATTATTCATTACGCTAGATCGTTGTTATTTAATTCTTCCGTATATACAATCCTATGATTTTGCGAATAGATAATATACCAAACTGGACGAGAAACAAAGTCGTCGTCAGACGACTCGAGAAAATTTTAAGCTTGAAATTTGTATATTTAAAGAAATTTTTTAAATCAATTAGCAATAGCGAAATTTGATTTTATGTAACACGCAGAGACAAAAAGAAAAGAAAACAAAACAAAAAAGGTATTTAATTACAAAAAAAAAAAAGAAAAGAATTTTCATATGCGAAGGGGCCGGACCGTGACAATGATAATAATCGGTTACAAAGTCGTAAGACATTGATTGACGGCTAACGCTATGGATATTCGGTTCGATACGATCTGCACTTATGGATCGTAACGCGAAATGGTTAGAAAAAAAAGAAATGATTAAAAAAAAGAAAAACAAAAAAGAGGAGTAGCCTTGAAAAGCTTAGGACTGTGCCCGTTCGCTGGAAGGCTGCGTCTCCTTCGTAAGCTCCATTTGCTCTGATTGCTCAGTCGCGCTCTCTGTTTTCTGAACACCCTCGGATTCAATTGTACTCTTATCCTGAACTGTTTTCTGACCACCCTGTAAACCAAAGCAATCCATGAAAGTTGCTGATCGTGCCAATGGGGCCGTGACGTATTTTTTTTTTGTTAAACTCTTTTTTAAAAATGATTGACATTGGTTTGATATCTTTTTTTTGGCTTCTTTTCTTCTCTTGGAATAAAGCTTTAGTCTTTTTACTATCGTGACCAAAGGAAGAAAATTCGAGCGACAGTCTTGAAAGTCTCCATGCTAAAAATGAGGGACTTTCGCCATGCAACACACTGGATATTTGAATGGAGAGGGTACTGCGCATTATCCTCATCCCGTGAAGGGCGAACTCCTAGTGGGGCGCAGTAAATGGAAGCAATCGCTGTTAGCTGCTTGTAATGTCAATAGAAATTCATACTCTCTGAAGGATATATGGATTATGTGAGACACTTCGTATAGGGTAGATTATAAATTTCCATTGACTTTTATTTGGAAGTTTTACATACCTGTTCAGGATGCTTTGCCAAATACTCGTTCTTTGCGTCGCGTATCATCCTGGTGACTTTGTTTCGAAGGTCTTTGAATTCTTCCCATTCCTTTGCATCCTTATTCTTTTTTGCTTTAGCATAGAGCTTGTTCTTCTTTTGGATTTCACTGCGTATCTCGTCGGTCATCCATGGCTTCTTTAATTCCAGTTCCTGGATAATACAAAATATTCTCATAAGAAAACATTATAATCAGATATTTGATTTAAGAACAGAAATAAACAAATTGTATGTACCTCCAATTTGCTGACTTTCTTCGCATTGTTTATAGCTTTTGCCTTTGGGTTCACTGCACCTGGAGGAAATCTGGGTCTCATGTGCGGCAATCCTTGGGGTGGTGGTATACCTCGAGGACCTGGACGCATAAGAGGACCTCGAGGACCCATGCCTCTGGGAACCATCATAGGTGGCATCAGAGGAGGTAATCCTCGTCCTCTAGGTCCAAACAGTGGTGGTGGGCCAGGCCTTGGTGGACCAGGACGTGGTGGTAGCATTCTCTGTCTCATTGGTCCAAACATCGCACTGATTGGGGGAGGCATTCTTGGTGGCATACCAGGTGGTGGTAGTCTGCCCCCAAACCTAGGAGGTGGTGGACGCATTCCTGCAGGAGGCATTCTGGGTCCAAGTAGTGGTCCTCTATTCAATGGACTCATTTTCCAGAGAGATTCTAAGTTACAAAGCCGATAATAAGCAATAAGCATTATTCAACAGTTTAAAGGAACATATACAACCTAATGTAGTACGACGTTAAAGTATTTTTAATGACAGTACAATATCAATTATTATCACTACGTGAATAACGCGTTTCCTATTAAAAGGTTAGAAGTTCTTTATTCACTTACTGAGGATTCGAGTAAACTAGATACCAAAGAACTTCCAAGTACCGCTGAATGTTCAAAACACACCGGTTTATAAATTGATTGAACAATGATTGAGCATCCACTATTTACCGACGCTACTAATTATAAAAATATTATGAGCGTGCACGGTACAAACGAATTCCCACCCGCCATTAAAGAGTTTGTTTCATGAGAGTTCATTCGCTTTGTACTTCCACGAAGGAGACTTCCGGTTTGTCCAATTTATAATGCAGACAAAAAAGGTCATTCTTCTCCAAGTACGTTTTCATCGAATTCAAACAAAAATTCAAATACGGTACAAATTTTTTTTTACACAACAATATCTTGGCTATTAACTATCTGTTATAGAATAATCCAATAATCTCGTATTCCTATGCATTCCCTCATTGCATATAATTGCAATGAACTATAATCTACAAGAATAGTAACACAAAGCCATATTTATATTAAGACAAATAGAAATCGGTACAAACAAATTTGAATACTTTTGGTTACCATTTGTATCGCCGAATGCGGCAATAAGTCTAGAGAGTGTATAGGAGGATTATGATTACAAAATTCGTAATGGACGTTGTGTGACCATAATTTTTTTTCAATTTCATACTTCAACTTTTATCTTCTGGACTTAAAAGTTTATTCAATGAATTTTATACTGAATACTCTGTTCTAAGCATTAAACGACATTGATCTTATCAGTGTTATACATATAAATCAATTTCTGTTTTTTGAAAAAAAAAAAAAAAGAATACAGGTATTCGCATCTTCTGCCATCTGTTGACAATTTTGCTAAAGTTTTCAAGCAAGTGACGGAATTTAGAGACATTCCGACAGCCAGTCCGAGCATAATCTGTAGACATATTTTTTGTTTGCATTTTGCTTGACAGTTACAAGGATAACGTACCATTTGAAAATTAAATGTAAAGATTTAATGGCCGCTGAAAGGTCTTCCGAATGGTGCACGTTCTACCTCCAAGAAATCGATTTGTCAATTGTACGGTTACTGGCTCATCCGTTGTATTTCGAGAGTGTCAAGCCTAAATAAAAGTATTTAAGTAACAGTTTCAAGCAAGCGCCTACGAGGTAAGACGTCTTTTTCGTCGATGATTCATTACCGAATCCAAAATCATCATAGTAGCGGGAACAATCTTGCCAAATGAGATTATTTTTTGGTATAATTAGCTACTCTTAAGATTTTCACATTATATTATTATCCAGATTTCTCTGTTTTGATGTAAATAATTGGATCATATTGGTTATATATAGTCTTCCTAACGTGTATCACAAATATGCAAAATGGATCAAAACATTAAACAGCATCCTTTTAATCATTTTTACATTGTCATTTCAATGACTAATTTTTAAGTATTAAAATAATGCATAGAGCTATCTCTACAGTATATTGTCCACCTACATATTTATATAATTTATCATTTATAAGGAGATTTGTTAGTGAGGTTTCATGCTGTCAATATTGTCTTATTGTACTGTATAAGTTTATTTGAGTATTATTGCAGTGTCTTAGCCATGGAGGAGGACACTGAATATACTAAACTATCGGTGGAAGACAGATGCGTGCACAAGGTGAATATTTTTATTTGATATATTTTTATATGTGCCTTGTATTATTACTTAATAATATGATCTTCAACAGCTTTGGAAAGCAAGATTGCATGGGTATGAGGAATGTGCCAAGACTTTTCGAACAATCGATGACGAGAAATCATCAGAGTGGAACAAATTCTTGGGTCTTGTAAAGAAATTTGTTGTAGACAGTAATGCTGCTGCGCAAGAAAAAGGTCTTGAGGCTGTTCTGGCCTATGTGGAGAATGCTGCTGCGGCTGGAAAGTATGTCATTGAGAAGAGAATATCATTTTGACTCTTTCACTTCATGGAATTTCTTATCCCATTCTTAGAACTGTTGGAGAAGTCATGAATGGTATTGTAGCCAAGTGTATTGCTGCACCAAAGGCTAAAACAAAGGATCTTGCTGTACAAATTACACTTATGTACATTGAGATTGAAAAGCATGAGGCTGTCCAGGAAGAACTACTGAAAGGAACAGAAGCGAAAAATCCTAAAATTACTTCTGCCTGTATTGCTGCATTAACTCTTGCACTGCGGTATTGATAATTTAAAATGATTCAAAATTGTATAGCACCCAATACTGTACATAAAGTAATGTACAACTTTTTGAATACAGAGAGTTTGGTCCTAAGGTGATAAATGTCAAACCACTGATTAAAAAGATGCCAGCATTCCTGGAGGATCGTGATAAAACAGTAAGAGAGGAAGGTAAAGCAATGATCATCGAAATTTACAGGTATTTGATTATACTTCATTTTATAACACAAACTTCTTAATGATCTAAACATTTTTTATCTTAATTTAACGCTTTTGTCTTCAGGTGGATCGGCGCCCCATTAAAGCAACAATTGAATACCCTAAAACCAGTACAAGTCACTGAGCTGGAGACTGAGTTTAATAACATGAAGCAAGAGAAAGCAGTGCCTACGCGGTATTTGAAATCTCAGAAACCGAAAGTTGTATGCGTAGCTGACACTGCAACTAATGGCACTGACGAAGGTAAGAAAAAAGTAATCAAGCGAATGCAATCAGGCTTCAGTTTCGAATTCTCGCAGATGAGAGGGAAGAAGTTGATGACGTGGATATACCGGATATTGATCCATATGAACTCCTGGAGCCTGTTGACATTCTATCAAAGTTACCAAAGGATTTCTTGGAGAAGGTTGAGGCTAAGAAATGGCAGGAACGTAAGGAGGCCTTGGAAAGCCTTGAAACACTGACGAAGAATCCAAAATTTGAGAGTGGTGACTATGGTGATGTTGTTCGTGCTTTGAAGAAGGTAAATACGTACTTTAAGCATTTAATTAAAATCTTGAATTCAGTAAATATTAAAATCTTCTGACGGTGTACGAAATTGAATGTAATTAAAATTTATATTTTTATCGTGCAGATCATCTCCAAGGACGCCAATGTCGTGGTGGTGGTTCTAGCTGGAAAATGCATGGTAGGCCTTGCTACCGGTTTAAAGAAACGCTTCCAACCTTATGCAACTGCCTGTTTACCGGCAATTCTGGAGAAATTCCGTGAGAAGAAACAAAATGTTGTGCAGGTACTTCGTGAAGCTGCCGATGCTATTTTTTTAAGTGTGAGTACAATTTCCTTGGTGTTCTGGTGGACATGGAATATTTTTAATAAATTTCTCTTAACTTAGTGGTTTTTGTCGTTGTTAAGATCAATATCGAGACAATCCTGGAGGACTCCCTGGCTGCACTAGAAAATAAAAATCCTGCTGTGAAGGCTGAAACTGCTGCCTTCTTGGCCCGATGCTTCACCAAAACACCCCCGACGAGTTTAAATAAAAAATTACTTAAAGCTTATACTGGTGGCTTGGTGAAGACTCTGAACGAGCCAGGTATTTCCTTTATATACAAAATATTTTCAATTTGTTCATGTAGCTATGCGCCGCTGACTCAAAAATAGTTGTATATTTAATTCTTTTGTTTATACACAGATCCAACAGTCAGGGATAATTCGGCGGAAGCGTTAGGAACAGCAATGAAACTTGTCGGTGAGAAGGCAATTTCACCGTTCCTGACTGACCTGGACAATCTGAAGATGACAAAGGTAGGCAAGAAATAAGGAGAATGAAATCTAAATCGATCAGCGTTGCAATATCAATTTACGAAATGTATACTTCGTTACTTGACAGATTAAGGAATGTTCCGAGAAGGCTGTTATCTTGGTAAAAATACCAGGAACGCGAAAGGCTGCAGACAGACCCAATACTGCTCCGGCAAAAGTGGAAGCATCTGCGAAGTCCAGGGAAACAGAAACTGTAAAAGCTATTAAAAGACCTAATACAACAACAAAGAAAGCTCCGGCAAAGAAACCATCAGGATCTTCCACGACGAACCCGAGTGAGTTTAGCGCTAAAATAATTATCTGAAGTAAATACTTCTGTTACAAAATCCTAATTTTTAATTTCTCTTGTTATTGAAGCTTCGAAGAAGACAGCCATGTCTAAAGTGCAGACTGAGAAGAATTACAGTAACGAGGAAATCGAAGAAATGGCCGCACAGATGTTAACAGACGATATCATCTCGGGTCTGGTTGATAGCAACTGGAAGACACGATTGGCAGCTGTGGAGCAGCTCTTGGAGACGATTAAAGATATGAAACCCGCTGATGTGTCTTCGCAAGTGATTGTACGCACCCTTGCCAAGAAGCCCGGCTTCAAAGATACAAACTTTCAGGTACTCAAGCTTCGATTGGAAATCGTGAAGATGCTAGCTGAAAATTACACCTTCACTAGGTAAATTATTTGAGTGTTTAGTGTATCATACAAATAGTAATATTCTTTGATATTTTTTAACTTCAACATTACTTATCGTTTTGCAGCACTGTTTCCGAATATTGCATAATGGATGTCACAGAGAAATTAGGTGATGCGAAAAATAGTAGCGTAGCTGCGGATACCCTGACTGCCATTGCCGAGGCAACGAGCTTCGAGGCCGTCGCCAATGAAATCACTGCATTTGCTTTTAATCAAAAGAATCCAAAGGTTCAGCAGGAAACTTTGCTTTGGTTATCCAGAGCTTTGATGGACTTTGGCTGCACGTGAGTATTGCCATTATCATTAAATGATCACAATTTGATTTCATTATCTTATATGTGGATAATTTTCCAGGATTAATATTAAATCGATTATGGAGAATATTAAGAAAGCCGTGGCTGCTACTAATCCTGGCATTAGGACCGCCGCTATAACTCTCTTGGGAACCTTATATTTATTCATGGGTAAACCATTGCTTGTCTTTTTCGAGAATGAAAAACCTGCATTGAAACAGCAGATTGAACAAGAATGCGAAAAGGTATTTAACGAATACCTACTTCAGGAAGAGTAGAGATTAAATATTATATTTTATGTTTCAGCACAATGGAGAGAATCCACCAGCGCCTACTCGTGGTGCTAAAGGTAAGAAAACCAAGGCTCAGGTGGATGATGAGGATACTGAACTCGAAGAGAAGGTTTCTGGCAGCCAACCGGATATTTCTGATCTTCTTCCAAGAGTAGACATCAGCGGACAAATAACAGAAAATCTCCTTGTGGAATTGTCTGATAAGAATTGGAAGGTAAGGAGGATCAAATTGCTTCTTTTTAAACTAGATTGTTAACTATTTGTATAAATTTCAAGGTACGCAATGAGGGTTTGCAAAAGGTGAATACCTTATTGAATGAAGCCAAATTCATCAAAGGCTCTATCGGCGACCTTCCACAGGGATTGGCTTTGCGGCTGGTGGACAGTAACAGTAAAATTGCACAGTCGACATTAGGAATTTGCCAGACTTTAGCAATTGCCATGGGCCCACCTGCGAAACAACACATTCGCACTTTATTCCCCGGATTTCTCCAATGTCTGGGTGACTCAAAGGTTTGGAAGATTTTGTCAGATACCTTACGTAAAGGAACTTTCTTTTCTAAATATGAATATCCTTGTAGAATTGGATAAGAAGCGCTTCCATAGCCTGCATCAATACCTGGGGAGATCAGTGCGGTTATAAAGAATTTTTTGAGGCAGAAATGATTTGTGATGCTTTGAAATCAGGCTCGCCAACCCTGAGGATTGAATTATGGAATTGGCTAGCTCAGAAATTGCCCACCAGTAATTATCACTTTGTACTCCCAAATATTCTGCATACCCTTTCGCCCTTTTCTTATATGATTTTCTTTGACAGTTCCAGTTAAGCAAATTCCTAAGGAGGAATTAACAGTATGCTTACCACACTTATACAGCAACCTGGAGGATCGTAACTCTGATGTGAGGAAAAACGCACAGGAAGCCGTACTGGGATTTATGATTCATTTATCATACGAATCCATGACTCGTACTACAGAAAAATTAAAAGTAACATCCAGATTTACTTTATTATCATGATAAAAACCAAAATTCTTATTTTACTAAATATTTTTATTGTTTAAAGCCTGGGTCAAAGACTGTAGTTCTAGCAGCCCTGGATAAATCCCGTCCTAACTTACCTTTGAAGCCCTTACCAAAAAAAGCACCACCAGTCGAAGATTCTGCACCGGCGAAAACCGTAAAGAGTGGTGGTGCTGTAAAAGCAGCTAAGGCTACAGTGAAAACAAAAGTATTATTCTTTTTTCTCGACTCAAAGGAAAGAAAGTCAATGTATACATTAATGGATTGATTTTCCTATTTTGGATAAATTTTTTTTAGGCCGGAGCTGCCTCAAAACCTAGTAGTGCCAGGAAGAAGGATGATGACGTGGACACGAGTCCTCTTTTAGCTATAAATAATCTGAAGCATCAACGAGTGATTGACGAGCAAAAATTGAAAGTTCTCAAATGGAATTTCACGACGCCACGCGAAGAATTCGTGGATTTATTAAAGGAACTTATGTCTTCGGCAAATGTCAACAAGACACTTATGGCTAATATGTTCCATTCTGATTTCCGATATCATTTAAAAGCCATTGAATCTCTGACCGAGGTGAGGGAATTAAGGTTATTTTGTATGATAAATAGATATCGATTGTATAATTTTATTTTGTTGGCATATAGGATTTAGCAGGAAACAGTAAAGCCCTTGTGTCGAATTTGGATTTGATTCTCAAATGGCTCACTTTGAGATTCTTTGATACGAATCCCTCAGTTTTGCTCAAAGGTTTGGATTACCTGCAAACTGTCTTCAATCTTTTGATAAAAGATCAGTATCACATGCTGGAGAGTGAAGCGGCGTCCTTTATCCCTTACTTAATAATTAAGGCGAGTATCTATTGAACGTTTGACATATTTAATAAAGATAAAAATCTAAGCAAAAGCTAATTATCTTTCTCAACAGATTGGCGATCCAAAGGATGCTGTGAGGAACGGTGTCAGAGCTTTGTTTAAACAAATAGCTCTTGTTTACCCAGTGAGTAAATTATTCTCGTATGTGATGGAAGGATTAAAGTCTAAAAATGCTAGACAAAGGACAGGTAAGCACAATGAAAAATTCTACAAAAGTGTATAACTCCTCTTGGAAAAACTATTAAATCTCTTTTCTATCACTTATTATTTTATCAGAATGTCTGGATCAACTGGGTTCATTGATCGAGAATTATGGCGTCACTGTTTGTCAGCCATCACCATCAGCAGCCCTGAAGGAGGTCGCCAAGCAAATAGCAGACCGTGACAATTCCGTGAGAAATGCAGCACTAAACTGTATCGTCCAGGCATACTTCCTGGAGGGAGAGCGAGTTTTCAAACTAGTTGGACAGGTACATATCGTTCTTCTTCTTTTTTATCAATTATCTATACGACATATATTATCTATTTTGATACTTTCAGATATCTGAAAAGGATCAATCACTCCTAGACGAGAGGATCAAGAGAGCAGCTAAGAATCGTCCAGTAAAATCTGCATCTTCGGCGCGCATCGTGGTGCCCCCAATTTCGGTTTCTGTTGCGGCAGCTGAGGAAGTCGAGCAGGATTACGAAGAGGAAAACGATGAGATGCAGGAACCACCTGTAGATATATCAAACGAACGGTAAGTCCGCCTTCTGAGTTTAAAATGATGTTTCTTTTGCTTTCTGTTATTTTTATTTTTATTGGTCTGTCTTTCATCACACTATCCTTTTCATCTTTGTTCGCTGCGTTCTCTCTATTGCATGCGCTTGCTTCTCGTCGTGCTATCCAGGAAAGAATTATGCACTGCGTCAAAGGATGACAACAACTGCAAGGCGACTGTCGTTAAGGAGAGCTTGGTTATCGAGGTCAAGGAAGATTGCACAGAGAAAAATGCACCGCCGGACAGCAATGGGAACTTGAACATGACACAAATGTCTGTGCTTTTTAAATTATTCGCTAATACGTTGATAAATTTAATGGTGGATTTTTAATTCTCTTTTATAACTACACAAAAATTTCATTCATTGCATAACTAACATTGCTTTGCTTCTCATAAAAATATTTGTCTGATTGTATTTAATATTATATTTGTCATTAAGAAACTGGATATTGATGTTACTTTTATTGTATTAGATACTCTCCACAATCTATACACAACAAAGTCACTGGACCCTTCTGTCTCGATATGAATTTACTACAGCAAATCGAATCCACTGGTCCAGCTGTATGTAAGGATCCAAAACTTGTCGAGCCAGATCTTGGCTTCTTGGATGAACCTCTAAAACATCCTAATAGGATACAAAATCAGTAAGTATTTAAAAAATTTTTAGGAACTTTTTATTTTATATAATAAAATTTGTTTGATTCTTCAAGAGCTGCACCAATCATCGCGCCAAAATTATTCTCTCCAAAATCTCCATCGACATCACTTCTGACAGCACATTGTACCAAGGAAGAAAATCTGGACCGCAACATCCTGGCAATGGCTAGCTTGGACTTGCCTGTAGCAATTCAGGCTATGAACAGCTTTGAAAGTGTTAGTAATATTCAAAATCAAATAATGACGGTCTACGAGATGTTACTTATCACTATTCTCCTTATAGATTCTGCACAGTCATCAAGCATCAATGCTACAATCCAAGGAAGACAAGTTTATCTCCTCAATTATTATGCAACTTAAATTACTGCAAACTTATTCATTGCATCAGAATAATGATGACGTATTGAAAGGATTCCGTGCTACATTTATGGTGATTCTTGCGGTAAGAGCAACACTAACAGAATACGGATGCTAATAGAGTTTTTTTTTAAATGTGTTTCTTATATACTATTTTAATATCTTTATAAATTTTAGTTCTATGAGACTGGTATTCTGGGTAAGAACGTTCCGCTACTCCAGTTGAAGGAACTCGTGCACGAAATGATAAGTCTTCTGGCAGAAAATAAATTGGATAGACATAACGAACCGGAAGCGTACAACCGAGTGATAAATAGTATCGTTGTGAAGATGATTGATCATTCTGATCATACCAATATAATATGGTGAATATAAAAGAACAAAATTATCAATACGTATAAGATATGGCTTTCTTAATGACAAAGGTTTCTTCATTAGTGTTTTGATTAAATTGCTACATGATTGCACTGAGTCTAATGAGCCACCGAAGTACGAAGAACTGATTATGAAGTGTCTCTGGAAAATAATTAAAACTATACCAGCTTGGGCATCTGATTTGGATTATGATGCAATACTTCTGGAGGTTCATCATTTCTTCAAGGCAAGTATAAATAAGTGTTTTGTAATGATCCTAGGGGTATTTTTTATTATATTTTGTTGCTATTGTTACTCGTAGGATTATCCTTCGTCGTGGTGGAAGAAGAGGAAGTCTGATACTCCAATGAGAACTATTAAAACAATTTTACACGGTATGACTAAAGTAAAAGGAAACAGTCTACTGAATCATTTGACTCTCGTGAACAATACTAAGGAATCGGAACTACATTCTTACCTCATAAGACTAATTGCGGTAAGAGAAGTTATTAATATTTATCAAAGGTGTTCTTATGAATATTTAATAAAATGACTACATTGGAAACTTTCGTTTCGATAGACTTGCAAGCCAGATGATCCTAACTCTGCTTCGAGAGCAAGTAGCAAGTCTAATGCTATCAGCAGATCGCAAAGACATTTGGCACAGTTTACGCATCAGCAGCTTTCTGAAATATTTACTAAGATTGGATCGAAGCATCAGGCTCAGGAGGTATGATAGCCTTGTAATGTTCACTTTCAACTTGAGTAACATAAGCAGTGATACAACAGATAACCTTCTGGTTTCTTAGGGTTTGGCACAATTGTACGATTTTAAGCAACAGTATCCAGATGCTGATGTTCAACCTTACCTAGTGCAATCCCATCAGTTCTTCCAGGACTTCATCGAGAAGGGTCTCAGGCAGATTGATCAAGAGAGAAAGAGTCAGGGACTAATATCAGCAAACAATCAATATACTGCAGGTAATTAATAATATATATCTTGTATCGCAGAGACGATAAATTGCCTAAACTGCTTCTTTAAATCTTTTTTTTTTCTTTTGAATTAATGTCTTTATTCTTATTCTTTATGACAAACAACAGCTTCCGTAAGCCCAACTTCCACAAACGAAGTAAAATCCCTGATGGACCCTATGTTGAGATTGGAGAGACTTCGAAGCCTTGAAGCCAAATGGAATACAACAACAAGCCAGTCGAATCCCACATGAGTACCTCGTAAACTACAGCAAGTATTTCATCAGATCAGTTCTCAGCCGAATCCTTTAATTAAGTTCCGTCGATAAGTGAGATCATGATAATTTCAATCTAGGCAACCCATAATGGCTTATAATCTGTTTCTACGGATGAAGAAAAAAAAGCAGATTGTAGATCACGTTATTTCAAGTTCGCTTTCGAGAACAATAAGCTAAAAAAAGATAATATAAATTAGTTAAAGATTGAGGCAATGACTCGAGAGAAAAAAATTGAAAACAAGCCACTCGTTATATTATAAAATTGAAGGACTAGTATTAAATAACGCGATTTATTTTATTGGGCCATAGTAAGATAAACGAAAAAAAAAGAAATGAATAAAAGACACGTACTGAAACATATAATTAACGAAGAGTCAGAGGGGTTTTAGATTTTAGATGAAGAAGAAAGAAGTCGGGAAAAATAGAGAAAATGAACAATGAGATAAACAAAAATGGCCGATAAATCCTCACACAGCTCTCTCCCACTCCGAGACTCGACTCTCTTACTCCTTCTCACTGATTCTCAATTTTTCTGTTAGTTATTGTGTAGTCGAATACTAATTATTATTAACGAATTATGATACTCACGTGTTACAAGTATCGATTTATTGATTAATATGCTACTCGTGATTATCGAGTTAATTCATCTTGCTGTCTTCACCCTCGAATTGTCCCAATTTCATTAAGAATCGTCATACCAAATCAGTCAAAAATGAATCCATGCGCTCTGATTGTATATGATGATTTCTCCTTTTTACAATTTATTCTTTTTTTTTTTATGCGATTCCGTCGGTTATCATGTTATTTTAACTAATGGCACCGTAGAACCTTAGGCAAAGTCTACGAGTGTGGCAGGCGTAATGTAACTACGAGCAATCATTCACCTCAAGAAGTTCATCTGATAACTTATCGATGCTTAAAGCTATCTCATGACTACGCCTATCGGTAGACTGTGCCTTAATTTAGGTGATTAATTAATTAGCCTCATTAATTTAAATTTGATTGGCGCTCGTAATTTATTACAATTTTTTCGTCCTATTGTCCGTACTTATGAAATTTTTAAATACGCGATTAGAATGTTAGGTAACGGAAAGGACAGGTAAGTCGCACGGTACGATTTAACGTTAGATATTGTATTATTTTTATAATATGTATATGTGACGTGCAAAGGTCGTTGTCGCCGATAATGCATAGTGTGTTATATTAAGAGTTAATTGAAAGATCTAGGAGACTTATTTACGCTTGTCACGATATTTGTTTTTGTCTTCTCATTTTTATTAGAAACTTCTTTTTAATCTGGCAGGTCCATCCATGGTTAATTTTCTGGCCTTTCAATTACATTTTTTTTTAAATTTAAAAATGTTCAGTTTTATAAGTGTATGGATATATTTTTCGCTATTTTAGTACGAAATGACCATTACTATCTAAATTATCAAAACGAGACTATTATATAGTTCATCATATTTGCAATAAACAATTGTTAGACAGAAAATATGTAAACATTGTAACGGACAGGGACCGAATATATATTAAAACAGTAAGAATTGCATTTTTTTTCTTCTCTCAATATTATCGTTGCTCATAAGCAAGAAAAACTTTTTCTTTGAGGATGGGTATTGAAGAAAGTGCGTATAGGATATTTCCTTTACTTGTTCTTTTTTTTTGAAACAGATTTATTTATAAGTCCATTAAACTTTTCTCTAGTAGGAAATCCCTCGCTCAGGATACAATTTCATACTATGTCGATTAAAAAAATATATCGCGATATGAACTAACGAAATGACAAGAAAAAAAGGCATTTCTGTTAGTTTGTGTCGGCTAAAAATAGTATATGTATAATCTAATTGATTTTTCATTAAATTACACATCTTTTCAAATACTTAACTTAAAGCTTTTATAGTACACAGCAATTTTATGGCTCTCGCGGTAATTTAATTAATATTATATTGTTGATTAAGTTTACACCGCTATAATACTCATGCTTCATTGTTAAACAATACGCAGGGATCTAAAATAGAAAACGATATAACAAAACGGTATATAATATTTGATTTTCGACATTAAGAAAGTTCGTATGTTAGGACTAATTTAAGAAGAAGTGGGATTATATGAGTTGATTTCAGGGGAAAAAAATGCAGTACCCTCTAATCCCCATTATCGATCACGTAGTTTCTAATGCGCTAAAAAAATTAATTCGAGGTTATGCCAAACCTGATCTATAAGACAAGAAGTTAAAGGCAATGTATAGACGTTTGTACAATTATCCTCTTCGTCGATAATTATTATTTAGCAATTTGTATAATTATAAATGTTATTCAAACTTATATTTTCCAAGACCTTTGTCGTGCTTCACAACAAAGGTTCGCACGTTTCCACACATTGTGGCACTAGTTTCGGTTACAACTGGAGTGCGATGCCCTTTGGGCCTTTTATAATTCTCGCCGAGAAGACCCCGCAATCCCCACCATGGAATTCCGGACCCTACGAATGAATTCATCATGGAATACTGGACCGAATCGCGTAGGAAGGAATGAGAAAATGCGGATATGGTGATCTTTAGCGGGTGGATGTAATATAAAAAAAAAGTACTAAAAATTGTGGATCTTATGAATTTGATCCTACCCTTACTGTACAAATGTACACCTTATTCACAGAGTTAGTTTACAAGGAAAATGAAATGCTTCTTGCTTAAGCAATTTGCCTAAAAGTTTCTTTTGATTTCCTCTACATGCTCTCCGTAGGGTTCATGCAGAGTGCTGTTATGGCGAATAGAAGGAAAACTATTCCACCGATGATGGTTACTGAAAATAAATTACTTATACCATTAAAATTTTATTTGTTCAATGTGTGGCAAATTTCAGATAACATTTTCTGGGATTTTATTGATTTTTATATTTAAGGATGATTAAACTTGACATAGATATTACCTGTGCGTACTGATATTCTCTGTGCAATCATCCTTCCTCCAAGGACAGCAAGACCTGTACAAAAACTATGTCCAAGGACTCCTCCAAGGATCACGCCATAAACGTCCTGAAATATAGTTCTTACGTCAAACAGGGCGAGACCAGTTTTAAAATAAGGAACGCTTACCTCTCGTGCAGCTAGGATAATCGTGGTCAGCTGCGAGCGATCACCCCATTCGGCAAGGAAGGTCAATGTAAAAGCTTGGAGGAAAATCCTGGAGAGAAGCATAAAGACACTTGCTTTGGGTGATTTGCGAATGATACCAGTTTCTGGATCTTGAACAAGAGTAGTACCAGATTCTTTCTCAAACTGCAAAATAAAAGAATGACTGTTTCAGAACTCATAAAGCCCTTAGGAAAGGAATTCTCTTGAAATTACTTCATCCTCTCTCTTCCTGAGATCCAACTGAACCTCTTCCAATTCCTCTTGAGCCTCTGTTGGGGACATATAATACCCATCACGTAGCATTTTCAATCCAAACAGGGCAAACAGAGCTGTACTTATATAATAAGTATATGCTCTAGGTATGATGGTCGCAGCATAGCCAAAAACCACTGAAAATAATATCACACTGTTTATTACAGAGATCCATTACTATTTGGAATTAAGTTTGCGCACCAGATAGTACAGTCATAAATGCAAGAGCTGCAATTGCCCCAGCAAATACAGTAAGACGAGGGTGTCTCATAGCCATGATGGCAGCAATGAAGAAGGTTTTGTCACCCAGTTCAGAGACAACAATAACTGACAGCGAAGCAATGAAGGCATGAAGAAAACCAAGGCTACCCTGAGGCTGTGCCGAGGTGAGTTCTTGACTTGCCTAAAATTGTAGATATATAAATAAAAATATGAACAATGGGAGTACCCAGTAAAATGCAGTAAAAAAAATATAAACATACCATAGACGTCATTGCAATATGGGGTGGAATTATAGCTTGGGGTATTCTCTCCGCAAAGGAGAGTTTAATTATTGTAATTACCAGGACGCAAAATGCTAATAAATATCGCGAAATCATTCTTTCAATCTTCATACGCAACCTTACTGTTTTCTCATCTAACTAAACGGAACTTAATCGCAAGCAGTAAGTTTGATTGCAAAATTCCTTTCGCTCGATTGAGGTTATATGATTTTCTAGAGATGCCATTAGAGTGCGACACTTTAGTGCTTTTCGCGCGATTCCCAACAATGCTATCCAGATGGCGTCTCCTAATGGAAATTTCAGAAATGCATTATTAGTCGCTAATTTTTGACTCATCGAAAAAAATAAGGATCGTCATAGATAAAATTGTACCGATTGCATTATTACATGTGCAATAAAAAACTTTATATAATTTCTAAATTCATTATAAGATCTGTGTGCGAACACCATTTGGAATTCGCATGAAAAAATAACTCTACACGATATTTAGAAAAGCCATAAAAAAATAACGGTCTTGAGAGCATTAAACGGATCTACAAACCATTGTAGTATTCCCTGATAGGTAACGTAAACGAAACGAAATATTCTTTCACAAAATACGGCAATTTGATTTGTTCACATTTTACATAACATCCAAAAGAATCCGTATCGAAGGAGGTAGCACCGGAGATCCAAGGGTATCAAACTTTAAACCTCACGATGCGTATGGAGCTTATTGCGCAAGGCCAGTTTCTCAGGTTCCAGGACGCATGCACAGTTCATTATCAGGTGTCTCCAGTTTACGTTCCTCGAAAGGATCATTCTGCAAGGTGTAAAGGATGACGTGCGTGTATGTAAGTAGCCTGAATTAATAAAGAGAAGAGAAGAAGGTATAACACAACGGCAAGAGAAGACATATCGAACAGTGTCATAACATAAAAATAAACCAAGATAAATGAATCAATGTAATAAATATGAAAGATGGTAGAGCATCATCAAGTAGTAACTTGTTAGTCCAGAAGAGTATTCAACACTCTGAAATACTATCGAGTACTACTTGACTTTCTGATCAGCTGTTTATAATAGCGGAAGTGTCATCCTTTTTCGATAAGTCTGACGCCCTCCCACCCTTCCAACCTCCTCTCACCCCTTGATCTCTCCTTCTCACTCCAATCCATTTCATCATGTATCCTCACCTTACTTTTACATTCCCTTCTTCGATTGGACACTACAGTATAGAGTCAATTTTATCCTCAATTTTAGTCGCGTCGTGTCCACTGCTACGGTGGAGACAGCATGAACAGTTTTTCATTGAAATCTTTTTTTAAATTACGAGCGAAAACTACTCGTGTTCGCCCCGGACATAGATTCGTTCAATGTTAATTTTGTGTTTACCAGGCTGACTTGCTCTAACATAAATTGGGAAGGGAACGACGTAGCTAGCTGAAAATAGTAACACTCATCTAGATAAGCCAAGCACAATAAACCGTGTAAATTTGATGACCCCAGTTGGAGATTTTTTGTGTTACGGACAGATACGAGTATTTTTTATTTTATAGTTAAGAATTTGAGTATCCCACGAGATAACGTACTGATAGCGGACGCCCTTTTCCTCCCTAATGTACACCAGGCTACGCTTTAAGACCGTTCTACACTGCAAAAAATAATCTCTCCATCGAATTTCATCGTGTATCGTGAGTTCCGTGCCAAATCGCAATTCACAGCAGTTTAATTGGTGATTCTTGTGAGATGAATTTTGTGACTGGTCAAGGGTTTGTTTATGTTTTTATTAATTGTGCATTTTTACAATCATTTTTATAAAAAGGTGTACGGCGCCTTTGAAGTACCGAATGAGATAGTTGTGCATTTTTTTAGTTCATTGGCCAAAGCGCTTTCACCTAAAAATTATTAATAGTGTCGATAATTACTCGTTAATTTATTTTCAAACAATTCAATTGACCGTTAGTGTGACGTTGTCGAATACTGTTCCTGATCAAATGACCCGTATACAGTGTTTAATTACTCTATCAGATATTCAACTGTCGTCTCACTTAACGTTTCTATTTAATTGCACAGTTACACAGCGCAAGTGATTACATTTTAATTGCCACCCTATAATCGTGTAAATGACAAATTAGATAAACCAACCAAAGTTGTGTTTGCGGATTACGTTGACATTACCAAACTCGTATGCATAGTGTTTTGTGGTATTATAAGCTGTAATTAGTTAGTGTTATTCAAAATAATTAATTCCACAGGGCTAGGTAGATACTAGTCAAAAAATATATATATAACAATTTAATTAATTATTAATTAAACAATTCATAAGATATTTGTCAAATCGTTAGATTTCCTATTATATATGTATGATCAAGTCAGTATTGATTTTGATTAATACAGATCATTTAAAGTTTTTATTTATTATATTGAATCTATATGGTCGTATTCAGTCTAATCCGTCAAATCTGTTCTTATAACTGATTGTCACGTGGAACATTTACCACTTCGGTGAATATATGTTTTGCGCGTTTGCGCCCATAAGGGACTATATAAAAGTGAAAGACATTGTTGGACTTCAAATTTATAAAGAAACTTCAAGACGCATCTTTACGATAAATTGTCGCTCTCGTGTTTGCTCGTTATAAAACCCGTAAGGAATCATCGATTCTTACTTTCTTCTATTATTTTCTTCTATTTTCAGTGTCCTTATTCTCACCGATACTCTCCAGATATATCCCTCCTTGTCTTCTCCCACTATTGTTCCGTCTCCCCTCCCTCGCCCGGCGTTCCTCCAATTAATTAAAGTATCGATTCGGTAATTAATGCACCCGCGGGAGACAATAAACTCCGCTTTCTCCCTGCCTTTACTTAATTGATCCGAATATCGAATTTGGAGCTACGAAGCAATTAAACTTTCATTTACACATTTTTTAGGTAAATAACATTGTTAATTAACCATAATATTGTTTTCGTAACAGGTGCACGGGTCGGAGTTGAATCGGAGAATGGCGACAGGACAGATGATAAAATATTGCAAGGATAAAGAAATGAAAGGAAGCAGATACATGAAGAGGGAGAAATTAGCATGATGTTTCAAGACGAAGGTACTGAGTGATTTTAATATTAATTGTGTAAGGGATGAATCCTGTGTCCTTTCAGGTGATACGATTCTGTGGGATATCATAGAGAAGAGGGTGAGGACTGATTCAAAATTTATATTTATATTGACTTTGTTTTTCTTATATTGATTCTTTTTATTTAAAGTTTCGACCTGGCTCCACGCAGACATCTTATTATTGATTAACCCAAGGAACGATCCGCAATAATTGATAGGATTAATTTACTGCAAGCAATTAGACTTCGAATGGCAATGTAATAGAACTTCCGTCTTATGCGCAAATTGGAAAGTGTATTATACCTGGACGATTAGCCACACGCTAACCCTGAATGTCTTATGGCAATGAGAATAGTCTTTCTCCTGGATGGGATCGGTCAGTTGTTGGAATAGCACGGAGACCACCGTTGCTTCTATGAATTTTGACATTGCATTAGACTTGTGCATTTAAACTTTAAGAAGTAGCCATAGATTGATTGACAGTTGGGATGAATATAAATCGGCACAAGTTTTGGATTTTATTGAAACCATTGACTTGGATGAAGTTTTAAATGGTAGTGGCGAGTTTTTGTTAGGGATCATAACAATTAATGATTTCTAGTGATTTATTGTTTTTTCAGATTTGTTTTTAATTATTTTATTGTTGCTTTTTATGTATTTTTGTAAACCGCCATCGCGTAGGACTGTCGGGCAATGAATATCGGACAGCCTGTTTATTTCAGGATATTTTTCTAGTGACTCCTCGGTCCTCCAGTCCGCCATCGTATAAATAGAAGTGCAGAAGCGACTCCAAGATGTGCATTGCTCCATAGCCGATCCCACCTGAATCCTCATTCTCTCGGAATCATTTTTGAATCGGCTTCTGGAAGATCTTCGTCGTCGTCGTCGAATATACGGATCGAAGGAAGAACAACGTAGAGTAGGAATTAATTCGAGGATTATCGTATATCATATCGTGTATAAGTTTGGTGAGTTTTCCTATTCCCTTTAAATATTTTGTCATTTCGATACTAACAATAGACACGGACTTTAGTAGATTTTTGATCATTCTTTTTTTTTTAATTTTCAATTACGCGCTTCAATTGCATCGATTTTAATAATTTTCAGTGTAGTTTGTAAGTTTTTTTAATTTTGTAGACAAAAATCTAATTGTCCTTGAGTTATATAAGAGACTTGTTCAATTCCACCCTCTCCCCAATTTCTTATATTAACGAATATTATTTTCTTTCAAGTGCAGATAAAACCAGAGGACGTAACACGTTTCGTTAATTCGACTGGATCGCGCAGATGATCTAAATCCTTTGAAAAAATATGATATCAAAGTACAATTTCTCGGGAATATTCCACGAAGCTTTTTGCAATGCAGATTAATCTTTCCGACTACGTGGTTGTTTTGCGGAGTCGGTGGATAATTTTGGAAACTGCCCGTGATATTAATTCTTGGTTAGCGTATCATATATTCACAGACGTATCTGAATACGTGACTGAAATTACGATGGAGTCTAATAATATTACGTTTTCTTACCCGTCTATGGTCATCTTATTCTCATTCGAACGGAACGATCCGATTGCTCGAATTTGTCTCTTTTATTCAGAGGTCACTGATCGTATTAGAGAAATGCGAAGAGAATCGAAACAGTCAACCAATTTGTAAAATATTAAATTATATGAATCCCTGTCCGAAGTATCTTTCAAAGTAAAAGAAGTGTCAAGTTCCTTTGTTTCTTTTCAATAGAAACAGCACGCCAGTCGCTACGTATATAAATTGTACATTATTCAGTTAAAAAAAAAAGATCCTGACCTTGAATAGGAAGTGCCATCTTTCCCTTTCTATACGAGTATTCCTCCATTTTTCATTTTGTACGTCGTGCCTTGAGTTTCATGAATTTTCTTCATACACTAACTTTCATCTCAGTAAACCTACAGAGACATTCGAGTCTGATCTATCTGAAGAAAACTTTCATATTTTTTTCATTGATCTCTAATCAAAGACATTCATCTTCAGCAAGCAATCATGTACGGTCTAATACTGGAGAACATGTCGGAGTACATAAGACAAGTTTATGGAGAAGATCGTTGGGAAGAAATAAGAAGACAGGCAGCAGTCGACCAGCCAAGTTTCAGCGTTCACCAAGTATATCCTGAGAACTTGATACCAAGACTTGCCAAGAAAGCAATTCAAGTACGTTATAGAATTGACAGAGATAGTTGTATTTTTTATAACCGGAAATGGATTCTTGGTATCGATGCCCTAGAACTTCCTACTCTGTTCTTGCACTTACAGGTTCTTGGAATAACTGAGAGGGAATTCTTTGATCAGATGGGCGTCCATTTTGTTGGTTTCGTTAGCCAATATGGTTACGATCGGGTACTATCAGTGCTTGGACGACACGTACGTGATTTTCTTAATGGTCTGGATAATCTTCACGAGTACCTCAAGTTCTCTTATCCACGAATGCGGGCGCCATCTTTTATATGTGAACATGAAACACGTCAAGGTCACTTATAATGGATTATAAAATTATAATTATTGTGTGACGTTCATGGTGTTGTTAATTACATTTATTTTTTTAAATCCAGGTCTTACTCTTCACTACAGAAGTAAACGGCGAGGATTTGTTTATTATACTATGGGACAAATTCGCGAAGTTGCCAGACACTTTTATCACAAGGAATTGCAAATTGAACTTGTCAGGGAGGAAGTTCTCTTCGACACTGTACATGTCACCTTTCATTTGACTTTTGACAATCGAGCTTTCACACTAGCCTCACTTGCCATGACAAGAGAAGAGAAGCATTTGCCCATTGGAGCTTCCGTTTTGTTTGAGATTTTTCCATTTTGCATCGTCTTTGGGTATTTATGTTGTTGAGTCATTTATACAATTTTCACTCTTCTGATACACAAGATTTTCACAAATCTTCTTCTTTGTCCAGATCAGATATGATTGTCAGAAGCATTGGAAATTCACTTATGGTAATATTACCAGATTTACTGGGGAAAAAAATTACTCATTGGTTCGATTTGGTCAGACCACTAATAGCTTTTAAGTTTCAAACGGTTGGTATCTGATAGTTATTTCCTCTGTAGAAGTTATAATCAAGTATAACTTTTTAAGTACGTTTCTTATTCGCATTTTTTTTAGATACTGAATAGGACTAACAATATTTTTGAACTGGTCACTGTTGACCCAGTTCTATCTGACTATCCGTCGAACAATAAAAAAATCGATAGTACGGCAAACAATGAAAGAGATCCTCCCGAGGACAAGACACTTAGCTTAAAGGGTATAGAACGATGATTAAATAATACAAAAAAAATAATTGTATGCATCTATAATAACTTATTATTCGCTTTAGGACAAATGATTTATATGGATAACTGGAGAATGATGATGTATCTTGGCACACCAGTAATGCCAGACTTGAATGCTTTGATTGGTACAGGTCTCTACATAAATGATCTGTCAATGCATGACTTTAGTCGGTGAGTGGCCAAAATGATCTATTGAAAGAATACAGTTATATTAATAAAAGAAAACATTCACAGAGATCTCATGTTGGCCGGTACCCAACAATCCGTAGAACTGAAACTAGCTCTGGACCAGGAGCAGTTGAAGAGTAAAAAGCTGGAGGAATCTATGCGAAAGCTGGACGAAGAAATGCAAAGAACAGATGAATTATTATATCAGATGATCCCAAAACAGGTGGCTAATCGATTGCGCGACGGCGGGAATCCAATAGATACTTGCGAAGTAAGATATAAAGAACCCTGCTCTTATTCGTCTAATATCAAAATTCCCTCAATCTAATATTTCTGTAATCGTTCACAAGATGTTTGACAACGTGTCAATACTCTTTTCCGACGTGGTAAGTTTCACTGAAATCTGCAGTCGTATCACGCCTATGGAAGTGGTCTCCATGTTAAATGCAATGTACTCGATATTCGATACACTAACTGAACGCAACCGTGTTTACAAGGTAAATATATTGAACATAGTATATAGAAAACAGTGCTGTTAACAATCATACGTATAATATAGGTATTAAAAGAAAACAATAATCTCAGGTTGAAACCATTGGCGATGCCTATATGGTCGTTTCCGGTGCACCTGTGAAAGAAAATGATCATGCGGACAGAGTGTGCGATATGGCCTTGGACATGGTGGAAGCAATAATGGATTTAAAAGATCCATCAACAGGTATGCCAGGTAGCTCTGAAAATTGCGTCATTACTTTCACTATTCTTCGGGTATCTTCAATGCCTCTCTGTTTCAGGAAACCATCTGCAGATCAGAGTCGGAGTGCACAGTGGCGCCGTGGTGGCAGGAATCGTAGGCTTGAAAATGCCTCGTTATTGCCTCTTCGGGGATTCCGTAAACACAGCTTCCAGAATGGAGGCGACTAGCGAAGCAATGCAAATTCACATATCACAATCGACTAAGGAACTTTTATCTCCGTCTTATAAAGTCACTGAACGTGGTGAGATACAAGTAAAAGGAAAAGGTAGGCAGATTTTTATTGTATCATTTTAGTTATCAGCTTTACTCGTTGGATAGTTGTATATTTTATGAAGAATGTAATTCTTTTGTTTTTACCTTATTCTAGGAACCATGAAGACTTACTGGCTGGAGAAACGTGGTGAAAGATCCCGGATGACCAGAGGAATAAGTATTCACACACCGCCTCAATGGTACAGTCGTGCTAGCGAAAAAAGAATATCTTTAACTAGTGGTGGCGGTTCAATGCCACCAACACCGTGCGAACGAAAGCCACGTCCTGAGTCTCGCCGGGAATCCAGGATGTCTTCCCCGACGCAGTTAGGATCAGGAAGTAACTTGCCGGAGGAGCGAAGAACTTATTCGCCAATCACGTTTCAAGATGTCGCACGACGTTCCGTCGCAAATTCTCCCACGAAGACTGCAAATACTCAAGGTAAATTGATTGAAATTTGAAAAAGCCAATATTACTATATATAAAAAGGGAATATAAATATTGCCTATTATATTGTTCTACCTGTCTTTTCTTTATTTTTACTCTATACAATTTTTCTAGAATTGAGATCGAATTCCGTAGGAGCAGTTTCTGCTCTTGTTCGCAACCCAGCTGATGTCTTCGGATCGTTACTAAGCGACACCGAGGAACATTTTCGATTACACAGAGACAGCAGGTCGGCTAGGCATTCGGTTGGCGTACATCAGAGACCGGAAGTCAAGGTGGAGACTACTACAAGCTCATCCTCAGGGGAAAGTTCGCCCTTGAGTTGTGGGGATTTAGTATCATCCAGGATCACTGGGATAGCAAGTAGTGAATTTTGCGTAGGAGCCGAAGAGACGAGACTCATGGTCCCCAGGGAACCGTGCTGTCCGGGTTTTGCCATTCCTAAAGGGAACAAATCTAAGAATCAGAGCAATGCTTGTAACATCGTTTAGAGATTTTACCAACGACGTGAATATAGATTTTTAAAATTCAATGACCCTATTAATTATTCAAAAAAGATGGTCGCTACTATATTCAAACTCTCCCGAATTGGGTATCTGATATTTTTGAAAGGAGAAGAAAAATGAGAGAATCTCAAAAAAGAAAGAAAAACCTGCATCTTCCACAAATAAACATTTACCTCGCGCGATAATGAACTTGAATAACAAAAAATGGTGATGCGGAGGTGTGTAGTTATTGTTTTTTCTGAAGCAGCTAGTCACACGACTCGAATAAAATACAATTAAAATGATGGGCCAGTGCTAGATCATATAATAGGCAAAAATGTAGTGACTTATGTACTTGGCCTTCATAATCTGATATCAATACTTTTTATTAGAGGAATACACAGCACTCCTGTACTTGGCGTAGTTTTTTACACGTAAGTGTTTTTTGGGGGATTGTTTTTTCTGAAGCAGCTAGTCACACGACTCGAATATCATTTTACAACCTTGTTGGTGTAATTACAGTAATTATTGTAATTAGTATAATTATTAATTTCTTGACTCGGATTGCATAGACATGGGGTGGCTAAAGGTTGTTCGATCGTTTCACCCATTCCCAATAAATGAACTTGACAGAGCATTAAGTAGAAATATTTTTACATATTATAAACAATTTTCAATGCTTTTTACCACGCTAAATCTGAAATAATTTAATGTAATGTAGGTAAATTTAAGGTGATTCGGTCGCAACATTTAAAACATAAGTCAAATAATATAAACCCCTCGATGAGAAAAACCCATAATATGTATTTCAACGAATAACAACCAGCAGACAGTCTATCGTATTCTTCTTTATCATTTGATTAGACGCTCATAATTTCTGTTCACGTAGGTTATGGTTTATATTTAAAAGTAACAAAGCAACATGTGTCTCTTTTGCTCTTGTGAAAATTTCGCGAGTCTTCCTCGCGCAATATGATTTTCTGCCTTTCTCGTTATAATATAATCGACACGTACCGACATTAGAAGTTGGCAAAGTATGGTGTTTAAGTAAATATAATTAAATTATTACTGTAAGCCAAAATCTATAATACATTTGTGGTACTCTGAATAATCCCACTATTCAAACGGTATATTCGTGTATAAAAAATAATCGACCAATTGTCAATTCGTGTTACGTGATAAAACGTTCGATGTTTGACTTATACCTATTTATGTATCAAAAATAAACGAGGAATCAATTTGTCTACAAAGTCTTATACACGTCTCTTTTAATGGAGAATACAATACTATTATTTTTTTAGAAAATAAGAAATTATTTCTTATTAAAATTTGTTTCTTTATCAAATTATATTTCACTTTTGGAATTTACCATTGCTCTACATTGTAATTTCAATATACGGTTTAATAAAATTTCAATGATTCACCATAGGTATAAATTCAGAAATACATCTATCTGGATCTGCACGAAATGCAATACCAAGGACGAAAATGTCCGGTCAGCTTCTTAACGAGGATCAGAGTAGGTTTTACTATAAGGTAAGTCCTGAGACACAATACCTAATTCTCCCATGAAAGGACATTTATCAAGATGAGTGTCCTAGCATTGTTCGAGACGTCGTGAAAATATCGGATAAGAGTAAGAATACAATAATACACGACATAGATACGACATACGAAAATTTATTTATTTAATTTTTTTTTTAAAATCAATCCAAAAATCGTGCAGGACGATTATTCGTTCTAATCATTAAATGGATTTTCCAACAGATTCATCTCGATACGAAGTTGTCAACATTGTCACCTTTTTTCCTTAATCTCGTTTTATGCTCGCAGGAAAATTTGCTTATTTTATTCCTTCCACTTGCTGTTTTAGGATCAGCAGCCAGCAAATAATCGTTAGTCCTGCGGCAGGATACGGTTACGTAGAACGATCCCAGGGAAACCTATTGTTTCGAAAGCAGCAATAATTAGCTTTGGCGAAAGTAACGCACTCACTAATTAATGGATCGTTATCCACCAGGTCGCAAGTTCCAAAGCTTTACGACCAAGTAAGCTCATAAATCGAGTTTATCCAGAATACAACAAAAAAATAAAAAAATCTCACCGTACCCAAAATCGAAGACATTAAAAATTACGTTCAATAAAAAATTCAAAAAAATCGTCCCCACAGAAGCAAATTCGGGTAATTTGAAATAAGAAGTCAAAATCAATAATACAAAATTAAAAAATTATAACTTACAACTCATAATAATTCCTATTATTATTTAACAACACATACATCCCGGAAGTCGTCATTGAGACGTTCGAACGACTTTTGGAAATTATATGTTGTATGGGAATATAAGATACGTTATTCCATCATCCCCAATATTCCTTGGAGGACATCGGGGATGTTATAATACCTCTTAGTAGCATGTAAATAGCAGCAAGGAGTAGAAAACGGTACAAGTTGAACGGGAGCATCGGCAACAGGGAAGGGTAGAGAGAGAGATAGAGAGAGAGAGAGAGAGAGAGAGAGAGAGAGAGAGAGAGAGAGAGAGAGAGAGAGAGAGATAGTCCACGTCAATTCATACTGGCTAAAAATGGAGTATGTAGATTTTCCAATTATTATTATTTGCCAAGAGTCATAAATAATAAACGGAGATTACGTAGGTCGTAGTACGCCGTCCTGCTCGTCCTCGTCCTTCTCGTCTGCTGAGATATAATTGAATCAAAATAATGTAGAGGTATCGTGTTGTACGCCTGGCCTATCATAACTCAGGTGATGCTCTCGGAGCCCATGTTATATCTACACACTCTCTCTCTCTCTTTCTTCCTACGTCTCTCTTCTCTATCTATTCTCCCTCTCTCAGGACTCCCTCTCTATATAAGCCAGGATTTCTTACCAACCACACGGCACTCACTCTCCTTCCGCTCTCTGGTCTGCAGCAAGTGGTACAACTGGAGCCAGGGATCATCCACTGGAAGAGTCAAGACCAGCAGGATCATCAGGAAGCAGAAGTACCAAATATAACCTTCTAGATAGAAGAAGATAATTAAAAAGAGCATCAAAATGGTAAGTTTTTACGATGCGACATAAATTTTTGAAAAATAAAAATTCCGAATTTTCTTTTTTTTTTTCTAAAATATTCATTTTTATCAAAAATCATGCTAACAGACGAAATTAAAATTCTCATACCCGTGCACTCGATTGCAATTTTTTGAATTAATTATCTCATCGAGATACTAAGGGGGGTTTGTGACAAGGGTTAATTATCTGTGGCAGGTGGAAAGTCAAGTTGTTAAGATTAAAAATAATTACGAATTAATTAAAGATAATTGGTATCAAATATATTAGAAAGGGGTAGCCATGATACTATCATCAATGTCTCTCGTTATAATGTAATGTACAAGGAGGATAGGTAGTCATGTAAATTCAGTAAAGCCCGGAAGTTGGGACATCATTATCAGCTACGAGAGAAAAGGTTAATTGCTGTAATGCAATACGCCGACATTAATTTTACTCACTTTCAATATAATACACAGGGAACTTGTTAGTTTCCATAAACCATGCGCGTCGCGACGACCTTTGACCCTGAACTATAATATTGTAGAATAAATTCTATACCTTATACAACATAACACCAGATCATTATACTTAGTACTGTGCAAGATTACTCAGTTCAAGATTAACTAACCGAAATTGGTCTCTGACGTAATAGTCGGATGGAAAGAAAAAATTTTGAAAATTTCTCTTTTATCATTCCAGATTGCAAGGACTCTAATCTACTGCCTGGTTGTATCCTACCAATGCAGCGTGCTCCTTTGCAGCCTCCTACCTAACAAGGACGAAGGACCTATCAACGTCTATTCCGGACACCAAGGATTTGGCTATACCGGAAAACGATCGGCGGAAGTACCTGAAGATCCTGATTCGAAAGAGCGTCGCAGCAACATGGGATCTTCGTTCATTAGATTTGGTCGTAGCGGAGTTCAGGATCTTGAGACAGGATACGCAGGATATTCCGATGATGCCTTCAAGGCTCAACGTGCAGCTCGGGGTCGACCTGAGAACATTATTCGCTTCGGACGTTCAGGATTGAAATCACTGCGTGGCCGTAAGGCCGAAAGAGCTAGGAGAGTCCTTCACGCTGATCTTCAGGATCTCTGTGTCCTTCCGGAGGATGATCTTTACCTCGCAAGAATCGTCAGCCTCTGTGACGCACTTCCCGAAGCTCTCGACGATGCCACCGAGGTCCTTTAACTGCACGAACTTTATACGAAGGATTCTGATCGTATCCTCTGGACAGAGGACTCTTATTTATATATATATATATATATATATATAGAGAGAGAGAGCATTTGAAGTAACCGTCACTGTACATTAAAATATACTCTTCTTTGTTTGATTAATTAAAAACAATGTACAATTTACTACGTAAGTATATAAATAAATTGAAAGAAACCAACTGGCCATTTGTTTTTTATTGATCTACAAATATCCTCATATCGACAATTAATTATGTTGGATACAATTTTGAACATTTTTTTTTCAATTTCATACACGTCAAACGGGTTAATATTGTGACTTTTCTTTTTAACGACACAGCCTCATCGTAGTGAATTATTAATTAGTGTATTATATTTTGAAAATTAATTTTAACGACGGAGAAGTTTTGAAATTATTAGCAGTGGTCAGTAAAGTTTTACATGTCTGGTCTAATACAAAAGTAAAGTACTGGATTCCAGTATAGTCCGTCTTAATCCCACGAGTCTAATACTCTTCTGGAGTCCATTTACGTTAAAGCGTGACAATAGCCAACAGGGCAGAAAGTCGTGTCGTAATAGTGAAAATCCAGAGCCTTCCCACTTATAATACACCCTGTAGCTCTGTGCCTAATCCAACCCTCTAAACCACCCTCGATACTACCACCCCCCTTGGACTTTTGTACGGATTCCTTAAAACCGTGTCGCGACTCTCAGTTCGGATTCTGAAGTCGTACACAACCAGTTTTCATCTTCGTTCTGGCACAAGTGACAGTCTTATCAAATTATTATTTTTTTTTTCAAAATTTTGAATAATTTTGAAAAAAATGTAAAGGGAGCATGGAGGTCACTTATAATTATTTATAATATTGAATAGCGAGTGCACGCATTATCTTATCAATAATTGAATTTAAAAAAAATTTTTTTGATTTATTTCGAATTTGGCGTCGTGGCCAATTTTCAATGGTAGTCCTGGGCTGTGATTATAATCATAATGAATACTTCGGAGTCGCAACAGGATTTATTGAGCAACGAGGCCAGATCGCCGTCGGAGCCGTCGCTTCATCAGCCTCCAGGAGATTATTCTTTGGGTCCAGTGGAGAAGCATTTTTTATTGAGTGCAGAAAGGGGAGATTGCGCAACTGTCAAACGGTAATTGATTTTAGTTATTATTATAGACTGCAAGTCGGTATGACACTGGGATGACTTAATACTAGGTATATATATTATTTAGATTATTAGAGGAGAATAAAGATCATCCGGAGCTCTTGGATATAAATTGCGTAGATCCTTTAAACCGATCTGCTCTGATAGCTGCCATTGAGAACGAGAATATCGAGCTGATAAAACTTCTTCTGGAATTAGGTATCCAAGTGAAGGTAATAATAAGAAATGAATATAGTAATAGGGACAATGATAAAAAAATTAATTATTAATTGCATTATCTTATCTATTATTACTTTTCTTATCAGGATGCTCTACTCCATGCTATCAAGGAAGAATACGTGGAGGCTGTAGAAATTTTGTTAGAGTGGGAGGAAAGGATTCACGTACAGGGACAGCCTTATGTAAGTTTTGAAAAAAGAAAAATTTTTATAGACAATAACTTTTGTATTTTTCAATTAGAGTTGGGAAGCCGTCGATAGATCTTCGTCAAATTTTACACCGGATATCACACCCTTGATACTGGCTGCACACAAAAATAATTATGAAATTTTGAAAATTCTTCTGGATCGCGGAGCAACCTTACCTACCCCTCACGATGCAAGGTTTGATATTTTTTTAAAAAATAAATTGAATTATTTTCTAAATGAATTTTTTTATTCAGATGTGGATGCGACGAGTGCGTCACGTCTAGCGAACAAGATTCTCTTCGGCATTCACAAGCTCGCATTAATGCATATCGAGCATTGACTTCTCCGTCACTGATAGCGCTATCATCCAGGGATCCATTATTAACAGCCTTTGAATTGTCCTGGGAACTTCGAAGACTGAGTAGAATGGAACAAGAATTTCGATTTGAATATAACGTAGGTGAAAGTTAAATAAACAAAATTAATTGAAATATAAAATTGTGGTCACAATTAATTTTCGGACTACAGCGTATAGAAGTCTTATCTTGCTGTGGTTGAATTTTTTAAGAAAAAAATTTTTTTCAGGAAATGCGAGAACAATGTCAAATTTTTGCTACGTCTTTGCTGGACCATGCGAGAACGTCACACGAGTTGGAAGTTATGTTGAATTACAATCCCACGGGAGAGAATTGGGAACCCGGAGAGAGACAAACACTGGATAGACTGAAACTCGCTATTAAGTACAAGCAAAAGCAGGTGATAATTATTAATTAAATAAATTAATTAATTCGATTTATTGAATTCATTTTTGATATTAACAAAAAATTTCAGTTCGTCGCTCATCCAAACGTTCAGCAACTTTTAGCTGCTATCTGGTACGACGGTCTTCCTGGCTTTCGTCGCAAGAGTATGGTTGGACAATTAATTGAAGTTGGAAAACTTGGCGCCATGTTTCCGGTTTACAGTTCTATCTATATGCTCTCGCCAACTTCGAAGATGGGATTATTTATGAAGAAGCCGTTTGTCAAATTTATATGTCACTCGTCGTCCTATGCCTTCTTCTTGAGTGAGTGAACATTTTTATAGGTCATTTTTTTTACAAAAAATTGTTATTCATCGATTACTTGTCACAGTGCTATTGGGAATGGCCAGTCAGAGGATAGAGTATTTGGTAATTGAATTTTTTGGAAATGCTTGGATGCGAGAAATTTTGGCAGGATGGAAGAGACACGAGCGAGGATGTATACCGGGATTCGTTGAATCTGGTGTAATAATTTATGTATTTAGTAAGTATTTTTTAAGAAAAAAATTGTATATATATATTTTTTTCTTAAAATTATTATTAAGTTAATTTCAATATTTTTCTTGCGATCAGGCTTGGTTATTGGCGAAATCAGATCGTTATGGGCTGATGGTTTATTGGAGTATATTTCGGATTTATGGAATATCGTTGATTTTGTTCAAAATACTTTTTACGTCATTTGGATAAGTTTACGGATGACAGCTTGGTTTGTTGTTCAGGTAATTATTATTATTTTTTTTTATTAAAATGCATATATCGATTTTATATTAATTTTAATTAATATTATTAATTTCAGAGGGAATATTGGGGTGGTGAGGATCCTTGGTATCCCAGGGACCAATGGGATGCTTACGATCCTATGTTACTATCTGAAGGAGCATTTGCTGCTGGAATGATTTTTAGGTGAATGAAATTTGAATTTGAATTTAATATAAATATTAATAAATAATTATCTATAAATTCATTTTTCGATGATCCTCAATTTTTAGTTTTCTCAAACTCGTCCATATATTCAGCGTAAATCCACATTTGGGTCCCCTACAAATTTCTTTGGGTCGCATGATAATCGATATCATAAAATTCTTCTTTATCTACACTCTGGTCCTCTTCGCTTTTGGCTGTGGTAATTAAAAAAATTATTTTGAAATGCGTCACTTGAAAATTTACAAAATTATTCTAAATATCAAATTTGATTCTTTCATCAGGTATGAATCAACTCATGTGGTACTATGCTGATCTGGAAAAGATGAAGTGTTATCATTTACCAAGCGGTTTACCAGATTTTGATAATCAAGAAAAGGCCTGTTCGATTTGGAGAAGATTTGCCAAGTATACATCAGACATATGAATATATATATATATATTTTTCAATTACAATTTTCCTTTTCAGTCTCTTCGAAACCTCTCAGTCACTCTTTTGGGCAAGTTTTGGTATGGTGGATCTAATGTCCTTTGACCTGACCGGGATCAAAAGTTTTACAAGATTTTGGGCCTTACTCATGTTCGGTTCTTATTCCGTAATCAATGTGATCGTCCTATTGAATATGTTGATCGCTATGATGTCAAATTCCTACCAGATAATATCGGTGAGTAGAAAAATATTGTTTTTTAATAAAATCTCCCATTGTCAATTGATAAATGCAGAAAGTAAAAAAAAATATTTTCGGCCTTTTTCTATTTCCCATTTTCTGTAGGAACGAGCAGACACCGAATGGAAATTTGCAAGAAGTCATTTATGGATGAGTTACTTCGAAGATGGCGACACTGTCCCACCACCCTTCAATATGATACCAACGGCTAAAAGCTTCAACAAAATCGTGACCTGTGGCAAGGGTGGCCGCCCTACAAGATCGTTGATAGTAAGACTCAAAACAAAAATAATACCCATAGACCCATTAAAGATTCGATATAAAGTCGAAACTATAACTATATAAATTTCTAATCAGAAAAAATCACGAGAAAAGGCTCTAACCAGACATGAATCAGTGATGCGTTTACTCATAAGACGTTACGTCACGGCCGAGCAACGTAAAAGGGATGACTTTGGTATCACGGAGGATGACGTAATGGAGATACGACAAGACATCTCGACATTGAGATACGAGCTGATTGATATTTTGCGACAAAACGGTATGAGAACGCCACAGATTGATAAGCAGGATGCTGCGCGTGAGTGACAATTTTTTTTTTTAATCAGGTAAAAATAAAATTTTGACACTGCGTTAAGAAACGTCCGTTTTTCAGTGTCTGGTAAGAAGGGCCGAGTAATGGAGAGAAGATTGCAGAAGGATTTCCAGATTGGAATTGTCGAAGGGATAGTGAATGCAGTAATCCAGAATGAGAATGAACCTAAAGACGTCTTCAGTCAGATAGCAAGAGCAATCGGTCGTAGAAGCAGTGGACAGAGTAAGAAAAAAGATTGGAACGCCGTGGTAAGGAAGAATACGCTTGCACGAGATCCCATTGGCAGCACGAATGAAGCATTCATAAGGCAATCTAGAAGAAGTCTGCGCAGACATCTTCAGCAGCATCCAAATTCTGATTTGGCGTCATTGGATCCTGATCGCCTTGTTGAATACAATCCAAATTTGTCGGGTGTATCGCCTACGACGCGAATTGCTTATGCCAAGTTCATAATGAGCAGACTGAAGCAGGTGGAGGGAGATGTGGTTGATGGTAAATAATATTAACAGACATAACTTTGCTATTTTGTGGGTTTATTATGATATGATGATTTTTTATTTCTTAGGTAAAGGAGAAGGTACTGAAGGTCCTGCCAAGAGTTCACAGTCCTCGCAGAGATCTAGTATGAAGGTTGTTGTGACTGAGGCACCGCAAAAGCCAGGAACACCTACAGCTTCTGTTCTTAACGAGTCGATTAAGAAGGGTTTATTAAAAACAATGAGTGCTGGTAGTACCAGTTGTGATAAGACTGGTGATAAGACGCCTCCTTTAGATCCGAAATCATCTGAATTTCGTGCGCCCACTCCCATTCCCGAAGATCCTAGAGAGGATGAGGCAGGAAAACCATCACCGGCTGAACCACCTCCTCGTAAATGATTTTTTATTACTTGTAATAGTTTTATCATTTTTTCTTTCTTTTAATTTAGAGCTTTTATAATTGTTTCTGTTCAGGGAAAGATGCGTCGGTAAAACAGATTTCTACGGGTGAACCGTCTAAGAAGGCTGATGAAAATACCGAGGAGGATAAGAAGAAGAAGGAGGAGGAGGAAAACAAGAAGAAGGACGAGGAAGAGAAGAAGAAGAAGGACGAGGTAGAGAAGAAAGAGGAACAAAAGAAAGAAAATCCGCCAGGTGGTGCTGCTGCGCCGGGAAAACCTACGAATGACCAAGAGAATGTTCCAGTGGCGACAACTAAGCTACGCGGCAAGTCAAAAATGACTGGACAAATAATGGGTGGTTGGATATAACGCAAATGAGAGATCAGAAAAATTCGTAAGCAATTTTGGGACTTGTTCGGTGCCAAAAATAAAGCTACCCTGCATGACCTCCGTCCTTATTCAAAATTCCCTAGGCATGTTCACGACCCACATAACCCCTGCCCACACACAGGTCAAAAAGGATTCGCATCCCCATGAGACGAGAGTCGACAAAAACTCCATAAAAACTCCCTTGAGAATTTTAGAATTACGTGTAACACAATTTTATAATTACGATCCACCATCTCGAGAGAATGAAGCATATATCATGTCATTTTTTAACTATTTAATATCCATTTAACAATGACAGATAATATATATAGAGGAAACTTAATATATGCAAATGACATGATATTTTACAAGTTTCTTAACAGATTCCAAATTTTTTCACCAGAAGATAGAAAACTCGAATCGACGAAACTAGGATTCTATCCCCTCTATTATTATACAGCCCAGTATTTCTATTAGGCACAGAAGGGTTGCACTCTCCTTAGACTAGCCACCTTCTCCTCAAGGGCTTATTATCCCTCTATAATTCAGACGCCTTTTAGTGGGAGGCTGGGCAAAATTTGTTGGTCCATAAAAAATAATTTGGACTATATCAACTCAATGAGAAATCTTGATTAAGCGACACAACTGCCGCATAAGATTTTAAAGAATGGCCTGTAATAAAAGATAAAGTCCAGTTTCAAATTAATCCAATACACAATAGGTGCTTTGTTATGGTATTTGTTACAATTATGTTATCGATACCTTCTAGTTTGGACGTTAGCCGTTTCAGCAGTTACTTCATTTCCGTTGACAATCTTTTTCTTTCTGTTGGCTCTTTTGTCCTCCTGTAATTTTTTAATTAGGCATTTATTACACGTTAGTGGTTAATTAAATTTTGAATGTACGAAAATGCGTAGCGAATTGATAAGTGATGTAATATTTCGACAATACTCGCCTCGACCAATTCACCAATTTTATACTGCTTCATGTCATTCTTTGCATCCGACGAGTGTCCAAAATCATCAAATGCAACTGTGCCGTCTTTCCCTGCAAATTCCGTTATCAGTTCCCCACCTCCTGGATGCTAAAATACAATAAATTAGTAAAAACAATATAAACGTTTTTGATTATCAAAGAAAATAATTGCATAGATTTCTCAGTCCGCTGTGGGTTTCCTTTCGATAACGATTGAAGGAATTTATTATCGATATTCTAAAGGAAATTGATCATGGTTATTCTATCAAGTGTGTATAAGAGCACGTTACAAAAAAAAAAGATTCGGAAAGATAAGATTCAGACGGTTCGAATCAAATTTCAATATTTTAAACAGCCCAATTTATCCATATCTACTGATTAGGAATGTAGTCATCATTACAATTGTAGAATATAGTGTAAATTAAATTGAGATTATTCTTAGCATTAATTAGTCACTCTAACACTGATTTACATACAAGGTGAACACAAAATTCTATTTAGATACTTTGATGTATTTGGTGAATACAAAAATTGGTGAAAAACTCCAAACAGACATTATTTTTCCAAATTTTCAATATACCTGCTCCAAGTAATCCGTAAAGTCGTAAACGATATCCCTGATCACACACCAAACTCGGCGATCCTTTTCGCCATCGTGCTTGGCTACTTCTTCCAGAGTGTAAAGTTTCACTTCACTAGATATCATTTTGAGATTTTATATATTTCTGCCTTTGGATTTTCAAATTTTTTTTTTTTAATCAAAATTATTCTCTGCTTCTGATACTTGATAGAAATATCATGTACAAATGTCCCTCTTTTTAAATCTGTCTGCTACTAAGGCCCTTCCCGTGGACCTTGACAATACTTTGTGCGGCGATTTACAAGTTCGTCTGTGGCATTTAAAGTGTCTGGCCAGCAGCGATAACAAACGCAATTTATCAGAATTCCGTACAGTCTCACATTTCCCGTCAAATCACGATTAGGTTGGTTCGATTATTAGGCATGTGTCAAGATAATAAATATTTAAATTTCACGTTTCGCCAGGTAGCTATTTTGATTAATTTTAGCTTTTTTTTTGATTTTCACTAATAAATTTTTTCAATTATCATACAACAACAAAAAATGATTTGCATTTATTACATCGCGATAACGATATTTCATATCTTTCCTCAAAGTGTACTGTATTTCCACAAGAATATTCGTTTTTGATCGGAAACAATCTCAATTAGTCACGTAGTAGATTATAGATTGCTCGAGTCACGTATCGTATTATTGATCATTGATTAGACATGAAAACTTAATTTAATAAGTTATGATTGCATTTCACGAATCATTTTAAAACATTTCGATGCTTTATGGAATTTTTACATACATTCGTTAAAAGATTTCTAAAAATATATACTTATTACCGTTAAATGAATAATTATTATTAATTATCTATCACAGCCGTGAATCGATGATCGAAAGAATTTTCAATTTTCATTTCAAACCTGTGACTATCATTATTAACCCGGCATAACTCTCGCCGGGTGATCCACGTCAGCCCAACTCAATGCTTTTTATAATAAATATAGAATAAAATCGCGCGAGCATTTCCGGTTTAACAATTTTTGTGCATATCAAAAGCAAATTAGCACTGTCTATTAATCCGTCGTAAATACCGTACAAAAATTTAGCACGGAGTGTAACACAGAATTTGGCTATGTCAAAGATAACCTCAATTACGTCCGGTCACAAAAATTTGATCGATTAACGTTATTGCAATTATCGAATCATCTTACTGAACACGTGTTCTTGATTATTTTACAAAGCATACATTTATTTAATGTTATCAAATGTCTGGTATCTCAGCACTAATTACGTGACATCTTGTTTAGGCAGTATGGATATTTGTACACACACTATGTGTTTGTAAATGTCAATATACATTTTTGCACTGATTTACTCCACGTTACATTGATATCATGAAATTTATTCTAATTTTTACGTGTTAATCAATAACACATGTCACTGAAATCATGTCGATATTAATTATCAGAGTACGTTGACACACTGCTTAGAGGGTATTTGTCTCGAGAAATTTTTGTCAAATCGTTCATTGACTTTTTACTAGTAATATTAGGTTCTGTTTGCTGTTGGTTTTTCTATACTGTAAGTACCAATTACTATTGAAATGTTGCAGGCAGATACGTGATGAATATGAATATTATTCAAAGATTTGTCACTGTGAAAGAATGTGTACTACTTACTTAACAACTATTTGATAATCCGTTTGAAATTTGGAAATTATGGGAAAGATATGTTGATGTAACAGCTCCGCGAAGAAGTAGGTAACACTTGGACAATAATGTAGTTCCGTAGATATGCATCGTAACTATTTTGAAATTATGTCATGAGACTCGGGATTAAAACCCTCACTGCAGCGAACAAAGGATAACAGAAATTCTTTCGTTTCCTCATGGCTTTACGCTCAAGTGAAAACACGTGCCAGTAACTAAGCCGATCGAATCAGATAAAGGAATTCTCAAGTCAGGGACGCAAATCCGCGAGACTGGTCATATAAATAGGACTATATGGACCTACAGAGTTTAAACACTGAATCCGAATATTGTCAGGCGAAATTCATCAGAGTACTCACTCCTTCTTTCCTTTCCTTATGGCTGACTCCTCCAAGAGTACTTACTCAGGGATATCGGAAGTTAATCCTGACCATCGATGTATAGTATTGACTACGCACAGACGTAGGAAAAAGGGTAGACTGAAAGAAAAAAATAGCGACCGGTGGAGGCCAAGCTCTGTCAATTTCTAATCAGCAACCGTAGTCAAAAGTATAGAGAACGTAACCAACAGAAGCATTATAAAAGGAGAACGATTGGCCGTCACCTCATTTCCTCTTGGTTTATTTGAGCGGACGCTTTTTCAAAGGATCTAAGGAAGGTACGCGCAGTCCATGTCGATGATTATGACTAAGGATGCACATGTCTTTGAAGTATAAAACGGAAACGGCTGTCCATCGTGATCGCGATTCCATACTATCTTTCAATATATCGAAAAGTTTCACAGATCGCCCAAGAGATAGCGCTACGTGTACATTCCTTTTTTACAACTCAGTCGGTAAATTCCTGTTATCCACGAAGAATAGTTTCAACGGTCAAAACACATTTATCATACTTCCCTGGCAAGTAGTTTGAGATAATTTCTAAAAGATGGCACTACAATGACTCCTCTATTCGATTTTACAAATTTTACGATACCGTCATTATGCTGTGAGAATCCCGCAATATTATTCAATGAAAATGCGAAATCTAATGAAACACAATATCAAGCTTACATTTCTGCAAATAGCACTGCAAGTCATATACATATATATATATAT